CAAGTCGATTGTGCCTCGCTTGCGTCAGACGTATGTAAATTTGCGTCGAAATTACCGTCCATTTTGGAATTTAATCACCGACATATGTCCACCAGAGACATACATTGGGATACTTAACAAAATCATAAATTTTTCCAATTCATTTACATGATTTTAATTATAACAAAAATACGTAAAATGTAGATATTTTCAGACTTTTTCAAACATATAATAATTCGATTTATTTTATTTATTTGATTTTATTTTTAAAACAATGTAACAAGAAGTTACAACTACTGGCGAAAAATTATTATCACGATCATTCGTGAACTCGTAAAGTTCATGGCCACTATGCCGATTCAAACGAGCAAATATACGGATGTCTAGTGTTCAAGAATACATAATGCGTTTGAAGACACGAATATGTTAATGTTTTTCAACGTTGCTTATGCTCAGTATCGTTATATGATTTTTTTACATTTTTGAAATTTAAGAACTTCTTCTTAAACCGTTCAATGACTCTGCAGGATGATGTTCCAAACAGGGGAGAAATCATTGAATGATTAGCATATGTCGTCGGTTGAATGAGAAACGAAGAGAGCTGTTCGAAAGCGAAGCAAACACCTTGTATATATTATGACGAATTGACACAAGTGATATATCGATGACGAAAAGTTTTCATTTGAAAGAACTCTCTTTCAATTTTGAAATGCATGACGTTGCACAAACAGGCTGCAACAATGAATAAAACAATATAAATAGAATCTATATGTCACATTTTTTATTTTATATATATATATATATATATATATATATATATATATAAACTCTCTCTAAAATTTATATTTATGTACAAACTAAGATATTAGTTTTTTTATTTAATTATTTATTAAAAATATGAAAATATGAATATTGAATATCGATCATTTATTGGAAAAAATGCCAATTACTTATTAAAAATTTATCAATTTAGTCTCTGAAAAATATTGATCATATATGAAAGAAAAGATGAAGCACATGAACATTTTTCTTTTGCAATCTAAAGTAAGTTAAAGAGGAATCAGAGCGAATCGAAGGATTCAGAGAAACAAAACTGCATCGATTAAGATTTCATGTAGGAACATCAACTCGAAAATGAAACCGTAGAGATGCGTAGGCAGTTGATCTTCGAGATACAGTTGATGGTCGATGGTCTCGGGGGTCTTGGAACTGACCATGATCTTGAGAAATCGAGCGGGAATACCGTTCTCGTCGTTGATGACCGGTTTTTAACATATCTCTCCTGAGACGAACTATCGACCTCGATCATTACTCTTGACCACGAAACTTACTTTCATGGACATAATAAATGAATCGGTCTCTAACGCGTGTTTTGGCGATTAATTTCCTCAAAGACGAAGACGACGATCAATTTTACGAGGCTTCATCCTAAATTCGGCGACGTAAAACGCCTGCCTTCTGATCACGAACATTTTTAATTCACTTGCTTCAAGTCTGCGTTAAACAATTTATCATTTATAATTTTTAATTTGTAATTTCTTGATGAATTTAAATAATTAAATAAATTATTTATTAAAATTAATATAAATTAAAATATGAATTAATATATATATAAATTAAAATATAAATTTAAATAAATTAAAAATTTCTCTTTTAGATAATTTATCACTTATAATTTTTAATTTGTAATTTCTTGACGAATTTAATAAAATATTAAAATGCAAAATAATAGATAATTGTATGCTATGCAAAATAAGAATACAAATTTGATTTTTTAGATACATATTATTTTTAAATGTTCAACATATTTCATTATCATTTTTCGCAAGAAAACATATCTTGATTGCAAAAAAAAAATTACATGTGCGCGGGAAGGAATTTACTGAAAGGCTTAAGCAAGATTTACACGCATTGCAGCATAACATTTTTTCAGATCATTACTTTCCGCGCACGTACTTGTGCGTATATGCGTGACAAATATATGTGCGTATATGATAGAGCGAGAGAATAGGGCCACACCTTTTTACCTTCACGCACGATTCGCGAAATAATTTATCGTTGTATTATCTTGTACACCTTGAATTTCCGCGCTGATTACTTTTGACCGCTTTGTGTTGGCCTGTATTTTTACTTATAGTTGAAAAGAATTTGCACAAAATTTTTTTGTTGATATTATTATTGATAAATGGCAGATAGAAAAATATAAAAATATAAACTATCTCTTATCCGCTAATATCAATATTAACATTTTATTGTACTGTTAAAATTGTTATTAATTGTTAATCAAACAGAATTGAATATTAACATAATTTTTAATTCTTCTTTAGGGACACAATTTTTATTGCTTCATTTTATTATCAATGTTATCTCATCTTTTCCAAGCAAGCAACAGCTTCCTACACATTTTTGTTTGATTACTATTTATTATACGTTTTTTATTTTATTATTATTTATTATACTTATGTTATACGCAATATTGTACAAATATATTATACAAATATTGATAGGGGGGCGGCCACGATGAATTAATATCGATTAATGAGAAGTCGATTCAGTGGTCGATGGATTGTGCAATAATCCATCGATCACTGCGAACTCTTATTCATATCTTCCACGGTATAGTACATCGCCTATCCTATCATTAAAAGTACCTTATGATAAAAGAGTCGTGTGTTCGTGCTCTTTTCAGTTACAGCTCGCGCAGTCATTATACGCGAGATCAGCCGCGGTAGATCGGTCGTGAGAGAATACGAGTGAAAGGAGCGGATTCCACGATGCTGTTTATTTCGATATTCGATTTCTCGATTGCGATTCTGCATCTTCGGGGGAAAAATAGTCATTTGAGCTGAATTAAAAGGAGCTTCGATCTTAAATTTCCATGGATCAAGTCGAATAATATCTCATGTCTTATACACATATACAAAATGATTTTTTATATAAAAGAATATATAAATTATAAATCAATAATTAAGAATTTTGCGAATGAAAATATAAATTGTAAAAAAATTAGAACTTAAGAAATTTCTAGCGAACTGAGCATCAGTAGAAGATCGATGAATATCATGTTCTTTAATTAGTTTTGCTTTAATAGTATTTTAATCTGAAACTTAATTACAGAAAAGTGTGAAAGACAAGCAAGAATTTTGATAAATAGGATTCTTTCTCTCTTTATTTTCGTGAAATAAAATTTACTTTCTCAAGTTGTTTGTTGAGGAAGCTGCGATTGAAAAGGTATCCGAGACACCCCGTATAGAGATTGACAGTAGTAAAGGCACGCATTGTAACGGCACGCGACGCACTCCCGAGAATACTAGAGAAACTCGCCCTGTTTGGCTTACCGATCTGCAATTACAGATTCTAATCGTATCTTTACTCCTTTTCTCTCTCTGTCCCTCTTTCCTTTCTCTCTCTCTCTCTCTCTGAAGGCGGCTTTTTCTATTGTTTCGGGCTAAGCGATTACGGACACCCACCCACTCGATTACGCAACGATTTCAGCTTCTACGCGCCGTGATTGTGTTAATGTTGTCTCGTTTGCCTCACACGGGATGTTTCCCGAGCGAGCTCATGCCTCACAATGTTCATGCTCAGGCAGATAGCGATCGAGCGAGAAGGAAATTTTTACTTACGACACTTGATTGCCTCACGCAAATCTTGAAACTGAATCGCTCTTTTTATTCCTTCTGACTTACCGGCATTGCATTCCCATAAATCAATGTTGATTGACAATGTCAATGCTTTATGATAATAAAATCCTTGTTACACAAAGAATCGACATCGTCAAAAGAATAATAAAACAATTAAATAATAATAAATAATTTTATTGAAATATAATTTTTTATTTATTAAAGAGAAAGGAAAATTGGAATTTAATTGGAATTTAAATTTGAAGAAAACTGAGATAAAAGTGTATTAGAAAAAATAATGAACATATTAAAAAATATATACATTTTTTAATAAATTGATTTAAAAATCGTTGTCAGCTACTAATTCTATTTCGTAATCAACGAAGTCATATTTTTTTTCTAACTCTTTAATTAATTTCTCTGAAAGTTTAATTCTTTTCTTTAAGCCGTTTAAATAAATAATCACTTGGCATCTATCTGTAAACAATTATTAGCATCATGATTTTTTAATCATGATTTATGACATTTATTAAGTTGATGTAAGAATATTCAAGGACATTTGGAACAAAATTAACATTTCACGCATAGAAATACTTTTCCAGATGATTACGTTATCATATAGCTATTATTATTACTATTTAATATCATAAAACATCCGGATTTGTGTAAAATCGTGACATTCCATTGGAATATTTGCTTCATAAAGTAATTCTGAATCCGATGACGATCTTTCACGTAGGAGATAGATAATTATAGGAGTCGCATAATTAGCAATTCTCGTTAGAAGACAAGCGCGAGATGATAGACAAGAGGGCTTTAATGAAGCAGAATATTTTTTACATCATTGTTAATTATTAGAGAATAACGGTATTTCGTAAAATAACACAGTAATCTGTCATATTCGCGTAGTTGATGCAACACGCGGATTTTTATCTATTCGAGCAAATAGCTACAAGTGGTTGATTGCATGTGCAACTGCAATAATTGCACAATCGTCTGAGAATCGTCGCTCGATTCTCCCACGATTGTAGAAAAAAATTACTTTACACTGTGTGACAAATTTAACAATTTCATAAGCCGAATTATTGCACGGACCATTAATATAGTAAAATATCTTTGCGTTATTTCTTCTTTTATACTTTTCATTTTTATTTTTATTTGTTTTTATACTTTTTATTTTTTTCATTTGTTGCGTTAAAAATTATAAATACGTAATAACACATTTGTTATTATAATGTAAATTATAATGTAAAAAAAAATTTAATGAGAACTATTCTATGTAAATTAAATTGTATATTAAATTATCATATACAGGATAACGTAATAATTAATTTTTAATATGTTAATTTTTAATATGATAATTTTTTGTATGTTTTTTTATCTTATTTATACTTTCAGATTCCGAGATTCCGTATGATGAGATCAGATTGAGCGCAATGATATCGAGATATTTCGTGTTCGCCGCAGCTTTAGCGTATGGTGAGTTAAGTGATTCATTGCTAATAAATTCATTGCTAATAAATGTAAAACTTTAGATAAAAGGAATTTCTTCGTAAAATTCGTTGTGTCTAGGAATCTTCCAACTGCGTCGCAAACAAATTTGGTCTGTAAAAGATAAATGGTCTGTGAAAAAAAAGATATAACAGTTCTTAACAATTTTTAATTAAATTATTGTAAATATACATATTATGAATTGCATAAAATTATTTTAAGCTCTTGAAAACATTGATCAATTATTTTATATTTATATTTTTCTCTAGCGTTTATATTTTTATTTTTACGTCATTTTAAAATATAATTTGTGTCTGCGATTGTGTGCATAATAATTTATTTTTTATATTCATTTTATATACTCGCGATTCTTGTGAAGAAATCATATACAAAAATGTAAAGCAGATGATTTTATAAAATCGCGATTGTGCAGTTGCAGTGTCTGCTGCACAAGTTTACAAGAGCTATCCCTTGGATTCGACTCCAGCGACTGAATCAGTAGCTACGAATAATGACTTTATCACGCAGACGGTCTACGGATTTCTGGATTTTACCACGACACTCGGTAACACGGTGATGGTCTTCAGTCCTCAAAGCGCCCCAGCAGGTAAGAATTTTTCAAGACTTTCAGAATTTTATTTATTATTTATGTGTCACGTGTCACATCTAAATATTTATATATCAGATTCCTAAAATACATTAACATTATTTTAACAACAGATAATAAAATTGTAAATTATATACCTCAATTCAAAATTTTAATCGCTCTCAATATGCCTGTTAATAAAATTTTATATCAAGTTTCGTTTGCTTTCAAGGTGCGATTACATAAATCATCATTTGCTTGATTATTAAATTAATAATCGCATTCGATGTAAAACGTTCGGCTATCAATCATCGTTCAGTAGAGAGCGTCATTGTAATTTTTAAGCAATGAGAATAAGATATCACACAAGAAGCTGTTGCGCAAACAGAAGATTCGCAAGTAACTCTAGCCATGAAGTGTCATGTGTGAATTTGAGAATAATGCCAAAAATTACTTTCTAAGCGCAATCGGCACCTTTTTGTTATTATTATGCTGTGCTCATTTACGGCAAGTCCGATTATTCGGAACCTTGAAACGCTGAAGAGTTTTATATTCACAAGGCGAACCTTGACGAGACATCGGGATCCAATCTCGTTTGCATATTGTCGTCGGCGTATGATGCCCATTGTTAACTCGTTATGATTCTTCTATCATCTTTTCTCCTTGACTTTTTAAACTACAATACTCAATGTATTGTGTTGCTTCCTTTTTTTTCTAAATACAAAGATATATTTTGAAGAGGCTATAAAATAATATAAAATAATATAAAATAAAATAATATAAAATAATTATGACAAAAACCTGTTGTAGCATCCAAAAATTAATTTTAATTAAACATTAATAAAAAATAAAATTTTACTCTATTGATACTAGAATTAAAATACAATAAAATGATATGAATATGATTAGAAATATAATATAATTAAAAAAATATAATTAAATTTATATAATTAAATTTAAATTATATAATTATATAATTAAATATAATTAATGTTGAAACAAGAAAAGATTCTTTTTTAAGAAAAGAGAATTTGTTGAATATTTTCTTTATCTTATCGCTGTACAGAAAAAAAAATTTGGCGAAGAATATTGGCCGTTAAGAAGCGCTTTTTTAATTCTATTTTTCCTCGAGTCTCTTGAGATTTCTCGCGGAATCGCGATTTTTATTTTCAACAGTCGTCGAGTATGCAAATACGTCGTTTGTTTTCAGAAGGGGTCTCCGGTAAGAAGACCGCATCTTCTACGCCACCGATTCATACAAAGCCGACGGAACAGCAGCAGCAAAAGAAGAATGTTCCCGACATCCAACCCAGCAAAACTCACAAGGTCGAAATTCAGGATGGCGAGACGAAGAAGCAGATAAAGGGAACGAAAATTGTCGTAAATTCTGTGGTCGAGCAAAACCTGGGGAACCCGTCCGAAAATGCTGCGCCGAAGACGACGAAGAAACAGGTAAATTAAAATAAAGTCGATTCTTTAAATATTTTTAATCTTTTTAAATCTAATTATGTGTATGAAAAATATCTTCCACATAATTTTAACACGATATATAACATAATTAAAAACGTATTTATATTTTAATAAATTATAATAATTATATTGAAATTATACAACTATAAATCATATACACATATAATTCTGTGTATAGGGAGAAAAAATCCGATTTTTAAAAATTAAATGATTATACTACAATTTTTATTAATTAATAATATAATAATTTCATTTTTCTCAATAATGCACTGAGGAAAAAATTATTTTGAAATAAAAAAATTTTAGTTAACTCAAAAATACTATTTATTCGGTGGGTACTAATCACGTATTTACTTGTATTCAAAATGTCTATTTGTTTAAGTTAAGTATTTATTTACCTATGTTTAAAAAAATATATATGCTTAAAAAAATATAATTTTTAATTAAATATTTTTATTTTTATTTTACAAAATATTTATTAAAATGCATTTTTTATTCCCAAAAATTTTAAATTTTTTAATTTTAAAAAATAATATATTTAATTTAATAAATTATAGTATATATTTTACGAAAATAGTATTTAAATATAAAAAATATATAAATGAAAATAATGTACTTAATATAACATGCATATTTAATTAAAATTAAATACTTTTGCTTAAATGAAATAAACAATTCCTTGCATTTAAAGCAAAAGTTTCAAGAAAACAAATTTAATTGATTAAAAAAAATTTTTCCCTCAGTGTGAATTAATATAATAGTTAATAAAATTAATAATTAATAAAAGATGTATCCATATACATAGCGTAATAAAATTACATGAATTAAGGCTTTATTTTGAAAACAAAAATTAATGATTAACAAAAAATAAGATATCTACTATATATGTAGCGTAATAAAGTTACATAAATTAAGGCATTATTATGGAAACGTGAATAGAAAGTGAATATTTAGCTGGATTCTTTCAGGAGCCAAATAAACAAGCAGTAACGAAGACACCAATATTATCGTCAACGGTTCAAGTACGTGCTAAGGATGAAGCTCTAGGTGTGAAAAATAATCTCGCTGAACCGGAATACGATTTCCTCTCAAAACAGCCGACGGAAGTGATCGATGAAACTTACAAAGTAAGTAAAACATAATATCAAAAAGAGAAATAACTCTCTAATATCACAATAGGGAATAAAAGTAAATGCCATATCATTATTTTTCCGCTCTAGAAATAGCATGTTTCATGTAATTTTATTATTTCCTTCTTTACATTGCCTTATTTTGTATTATTTTTTCACAGATTGTATTCACTTATCGTATTTTATTCATTTATATTTTGTTTTTTAATAGCTTTCTCGACTTCTTCTGGTATCTTGAAACTAAATCAATCAATATCTCGAATTTGCTTTTCCTATGAATAGGAAGTGAGCAAAGAAAATGAGATCTTGTAATTATATATATACATATATAAGTTACATATAATATTTTTATATAAATATGTTTTTCTGAATAATCAATGATGTTTTGATATTTTAAAGACAGTGATATTTTAAATGCATTAGTATGCAAAATTATTCTTCTATAAATTGATCAGACTCATCGGAGATTTCTCTTTTTCTTTTACTATAAATTCATAGTGTTTAATTCTAAAAGAGTTAATGTCAACTTTTTACAAATTATGTAATAAAATATTTAATATATTCTTTTGTATATCTATATTTTATTTTATATATATATTTCATTCTTTTTAAAAATGTTGTAATTACGTTTTTATATGTAATAAATCTCATATTTTAGATTTTATAATTATGTACACGATAAATTGATGGAAAGATAAATATGCTTTTTACAAATTTTACGGTACATTTCACATAATTCTGTTCAAGCTTATCGAAAACATATTTAACTTGATTTATTAAAAAACGTGATATTGGCTGTATTGGAATTCAATCATGGAATATCTCGCGTTCGCGAAATTCGCGATTAATTCGCAAAAGCAAGAAATGCAAATATCCGTTTTATCTTTGCCCATGAATGGGAGTCGCAAATACGAAGATCGAGAATCTGGTTTCGATGTCTTTGATTGTCGTCAAACCGGATACGTCGTTAATGAACATCTTTGCAAAAACGAGTTCAACGAAATACTGATGGTTTTAAGTGAACGTCCGATGGAAAATGGGTTATCCGGCCAGCCGGATGGAAAAACCATCGTGATAAAATAGAATATTCGTAGTATCTCTCCATAAAATTATGCAATCGCCTTATCTTGTAAGCAACTTTCACGATAACTCCCGCGCGAAACCGCGAACGAAATTGTTCAGAATAATTGCATTGGCGTAATTTTCCGCGTGCCGTAATCGATTTCCTAGCCGATCCTTTCCAACTGCCTTCCCCTCCATAAGTTCCTCAACGATCGGCGTGAAAGTTCGATCTGATCGCGCTGATAAATCGGTTTCACTCGCAAAACGCGACGAGCGTTACTTTTCCAACTATTATATACAATTTTTCAACATTTATTGCGTCGAAAAATTTCGAGAATTTGGAAGCTTAAAATGACAATCTAAATTGGTATCTTTTTTTGTAACGAAAGATATTAGAAATTGTCCTTAGTCGCTAAATATTAAACAAATTTAAAAAAATTATTTTTATTTTTCAGGCCTATCAAAAACTCAGAGAATTATGGTTATTATTGTTTTCTAATAATTTCCCATATATAATTATTGCTTCAATTTTTATATATTTTTTTTTTCTCGTTTTCAATATTTTATACTAGTAAAATGTTGAAAATTTATCTTTTTATCAAATTAAGATTAATATTTTTTACATGAATTATATTTTTAGCTTCATATATAATTTAATATTATCCCAATATAATCTTTTCGCCATGTTTCTTCTTCTAAAATCCTGGTCTATAGCTGATCAACCTTCTGCTAAAATCCTGGTTTCTATAGTTGATCAACCTGCGACCCTCGTCGAAGGCTCATCACAAGCCGCGCGCCACCGCAAGAAGAGACAAGGAGAACCCGACAGGCCTGGTGACTAAGCTTGGTGGCACCGTCGTGAAGGATGGTCTCACCACCGTGCACGAGACCAGTGTAATCGGCACCTACATCAACGGCAAGTACGCCCAGGTGCTGCAGAGCTCATCGAGAATCCTGAGAGAGCCGGTGATCGAAGAAAAGATTCATCCGTCCAGCACGACTCGAATCCTGAAGACCATCGGTCCGCATCATGGCAAGCTTAAGCCCCAGCTGGAGCCCACTCCGACCTATCAGCAGGAAGAGTCCTCATTACCCTTAGAGAATCTCTTTAACGCACCCTCCGGTGAGTATTTCTGTGATAAAAATATACTAGCAGCAATGTTTTATAATCTAAATCTGTCTAGAACACAGATTATAATAAATTTTGCAAAATATATAAGTTATAAACTTGTTTTATGATAAAAACTTTTTATAAATAAATTTTGAAATGTGGAAGATTTTAAATATTTCTTTTTTTATCAGTTCTTAGTCCGCCTTGATTTATTTCAGCTTCAAGATAATAATCTGTACTAATTTGTAATATATGATAATTATTGAAGAATATAAGAAAAAAATATTTATCAAAAATTTTAATTGTCTCATTGATTTACGATAGATAAAAGCTTTTTCGTATGTGCTAATTTTTTATTTTCAATGATATTTGTAAAACTTTCTATATTTCTTGAAGAATTATATGGTACTGAAAGAGTTGATTTTTGAGAAATTTGATGATTATCAAATTAGACACTCCAATACGAACAACGCGAAGGCACTCGACCTCCAATAATCAGCTCAAGCCCAAATTCCGAAACAAGATTGCCGATGATTACGAAAATATCGAGCCACAACAACAAGCGAGGACCGGCAAAAATCGCTTGACGACAACTCGTCCAAATTACAAGTGAGTGTCTCTGATGAGAGAGTAGCAATCTGAAGGAAAGAATTAATTTGTAACTTAACATTTGTTATGTCTTATGAAACAACTTAGATATCATTATGATTGTCTTATTATTGAAAATATAAAGCTAAAATATACGCTAGATCCTTGTGCGATGAGATTTCTGATCAATTTTTTAAGCAAGAAACTTACACTTTTCTTCAGGAATCGTCCTATAACTACCACCAGCACCACAGAGACACCAATTAGTCGCCGTCGCAGCGGTTTTCGACCGAGCAGTCAATCCATCAATTCGCTCTCGAAGCAAACAACCAAGTCAAAGAATAGCGATCAGCAACCCTCACCAACGGCCAGTCTTCCGGTGCCGAAGGTGAAGCTACCAAGAACGCAAGGTCGCTGGTCGTACAAGACTACGCCGAAGCCTAGGATCATGATCCGCAAACAGGTGGACGACGAGGATCTACGATCATCAACGACCGAGTCTACGAACACGGAGTCTTTCGTGGTAGCCTCGGACGAACAGAGCAAGTTGACAGCGACGACGAATAACGCGGCTCCAACCTCGTCCGGCGGCGTCGTCAACATCGCCCAGAGGAAGGAATTGTCCTTCACAGAAGACGAGTTAGATCCCAGTGAGAGCGAGGATGTAGCCAGTGTCAGTGTGCAGCAGGATCAAAATGGAGAGCAGATCCTTCCGATAGAGACGCTCAACGTGGAGATCTCCACCGCGGCGGATCTCGACAACGTGTATTTCGAGATCGCCACTATCAAGTCGCCGTACTCTTTCCAGGCATGTTCTCTCGACTCTACTCTAGTATTTATTTATTTAAATAAAATATTCGATAAAATCTTATTTTTATATATAAATAATAATTGTGCCAAACTGTGCCGAACATTAAAGAATAATTATTATTGTTCGTAACAATATAATCATTGATTTTTAATATATTACATTTTTTATTTGAGATTAGCTGTAAAATACATCAGAAAAGATCGTTGTTATTTTCTTTTATTGTCACAGTAATCCAAATATTTTTTCTCCAGGTGGGAACACTTCGAAATACCCGCTACATCACAGTGACTTCTACAATTAAGAAGACTTTCGCGACGGTCGAGCCAACCAGTTCCATCTCACCTACTGAACCGCTCACGGAGAATATCCTGGCGAACACGGCAGCTGCTTATGAGTCGACTTTGCCGCTCGATTCGTCCGTTGCAACGCTACCGGCAATCTCCTTGGATGCCAGCCAGGCGACACCGCCGTTAGAAACGCTAACAGAGACGTTCTCGACGACGCAGACGTTGTTGAAGACACACATGTTACCAGTGATTTATGGCGGCAACAGCACCACTCGTTTGACTCTGGTACAAACGTACAACATTGCCCGAATGGTGACAGCGACGAAAACTCTACCGCCGATGGAAATCTACCAGTTCATCCCGAGCAAGACACTGAACGAGTTTAATTCGAAGCTCGACGAAGCCGGTAGCGAGCTGCATCTCGAGCTTGACTTCAGCGAAGATGATCGTGATGACGAGGATGTGCTCAAGAGGATAGTGGCGCCTAGCAGCGATTCAGATTCCGATCTGGATATCTTCAAGTCCACATTAGCGTCCAAAGCCAAGAGTGACATCGCGACCAGCAGCAGTGTCGAACCCCAGCTTACTCCGGAACAAGCCCAACAGTTGGCCCTGCTGAAATATTTTGGTCAGCCCCAACCGCAACCTCAAATCATCACCACGTCCAGGCCGGTGGTCGTCCTGGAAACGATGTACGAATCGCATGTGATTCCCGTAGTGAGCGCGGGAAATACCATTTACTCGACGTTGTCCAGGCCAGTTGCCACTGTACCTAGGTTGGTATAATGTATATTTAATAAGTTATATGCGTTAATTAATTATACAATATATTGTATCATCTTACATACTATATTTTGCGCATTCCTTCAGGACCTCCTACGAATACGGCACATCCACTCTGAGTCCGGTGCTACAGCCGCAAGTGCCACAGGTGCCGCAGGTGCCGCAAGTGCCGTTGTTCCCGCAGCAGCCACAGTTTACGGTGACAAGCGCGCCTCTGGTCACTCAGACTCTTGCCACTATATCGGATTCGCGAGTATTAAAGCTCACCTTCGGTGCTAAAACCGCTTATACCACCCTCTTCTCCACGAGGGTCGTACCCACAGAGCTCACCACCTATGTCACCAACACGGTGCCAGTACAGCCGACGGTACCGGCATATCCTGGTTATTATCCAGCGCCGGTGCCCTATCCGCCTTACCCCTTTCTCGGTTAGATTTTAATCTGACCATCAAGCCTCTTGCGGTCCAATTACTCTTCAAGTAGATTTTTCTTCGGACTAAATTTTAATTTTGATTTTCTTGGATGAATACTAGTTCTTATGATAAACGCTATGAACGATGTAATTGTAGCTAAAACAATACAATTTTGTTTATTTAATGACTTTTTATAATAAGTTTGAGAAATTTTTCGATATAAACATTTTTAACTATCTTTTGCAAATTTATATGTGCATTGATTGCCATATTGACATTTATTACTTTATATATAAATTAATTTCGATTAATATTGAATAATTTTAAATTAGACAATTATCTTTGAAGTCGACATCATATTTTTGTACAAAAAAATGTTAATTTTAATTAAAATATTATTTTCTTTAAGAAATTTTAACATATTTATTTGTGTTAAATTAAAGAATAATATCGGTAATAATGCTGCTAATTCACAATACTTTTCAACAGAGCAATAGTTCTAATATTTTTTGTAATTATACAACTGCTGCATAATAGCATTCAATATCAATTTGGGTCACTACAAGTAGAATATGAAAAAACGCAATCGAGATCGCATATCGAATGAAAAAGAAATTACAAAGTTGCATAGTTTCAAATCATTCTACATAATCGAAACGATTTAACGACGATGATCCTAATTGGACCGCATTGAAAATTATTGTAAATAAATTATTGATTATAATATTGTATATCGTATATTGTATGTATCGCGTATTTTGTAAATAAATAAAACAAAAACATAAATCTCTGCCACTTTTATCGTATTACAAGCCTAACTCCTGAACATTAAACATTGGTGATACAATATTACACATACATTTATATGAATAATATTGTATATATATATATATATATATATATATATTTTTTAATTAGATGTAATATAATTTATACTTAAAGTCTACGAATTTAATAATTCAATATACGAATCTTTATAAAAACGAGATGTAAATTAAAATATTTTAGAATTGAAAAGGTTTAAAACTTTTTCTTCAGCGCAAAATAAAATACTAATTTTTATTATGTGTCACTTTTTATATAAAATATATATATTTTATGTTCACTAATGATAATTAATGATAATTTTATGTTTACTAATGATAAAAATTACATTTTATTTGCTTTCTATGTTTAATATTTTTTTTATTTTTAATTTATTAATATACCTAATACATTAGTATGATAATTTTTTACGTGAAATCATCAGTATGATAATTTTTTACGTGAAATATCAGAGATAATATCTCATTCCTGCCGAATTATTCGATTATTTATATTCGTTTCGTAACTATTGGAAATAAGAACAATTAGTTTACATATACATTGTTTTCCACTATTTTAAAATGATGATGATTGTCTTCTAAAAATGACTACCTCTTTAATTATAAATGTATATTTTGTAAATATAAAAAAAGTGTATATAAAATTACAAAACGAGAAGATTAAATAAATGATTGTAGATAACGCGATACAAACGAAATAGATGAAATTTTATTGCAAATTAATGACAAAAATCTGATGACATAAACATATATATGTAATATTTATTTTAAATTGATTTTGAAAAAAGAGAGAATTTATTTTAAATAAAAAACTAAAAGGAAATTCTCATTTTTAAAAATTAAAAATAGAAATAAAAGCATTAAAAAAACATATAGAAATAAAATATATATAGAAATAAAAACATATTAAAAACTGCGTACGTATTCTATATATTTTAAACGAACATAATTTTCAAAATAAATATAAGTGCAATGAAAGCTTTGCAATTGAAGTGCAGAAGAAAGAGAAAATGTACTAAATTTTTCATATCTTTTTTCTTATGAAAAATATAATTATAATAAATTTACTGTAACATTAGATAATGAATTGACATCTAATGCTTGAATGTAATCGATTCCTCTTCTTTTTTTATGGCTCGAATAAGCGTCAACGTCAATACAGCTATAATTACCTGTAATAATTAGGATAAGAGAGAGATAGAATTACAAGAAGATGATAGAATATCATTTTATTTTCATAGCTAAATTATAAAATTACGTATTCTTTCTTCTTGAAAAAAGTAAAGAAAAAAATAAAGAATAAAAATTTCTTACGTGAAGCATGCACAACGCCATTGCCAGACCAGCGAGCCATCCTGATCTTGCTTCCAGGAACCAGGACAATTCCTCGACACAGCCGTGATGGAAAGCGTTTCCAGTAACAGTGTCCCGACATTCGGTGGGCAATGGTTTACGTAGCCGCGTGTAATCCCTGGGTCCATCAGCTCCGCAGCATCCGACCTATCAAACATTAGAAAAAAAAATCAAAATTTAAGATTAAAATAAAAAAAGTATAATTTCTAAAATATTATATACATCTTACAGTTTCCTGGATTACTCTTAGGATGTAGCTCGCCGTTTCGTGTTGGGAGTTGCTAATAAGATTATACATGGATCGTTGGATAATAGGTTGAATCTTACTGTCATACGTCGAATAATCAAGAATTACCGCCGCTCCAGCTAAACCGCAGACGAAACTAAAGAATTGAAGGCCCACGTGCTAAAATCACGAAATTTTCTTTGATGAATTGTCATACAAAATCTTATAATTATAAAGAAATAATTCTGTTTCAATTTCAAAAATTTAATGAGAAAATTTAGTAAGAAAAGAATTAATCCTCAAAAAGAAATATCTTAAAAAATTAATTTTGACATTGAATTTTAATAAAAAGGAAGCAATTTACGTTGCAATATTTTTTATCAATTAATATTTGAATTAAATATTCGATAAAGATTATTAACTTGCAACAAAATAGTTGATTAATAATTTATTATTAAATATTTTCTATGTTTATGTTTTAGATGTTGCATTATTAATAATTGAAATAATGAAAATAACGAAAAATATTTTTAACAATAAAATGATTTGGAATAATTATAAAAAAATCAAATAATCTTGACAACTAGCTTATTCAGAGATAATTTCCTTCGAGAATTATCGGAAAAGTCCATGATAAACATTCTTACGATGTATAAAGCCAGTATATTCTCCATAAGTGCAGCGCCGCAACCAATAAATGCAACAGCCATGACGAACACCGAAGTCGCAATTAGAATATAAATTCCGATGTAAAACTCATACATATCCAGAAATTCCACCCATTCTTCGAACATTGGCTCGAATCTCATCCATATCGACAGCCCGAACATTGCACAGCCCAGGATCTTTCAACAAATAACAATAATTTTATTAATAGAACGTATCAATTAATAAAGCGATGATGACTTTTTTCCTTTGTTTTTAACTGCAATAATGTAATAGCAAGATAAAACGAAGACAATGTGTCTTTTAAAACTTATTACATTGATTATAAAATTATATTTAAATCAAAAGATGAACAGTATAAAAATAGTTTATAATAGTTCATAATGTAATATATAAGAAATTATTTCAATTCTGTACAAATTTTATATAAATTCTATTTTGTAAATACATGTTTTTTAAATACTTATTTTAATTTTCATATTTTATAAGATTTATTCAATATATATTTTTTGTATTTTTTTCGTGAACTTGTATAAGAAAATATTTATATATGTTTAATATTTTAAATATTAGTAACAATTTATTCGGCGAAATCGTGTAGCTAATTTTTGTAATCTTGTAATTCAATTTTAATTTGATCTGATTTGATTCTTTCTAATAATATAATAAAACGTATTTAAGTTTCAACAAACTTTATTATTAAGAAATTAAATTTAAACATTTTTTTTTAATAATCGATTACTTTATTGAACAAATCAATCGCAACATTTTTCTTGAGAAAAAGAAAAAATCTGAAAAAAGAGAAAATTTAAAGAAAAATTTTTTATTTTGAAAATCAAAAATAAAATAATTCAAAAATCAAAATAATTACATCTATTTATATCACTGACTTATACAATGTTGTTCACTCGTCTTTTACATTTATTTGTTCTTTTCATATTTTACGCAAAAAATAGATCATATTATATCATTTCACTAGCACATTGTTCACAAGACGACGCAATCATCATGATAACTCCGCGTACCCACCCATATTATCGCATTTAAGCAGAAAATCGTGAATTTGATGCAGCCGATCTGCTTCTCTAGCAGCGGTACAGAGCTTTTGGCGACCATCTCCTTGGCTCCTTACGGAAGATATCCTCCGTCACAGAGTCTTATCGACGACCGAGACGTTATTTCGGAAAGGTGAATGAGACAAAAACGTAATTAGTCGATCGTGGAGGTACCCCGAGTATCATCACTTGTTAACTGTTGCTTTATCAATGGCAAATATAGATAACTGGATAAGAACCGTCCTAGATAAAAAAATACCTCGCATTACCGAGATGAATCACTTCTTTCGTGGTATCTCGATGAATGTATATATTATTAAAAAGTATAATTATTAATCAGCACAAAGAATGCTAATATGATAAAGAATGATAATATTTAATTCGCTCATAATTATTTGCGAATATTTTAACTGTTTATAAAACTAAAAAACTCGTAATTCAATCATTTAATTTCAAAATTATTGATATACAAATCGTCGTTAACACAAATGAGATTTTTTTTAAACATTAATAATGAATAAATTATATTTCCTAAATAGATTTTGAGTAGAAATAAATAATCATCAGATGTGACAAGAATAAAATGTCACATCACATAGTAATTTTGATGACACGCCATATGATGAATACGTTTTATTTACAGTAACCCTTACAAAATTGCAATTATAAGAAATAGAAAATATACCAGATCGATATTTGTGTATAGGTAAATAAATAAAAGAATAAAAATTAGTAGAAATCTTCTTCCGTAGCTTTTGATGCCGACGTTTTATTTTTAATCTGTTCTTGATTATTGTACATGTCTGCCACCTGCTGAGCAGAAGTGGCCTCTTCACAATTTTTATCTTCACGTATCCTGATAAATCGCGGAAACCTTAAAGAAATACCTTTTTCCGGATCAACCTAGATAAAGCAGAAAAAATTTAATATATAATGAATTTTCTAATTTAAAGGCTATTTAACTACAGAATCACTTATATCGCTATCGTTTCAATTTGATAGAAAAAGGACACCTATTATGTTTCCGAAATTCTGTAATGATGCAAATTCTTTCATAAATCGAAAATTTTTTAAATTAAAAATATCGAAATTAAAAGATTTCTATCATGCGATATTAATTTTGTTTTTTGATGCAATTTAGAAAATTTTAAACTCTTGAAACTCACTATTCCGATAGCTGCCCTATGAACTGGTGACAGGGAAAGATCAGCGCATTTAATCTCCCATACTTGTACCGGTTCAAACCAATGATCGGGCTCATGACTGCTGTCGAAACGGTAATATGATTTCGTTTGAGATATCACATGATCCTTAAAGAACTTTGTGTGATTCTCCAGATCTTCCTCCTTGAAGCCTGTGCCGATCTATTTATAAAAAAGCAACATACATTAATATACGAACTAGAATAATATATTAAATGAGCAAAAAAGTAATGTTCACTTAAATTATTAACTTAAATTACGAAAATTATTGAATTTATCGTATTTCACATGATTAAGAAAAATATTTAAAATTAGATATTACAAAATAAAAATATTAAGTTATTAAAAAATACTCGATAAAATTTAAAATTATTTAAAATTATTAAAATTATTTAACATGAGAAGAATTTCCATTAATTGCTATGCTTCTTCATTTCCGCAACATTAAGGAAATATAGAAACATACTTTACAGATGCTCTGGTACTCCTCGTTTTCTTGATCATAGCAAGCCAAGAGAAAGCCACCATAAGTGCCTGTTCTCTTTCCTTTGCCGATATAACCACCGATTACAACCACGTCAAGCGTATCGCCCACACCGTCCAAATAATCTTTTTTCAGCTTCAACCAATTTCTCGATCGCTTCGCGATCTCATAGGTTGCTTCCTCCTCGAGCGTCTTCACCATTAAACCCTCACAATTTCCCTTCACAGATTCGTCCAAGAAAATTTGCACTTCCTCCATCGTAGTAGTGTCCATACTATTGGCAAATTTCCACTCGCCTTCTATTTCTTTGAAATGCTGCTTCAACAACTCGCGACGTTTTGCAAAAGATTCTTTTACCAACGGCTCGTCGTTTAGATATAACAGGTCGAACATGAATACACATACTTGCACTTTAATGTCCTTCTCGTTGGCATCCTAAGAACAAAAACAGAATATTATTTTAAAAAGAGCGATTATAACAATTACATTAATTACAATCATAGTGATTATTAAATTATGACAATTCGTGATGATTACAATTAAAACAACTATATTACCTTTCGCTTTCTCGTGCTGAGTACTTGGAATGGAAGAATCTGTTTTTGCTCATTGTCCCAAGCAACTGCCTCGCAATCGAGTATGCAATTCTTCACCAGGTCGCCGCGAGTATTCTTGAATCGCTTAATAATATCCGGGTATTTACTAGTATTGTTTTCCTGATTTCGACTGTAGATATTGATGTGGCCATTGTCCGCGACATGTATCTATTGTATTGTAATACTATAATTGATTTGAATCTTGAAATTCGCATTTCATCGCTAATTGATTGTGGCACATATTACATTTTTTTTCATGCAATATAATATATCGTGTGTAATTTGTAAAATTAAAAAAATTAGAACCTGTGCTCTTTCTCCATCATATTTCCATTCGCACGTGAATTTTAATCCCTCAAATCGTGTTAGGACTTCTTGAATACCCTTGGTAGGGTGTGCCAACATAGGTTTCAAAGGTATTCCAGGAGTGAGCTTGCACTTACTCGGCAAGCCATTGATTCCATCTTCCAGTAAAACGGGAATTATGAGATTATAATTTGGACATTCACTGAAAATAAATGTAAATCATTTTAATTAGAAAAAAATAAAAAAGTTGGCAAATATTTAAATATTTAATATTTTATTTTCAAACAAGAAAAAGAATAAAATTTTACTTTAAATTAACTATACTTATTTTAATCATGAATTTAAATTGAATTAATTAATAATTTAATTATTAAAAATATCTTTTTTAAACTCTTAATTAACAATTATTTTAAATAAAATAAATGTTATATATTTTATTATTTTCTAATTAATTTACTTTAATATTTAGAATAATATTTTCGGAATAATAGCTCACCAATATGTTGTCTTGAGTATAAGTGCTATTTCGTCATATTTCTGTTTAAAACGATCGCTCGATAGATTCTTATTCGCGTTCAAGATTTCTGGTGGATAACTCTGTTGTGGTGGTGTCATAGCGCAAGCTAGAGCCAATGCCTAAAAAAAGATAGATTAATAATATCGATTGAAAGAACGCAACATCATCAATGACTTACTTGCAAAACAGATTGCTCCGCCAAACCGATGCGAAGCTTTCCAGCCAACGATCTAATAAGATATCTCGCTTCCGTATTACGACATGCCACAAAGAGCGTTTGAATTTTGTCCAATTTTTTCGTTAGAGACTATATATATAAAAAAAAAGAAAAAAATAATTTTTACTTTGTGAATAAATAACACAGTGTGTTTTATTTCTAGATAAATATTCTAATATGTATTCTTTAATGTTATTTTATTTTAATCTACATCAATTTTTATTTTTCATATTTTGTTTAAAATTCAAATAAATTTAATTTTCGAAATTTTTAAATATCAATTATATTATTTTTTAAATTTATTTGATATATATATATATATATATATATATATATATAAAATTTATATATATAAAATAAATTATAAAATTTTAATTTAAAATGTAGCTTACAAAAATTAATTTCCTAAATTATTAAATTTTTTAAAATTTGATATTATTTTTCTAATTTATATATTTATATTATTAATAATATAAATTTTCTAATTATAACAGTTGTATGGGTTACCGCGTGGCCTGTCATTTGGGCAACCTCTTTTAGTTTGGAGTACACAACGAGAACTGTCAACGGTGCCGGCTGAAACATAGTTCTCTGATTGGATCTGCTACCTTCTGCTACAATTCCCAAATCGCCAACCTCCTGGACATCGGCTTTAATTTGCGCCAACGTCCTACCAGTGCACTGCGCAATCGCCTTCATCAGGTTCGTATCAGCGACACCAAGCTCAATTCCTAAGACAAAATAAAAACACAAATAATTTCTAATCAAATAATAAAATTTAAATATAACTATATTTCATTACACAAATTAAAGTACTGCTTTCTCTAAAAGTATAACAATACACATAGGTTCAATGTTTACCTTCATATGCTGGTGCTAATTGATTAAGGCACAAATACACGCTTGGCAAAAGATCCATAGGGCTCAGAACTATGACAGATCGGAAGTAATTTGATAATATTTCTATTATTTTCAATCTTGCACTTGTTTCTTCGATAAGCTCCAAAGTACGCGTGAAAGCACTGTATGGAGTTCTGTAAATAAATTTGAAAAAGAGAATTTTATATATTCTCAAATTTTTCTGTTTCAATTATTCCAACTCACTTATCTCCTCGTTTCCAGCACGCATTGTTTATTGGATGATAACCAGATATGCTAGGATTGTAAGACTGATTATTGTTTTTTACATCACTTGTATCCTTTGCATCATCTTTTTCCTTAGATGCTGTTTAATAATAAGATTTAAATAAATTTGAATCTCATTAAAGCTTATAAGATTATATTTCTATATTTCATATTATTATTTAAATATATATACACTTAAATTTTAATTGATAATCTTTTAAAAATACTTGAATCTTTGAGTACTTACTAAAAAAACTGTGTACTTTTTTAGAAGTAGTCTTTGACTTTTTCTCTGGTGTTGGCTCCTTTTTCAAGGTATCAATCTTTTCCTCGATATCCAAAATATCTTCATTTATTTCATCATGTGATGCATTCTTTTTTATTTTACATTCATCTATACTTTCAATCTTGTCTTCTTTGCTGTTAGTCTCTAATTTTTTCGGACTTTCAGGTAACTATAAATAATTATTTGTAAATATAAAAAAGTATTTATAGAACAAGGACAAATATATAAATTTAATTTAAAATGTATATATAATAAATTTTTATTTTTAACAAGCAAATTATCAATTTTAGAATGATCTAAATTTACCGGTAAATGATCATCATCGCTGGAATCTGTTTCGATTATTCTGGCCCGTTTCTTTTTCACTTTATTTTTCATTTTCGTTGCTTCATCAGAGTTATATTTTGTATCTCGAGGAATAGATTTTTCTCGTTCATTTTTAACTGTATCATTTTCTTGAATGTTTTCCACTATCTCAGTTCCATTTATATTTTTAGCTTCATCTTTCTTCTCCTTTTTTGGAGTATTGGTTAATTTCCTCTTTTTATTTGCTCCAGGTGAAAGTTTAGTCGTCTTATTTTTTGGAGTAGTTCCTGATAAAGTAGTTATAAAAATATATAACATTCTATACACAATAATACAACAGTATAATTACCTAGCTTTGCACGAGACTTTGCGCCTGGGGAAGGAGTCTTGGAAATTGACTTTGGCTTCGTAAGTTTGTCTACCTTCTTGGAAGGAGGGCTGTAAAAATAACAATTTAGAGAAACAATATAAATAAAAAAGCAAATAGAGAAAGATGATATAAAATAAAATCCTCCCTCTTAAAAGTACTAAATATTAGAAGCAACAAACAAAAAATCTGTTAATTACCTAGCAAATCCATTGCTATCTCTCTTCCGTTTGCCGCTTCCCGGTGCATCCTGATTCTTTTCCTTGTCGGACAAATTGCTGTTGGTTGCATGTATCCAATTAAAAACGATAACAAATCGATTATGAGCAGCGTTCGCGAATTCGAAACGTCGAACCGGTAAAGTCAAGGAGCTCAAGCGCGAGCATGTCGCAAGAATTTTCAGCATGATTGATTTAATTAGAGACTATTAGCGCTTATGAAACATACCTCTCCGAATAATCCTCGCTCGAGTTCTCCTTCTTGGACGATATCCTCGTGAAGAAAGAGCTGTAACGATAAAGCAATGTCACTCGAAAAAGAAGTCACATGTATAAGAAAAAAATTGTCAAATTATATGTCAATTGATAAAATCATAATTTTTATATTATCGAATTATGTTATATTATGGGACTTGTTAATGATTAAACTACTTTGTTAGATTTTCCCCAAATAATTATCCTGTCAATCTACTCACTCTATACGACGTTGCGCCATTATTAACGCGCATTTGACAACATTTCCCGCGTTTATTACGGAACAGGGTGACGTCACTTCTCACAGATTGAATAATATACAGAAGACCAACCGTCTCTGAAAAAATGGCATCATAGAATTGTGAAGGACCGTAGAAAGGAAAACGCATGAATAAATGTGAATTAAAAAGAAGATATATATCTGTATATATTTTTTCAATAAAATTAAATTAAAAGAACAATATTCAAAAAACATGATACTTAAATTAAATTAAATTATGATAATTTCAATTCATCCTCATAAGCCTTACGTGTTTGACTTTTTTTTGTTATATTTCCTTGTTTATAGATTTTTCCTTATTATTATATATGAAATGCATATATAAAAATGATTTTCCTGGCAATATAGAGAAATGAATTTGACTTACAACAAATGTATAATTATAATTTTAAAAAGTTTTATTTAAAAGTTTTATTTAAAAGGCCAAATGCAATCCACCAAAATACTGGCACAATAATAATCATTTTGTAATTTCTGGTTTTGTGTATAAAAATTTCATTGATGATTATAAATAATAAAGTAAAATTATAATATAGTAGAATAGAATAAAATTATATATTGATTGGAACATATACAATATCTATGTATATATAATAAATAATATTATATACAATTGTATTTACAATAAAATATATTTATATAATTATATCAAAGTTATATTAAAATTATAAAAAATTATAATAAAATTGTTATATAAATATATATATATATATAATTTATTATATATGTATAATTATTAATATGCATGGATTGCATCAGAAAGAATATCATTTTTTTGTTACATTTCAAATAAACTAATCAGATTCACTAGTTTTTGAGCTTTTTATAAATAAAAAGAAAATGGAGAAATCTTATTAAATGGAAATTATACTTTACTTTTAATTGTATAATTATCAATTTTATTTTACAAATAACAAATGTAAACCAAATCATTTCGGAAAATTCACAACTAGTTTTAATTTTACTGGTGTTCGAAAGGCATTTTGTAATTCTTGCTCTACTATAATAGCAACTTGTTTTATCCTACTATTTATTAATTTATCCTTAAAACTGCGAATTAAGAGTCTAGCAATATTTTTTCTAGGACATGTGATAGACACTACCGCCTTAATACTATCATCGGATCCTGTCTCAAAATGATCTACTTTTATATCCAAAATATATGGAATCTCATGTGGTAAAATATCCATCAACTTTGCCCGTACTGTCTGTTGTATTATATACTCGCACTTGTGATTGCTATATATATGTCTTTCATATTGCCAATCTTGAGGCTTAGCCGAATCCAGCAAATATGTCTGTAAAACACAGCATAGTTTATATTTTATGGAGATCTTAAATAATATAAAAATTGTTGGTTACCAAAAAATAATTGTGTTATATTATATGCATTTAATTATTTATACTTGCAAAGTTATTTACCCTCAAGTCATCGATACCATCTCCGGTCAAAGCAGATACCATAAATATATCAGAGAACTTCAAAGATTCCTTGCTTTTGACAAAAATGTCCACAAGTTCCAGTAACACGTCTTTCCTTCTCAATTTATCCACTTTATTAAAGATTAAAATCATAGGAATCTTATTTATTATTTTCTCAGTCAATAGTTCTAATATATTTTTATCGATTTTGTGTCTAGTATAGATATTATTTGCCTCTTGCACAATCCCCACAATATCTGCCGCTGCCAAGGAAACTTGTGGATCGTTTCTAAACGAACCAGCTAAGTTGTATCGTTTACTTGTGTACATGGAAACCACACCAGGTGTATCTATAAATATCAACTGAGTATCATCTTCGCAATAAATTGCATCTGTTTTGGTCTGCGTAGTATGTACTTTAGAAGATGTAGGACATATCTGGAAAATATAAAGAGAAAGATACATGACGCAGGAAGAAAATTAACTTATTAATCATAATAATAAATAGATCCACAAAATAGAAAAGAGGAGGAATAAATATAAAGTAAAAAATAGAAACAGATTGTACAATATCTATAATAAATTCTGGTTAGATAATTTTCAAATATTTTTTATAAATATGAAGTAAATAATATAAATAATAGAAAATAAAAAAGTATATATTTTTTAAAAATTTTGATCAAGATAATCTTCAAGTCTTCTTTACACAAGCAAAAAAAAGATAAAAATAATTTGATATATATCTACCGATCTCTTAATAAGTTTATTGACGAGCGTGCTTTTTCCAGCATTCGGTGCACCTAGGATGGCGATCTTCAGAGACTTCTGGTTTAAAGGCAGCGATGCAAAATTATTGTCGGATTGTGATATAAGTTCTTGGGAATCATGTGCCAAAGTACCGGCATTTTTCGAAAAACATCGTCGTAAATATCGAGAACTCGCGCGAATCATAAATCTCTCGATCGTAAATAACATTTCGCGACTATTTTATGAATCTTTTCAAATTCTTTGCATTTATAAAATTATATCAGCTCACGAGTATGAGAGTAAACATAACCTAACTTTATCATCTGTACACTCATCAGTTATACGAAGAAGATAACGAGGAACAACGCGAGATATTTGTATAAACTTGTCCTGCTTTTTACTGCAATTTTTCGAAAGAATTCCAGAGAAACGGAATGGATAATTTATACATTCGAGCGTTAGAGGCGAGAAGTAAAAGAACCGCAAAAGATGCACGCGACATGAATGGACGCATTAAAAAGGAAGACTCTCATTGGCTGCGCCATGTTGCTGCTGTCATTAGTCCACTCGCGTTGCTTGTACTTCTACACCTTTCTCCTTTTCTCTCTCTTTCTCTTCAACGGAACTTATCCAAATATATATTCATCTCGTTCTAAATGTAAAAATAGCCTATTTTGCAGGCACGAACGCAGACCTATTTTTATTCCTGCGATACAAATGTCAAAATCGACATCTCGCGCCGGCAAACGGAGCGTCTTCAGCCTGGAGCACATAAAAAAACTTAGACAGTAAACTTAAGACTTAAACGAATCGACCAATCACACTCGAGCAATAAGGCAGCCACTGCCTTCTGTATGTACATGTGTGTATATACGAGGGTGATTTGAAAAGTCCGTGCGAAAATGAAAATTACTTAATTTTTTGGGATAAACCTTTTTTTATTTTTCAACGTAGTCTCCTTTTAGGCTTATACACTTCGTCCATCGCTTCTCCAGTTTGTTGATCCCTTCGGAGTAATAGGATTCGTTCAACTCTGCAAAATAGGCATTCGTTTCCGTAATCACCTCCTCGTTTGAATAAAATCTCCTTCCCGCCAGCCACTTCTTCATATTGGGGAACAAGTAATAGTCCGAGGGAGCTAAATCTGGAGAATAGGGGGGATGCGGAACGAGTTGGAATCTTAACTCCATCAATTTTGCGGCCACAACTCCAGAGGAGTGAGCTGGTGTGTTGTCATGATGGAAAAGGACTTTTTTATGGGCCAATCGTGGACGTTTTTCTTGCAGCTCGGTTTTCAAACGATCCAATAACGATGAATAATATGCACCTGTAATAGTTTTACTCTTTTCCATATAATCGATGAGGATTATTCCTTGCGAATCCCAAAAGACAGTCGCCATAACCTTCCCGGCCGAAGGAACGATCTTCGCTTTCTTTGGTGCAGGCTCCCCGCTGGCAACCCATTGTTTGGACTGTTCCTTGGTCTCAGGCGTGTAGTGGTGTATCCATGTTTCGTCCACAGTGACGAAACGATGCCTAAAGTCCTGTGGATTCCTCTGAAACAGTTGCAAACCGTCCTTGGAACACCTCACACGATTTCGTTTTTGGTCAACTGTGAGCAATCGTGGCACCCATCTTGCAGATAGCTTTTTCATGCCTAAATGTTGATGCAAAATATTATGTACCCGTTCACTCGAGATACCCACAGCACTAGCAATCTCACGCACTTTCACTCTTCTATCATCCATCACCATATCATGGATTTTATCAATGATTTCTGGAGTAGTGGCCTTAACAGGGCGTCCAGAACGTTCAGCGTCATTTGTGCTCATATGATCACTCCGAAAATTTTGAAACCACTTATAAACTGTTCTAATCGAAGGTGCAGAGTCACCATAATATTTATCAAGCTTCTCTTTAGTCTCCTGAGGTGATTTGCCTTTCATAAAGTAATGTTTGATCAGCACACGAAATTCTCTTTCATCCATTTTTGTGGAAATCAGTCTATTTCCTCGATTCAAACGAACGCCAAACGCAGAGAAATAGACCGATCTGATTGAAACTTGGTGTGTTCTTTCAAGAGAGGCTACTCACTGAAAATAAAGGTCCTTGCACAATGCTAGGCAACAGACAATAGGAATGGGAAATAGAAACTATTCACCAATAAAAACGCGGAATAGAAAATATTCGCCAATAGGAGCAGAGAATAGATATGTCTATCTCTGTTCTTGTTGCCTGCTGCCTAGCATTGTGAAAGGGCCTTAATCTCGATTCACACCAGCGGTGACATCTCTCCGATTTTGCACGGACTTTTCAAATCACCCTCGTATGTGTATATTTATATACGCAGAAAAAGCACTCTCGTATCCTTCGCGTTTCCGATGTCGATGGAAATGAAATCGAGAGATTGGATCTACGAACATGTTTGACTTCTCTCGTGACACGTCTCGTGACACGTTGGAGAGGGAACGTTGAATGAGGAATGAGACGCAAGTGAGTACCGTGGATGCTTTTTTCTTCCATCTCCTCGAGAAAGTATATCCTCCCTCGTGTCGCTTTTATTTTTTTCTTATATACTTGATATTAATAGGAATTTAGATTATTATATTTCTAGAAATTTATTTTCCATCCTTTTCTGTCTCTTCGGCCAAAATCTCTCTGAATTTTCTACCTAAAATGAAATTTCGCTGAAAAGAATGGACTCATCAGATCTATTATCCTTTTACTTTCTCTTTGCACTTTCTACACTTTCATTACATTTTTTTTTCCTTTTATCATCTCACGGAAGAGAGTGAATAATGTACTTTTGCATTCATTTTTCTGGACAGCATTTTTATATATGCAATTATGTTTTAAATGTAGATGATATAAATAACTGTGGAGAAATTTATTTTTATTTTCTACATCTTTATTTTTAATTTCATTTCTCTCTTGAGGTATTTTTCTCACAAGAAATAAAAAAATAATACCTATAATATAATAATAATTTAAATATACTTTGTAATATCTCTTTGTACATCAAATAAACATGCATATTTTTAGAGACATTAATTCCATTTTTCATTTTTTTACATAATATTCAGAGATTTTGCTTCCAAATTTGGAACAAAACACCAGTCATTCTATAACTTGTATATTTAATTGATGCTTTTTGTTTTCAGAGAATATTGAGTATAACAATCTTAGGATAGAAGATGGACCTAATAAATGTCATTGATGACGATAATGAGTAAAAGACAATGAACAGTATATATCAAAGACCAATACGACACATCTACCTGGGATACATATGCAATGAGGCCTGCAGCCGACCCCGAAGAGCAGGAAAGTACATTGAAGATGTTCGTGAAGGATCCTGCATAAATCGTGCATCAGTGGGAAAGCATCGCTGGGTAAGTAATTATATGAAGAGTTGATTCTAAAATTCTTCTAAATTATAGTTTGCAGACATCTGTACAGATATTGGGGATAGAGCAAAGATGCCAAGGGAGTTGCATAGGTTTCACAATATTATGCAAGGAAAAACTAGCAAGATATCTCTCAAACATTTTTTATATTTGATGAAGGATCTCCTGAGAAGGATAAAGAGATTTGCAGATTAATAAACATATGCATTAAAATATGCAATTACTCTTAAAGGAATCATTTCACTATACCAATTTTGATAAATGCATAGAGAGTCATGGAGAATCCTGTCAAATTTGAATCTCACTACTTTTTCTTAGCCAGAAATTTTGAATAATGCTCGTTAGTAAAAGTCAAATCATTTTTATTAAATTGTCTCTTTTCTTCCGCTACATCTGCACAAGTTGTGAAATATTTTGATTATATAATCGAATGCGTTGTTATCAGGCAGCGATGAATCTCTGAGCTCGCTGCACAGTGATATTCTGATGCACTTCTGGATCAACAAACCAGCGGGCAGGTACTACGGCTTCACCGGCCGTCGATACCCTGCCACACCTGTGCCCAAAACACGCAGTAAGTGGAGCATAAAAACAGTATCAATTCAACAATCTATGTTATCAAAATATCAATAGAGGATATTATCAAAGTATATTATCTCTCATGTATATTACAATTCTTATTTAGATGTATTATAAACCTTACTTTAATTATATTACACATTAGAAGGGATTTTTATCATACAGCAAGATAACTTAACTAAGATAATTTAGGAATCATATTCCGAGATAATTTTATAGAGCAAATTAAATAAAGATAAGGTTGAATAAATAAACAAATGAAGAGAGAAAATTGAAGGAAAATATCGCATAAATATATATTTTATTTACTTTCATTTTCGCCTCTCGGATCATCGATTTGTTCCTCTATTCGTCTAATAATTTCATTTGTTGCTAATATTTGCAGGCCAATGTCGGCGAGGTGGCGAGCTCAGGCAGATGGTGACTCCGGTGCGTCGATTTCAGGGCCTCGCAGGTAACTTCGCAGGCGGAAACGCATCGTCAGCCGGGCCTAGTAATATCAATAATTCCTGTCGAAGCATTGCCCGGTCAACGACGACATCCGCGCGAACCCACAACGAGAACCGTTCATCATCGTCGTCGCTCAGCGCCGCCCAACTCGCTCAGCTAAACAACATCCCCAAGTAATTAATGAAAACACAAAAAGGTCTACATCTAAGAAAAAGAGAGAAAAAGAGGAGACATTCTGAGAAGAACATGCTCTTCTTATACACAGGGTGACTCACTTATACATATCTATCAGCGGAAAGATCACTTATAAGAGATTCGCCCTCGATTTTGCGAGTTTAATAAAAAAAGTAACTGTATTAAACCGTCTCTGATTGTTCGCAGCAACGTCACCGACGCCAGCAACAATCAACTGATTCTATCTAACGCGACTGGTGCGAACGGCACCAACAGAAATCTACTGGGCTTCTTCGAAATCAGCGACGCCGAACTGGCTGGCTACCGATTGCGTTGCGCCGTCTGGATCACGTTCGTCCTAGCGACGGGTTTCGTGGCGGCCGCGAAGTTCTACTTCGGTTATAGGGTAAATATCTTACTTTGAAGAGATTTAATAAGTTCGAGAAAAGATAGGAAATTACAAAAATATTTAACATAGAAAATTGACAACAAATTAAAGATTTTGTGAGAGAAGGATGGCTAAAAATTAAGAGAATCTTTATAAAATATAAAAATGTACGAAATCACGGTAAATTGTGACTTACACATAATCTGTTAATTAAAAAATAACGAGACAAAAGCGGAGAGATAAGCTTAAAAAAATTGTATTATATCAAATTTCTTGTGAAACTTGCGATTACGATTCTTTTTCCCCTTTCGATTCTAATTAATGATTTCTTATCTACATGTAACAGGGGCCAGGCTTGGAGATACTCATGTTTTGCGGGCTGCTGATACTATTGCTATCAGCATGTCTGTACTCGATCTTCTGCCGGCGTCATGATCAAAGTCATTATCACCACGGCAGTCGTCCGGAGCACAGTGCTCGCATGCAGGAGGACCACCTGGCCGCCCTGACGAACGCGTCTGGTATCAGCGACACCGTCGTCGGCAGAATGACGACGATGTCGACGACGACAACAGCGGTGAGGCAGAATCCACCGCCACCTTATCACATCGCCATCCTGATACCGCCGTTGCCACCTACGTTCTCGGACGAGGCACCGCCACCCAGTTACGACAAGGTATGCGATGAAATCGCCGGACCAGCGTGAAATTCAAGGACGATTCTCGTCCAAAACCTTTCTTCCTTCGCGACATTCTCGTGTCTCCGCTACACTCGAGGCGTAGCGCCAATCAATTCTCTAGGATTAGGATTAACTTTCACATCTGTGATAGGAATGCAATGACGATGACACATCGACAACACAACAGGAAATGGAGAGATTCAGGAAAAAGATTCGCGCGGCTATATTTTCTAGTGGGCATTATATGGGGGAGTAGGGAGAGGGGTGAGGAGCCGTGCTCCTTGCCACCGAATTTACGTTTATGGTGCGGGTAAACTGTATTTTAATCTTTTATACTTCGACATACTACGCGTGATATATTTGACTTAGCTTTAGCGCGACACAGGTCGTAAACTTGGTCGAGTCATTCGATTTTATCCGTTGTTCTTCCGGTCTTAGGACTTCCTTAAATACGTATAATTATTCCGAGAATTTTCGCTGAATCGTTACGTTCGATTATCTCTTACTTTCATAAGCTTATCGATACAAGATGCGTGTGGAGCGAGTTATTCTTGTTACTCACATACAGACATACACACACACACACACGGATACTCACGATATGAAAGAAAAGAAGCGCACAAATTTAAAACATGCGATTCGAGTAGAGGTGTCGAGTTTGCAAAACACATAACTCGATCACTATTATGATAAGCAGCTAATAATAGACACGTTTGATGTACACAGTTTCAGTTTTCAAACAGGTGCATTACTACTAGGTTCATCAAACGTGCACAAACGTTACCGAATATATACGTACGATTTAAATCGCGTGGCTTCACGCGACATACGTAAACACGCATGCGGTGTCTCGCGATAATTTACGACGGAGATGTTAGAAATCTTGTGAGCGTGAAACAAATACGATTTTATATATTTCTTTTTCCATGAATGCGGGAGAGAGGGAGAGAGAGAAAGTGTGTATGCACGCATGTAAATGATTCTTTATGTCATAACTCTGTATATATTTAACGGCAAGTACATATAATACATACTGATGTGAGATCTCGTGTTTGTGAATGTTTTTTGTTACTACAAGTCATAATTGTATTACAAAAGTCATAGTCCTTTCTAACTGCACTTGAGAACAAACATCTTTTCATCTAAAAATAACAAAGCAAATTCTAAAAATCTTAAACATTTAAAATAAATTCGAATCTGTCACTATTTATTTTTTTATTTGGATTTTTTTATTTCTGACGAGAAATGATTATCTCGCATTTTGCAAGAAAAATGAAAGAAAGAATCAAAATGATATATAAATTTTACTTCTCGTTATTTTCCTTTTTTTTTCTTATTAGACGATTAGACGATTATTCATAGTTTTTTCTTGGAAGATTTATTATTTTGAATAGACATTCGTTTTATCTCGAATTGCAAAAAGTCTAAGAGAGTGCAGCTAGGAAGAGCAGGTAGATCTAAGATCAGTTCTTTGCGTTACAGTTTAAGAAAATTGCAGTCGACTTGCCGCGCACAAAGTTTTCAAAAAAGTTCGAAAAAACCGGTTCTTTTTCCTTCCATCGGGCCTTCTCTTATTACTTACACTCTTCTAAAAATGAACTCGCGCTCGCGAGACAGAAAGAAGAAAGGCCACGTGGTGTTGCAGTGAGCATAATAAGAGCAGACCCGGAAGTGTTCTCTCAACTTATGTGGTTACAGATACAGTATATTTTTCGCGAAAACGTGAAGATCAAGGACTCATTCGATTATAAATAAGCGTGTTATCTTTGCATTTATCTTATCAGTTTATCTTTACAATTGTATATAGCAGAACATACCATGATATGGTGCAAAAACGCGAATAAAAATTTTCCTTCGTAAAACGCAGCTTCATATACATGTGGCGAAAGATGGATTAAATAGATCCGACAATGATAATCTACGATATCACTGGTCTTAACGAAACAATCGTACTTCGAAGATCCTTTTCTTGAAAAAAATTATATAAAATATTCTTTAATATTTCTCATCACACATTTAAAATATTAATGATATAAAGCATGCAGAAATGTAAAATATAAATAAATTATAATAAATGAAATGTATATGTAAATATATATAAAAAATGCCAAATGTAAGAGCCAAACTTAAAATTATTTAAGTTTAATCAAATTTTATAGTCAGCGCATCCGCTCTTTTCATTATTTCTGCTAATTTAATTTAATTAGTGCATTTTTCCTTAAGACCGACGATATACGTTTTTTCACACTATAACTAACGATACATATATATTACTATGATACAAATGAGAGATTACAGTCTTCGGGATATAATAATAATAAATCATACGATGTCAACTGTAAACCACGCTTACAATCTTGTACGCGGTTCATATATGTTACATCATGAAAGTACTTTGGACGCTTTCGCCGTGTAAAAAATAATTAGAAACGAGATGAAGCGTGCATATTCGCCGCTCTTTATCTCTTTGGATAAATATCGATCAAAGACGACATTCGATTCTTTCTGTTTTTTGCTTATTAAAAATGTATTTGAGATAATTGTTATAATTTTTTAGGGATTATTTAAATGAAATTATTTAAATAATCTCAAAAGAAACGAATTGAATTTCAATTAATTGAAATTTCAGAATTCTAATGATGTAATACTTTAATTAAGACCTCGAAGGAATTTATTTCAGATTTCTAATCATTTCTTTATTTTAACTTATTTATTTTAAAGCAATAAGAAAATTAAGTTCATATCTCTTCGAGTTCTTATACAAAAAAAGCGAGTCACATTTTATTCTTGAAAATTTAATTAATGTTTATAGGAACGGCTCTGTATCGTACACAATAATGAGTTCGACGAAACTCACCTTTCTGCGCACTGCCAATAAAATAGTATTACGAGCGCGAATAATAACGCGTCTCTCGCTATCTAAACCCTCTGGATCTCGAACAGCTTGACATCCGTGTCGTACCATATGGGAGGTTCGACATTTCTTAAATATATAACACCCCACATGTACGTGCGAAACCATGCGGTTGTACCAGCATTAGCTTGATACCGCCTGATGAGTATAGGATGCGGCACCGGTAATAGGCCGACTAAGGTGCCGTGCTGCAGAAACTTCAAGATCTCACTTTCGTCTGTCAATCCCCTAATAATAAGATAGACAAAAAAGAATATATGTGAACATAATGACTAGCGTTGTTACCTCTCATAATTCTCTAACTACTGACAGAAAGCATTTAAGCCTGAAACAATTTTCGATTTTATGTCTATCTAATTTATGAATGTTTAAATTACTAATTATTCGTATATAACACGAAAGAATATATGAAAAGAATATATAAAAGAATATATAAAATATATCTATGTAAAAGATTTATTTAGGATGATAATTATTTAGATAAATTATATTTTACTACTAAATTAAATAAACTGTATCAGAAAGTAAGAAAGGGAAATAAGAAAAATGAATAAATTAAAAGTAATTATACCGATAATTTTGAAATGTATAATTAAGCGAAAAGGTATTCTCTTGTAAAAATTTTGGTTTCTTAGCGCATTGGACTGTTTTTTATTTTCTGAAATCAAAGATCGAATGACTTACTTATCGATGCAGATCTTCTCAACTTGCGGCACAAGGACTTGGAGCAATCGCATGATAGTCTGCAGCGGAAGCTTGCTCTTCCATTGCCAGACCCATTCACTGGATGGCACCCATTGATTCGTGTTCTCCACATTGGCATTCGCTTGTTCTGCCACGCGAATACCACCCTTCTGCGCATCCAACAAATTTCTATTTATTCTCGATATTTATTTTTTATACAAATTATAAATTTTATTATAAATTTCTATTGTTATTCTTGATATTTATTTATTGTGTCTTTTTAATAGACTGTTTCGCATCAATAAATTTTAAAAAATTAACGAGAAACGAAATTCCCCTTTTTCTCTGTTTCTTACCGGGACTACAGAATTTTTGGTCGCATTCATAGATTCCTCCGCAATGTCCGTCTTGCTCTCTGAGCGATTACCGATAGATTTACCAATATCGATGCTGGCTGACGGGCTCAAGGGATGCGCCGATTCTTTCTCTGTCATGTTCTCAATACCTGCGATTAATGCGCTTGAATTTATATAAAAGCTAAAGATATAAGTTTTACATATATAATACATTGAACAGTCTAGAAAAAATTTAATTACTAAAATCACGCACAAAGAGAGACTCACCAGGAGTTTCCAATAAAGACGCTTTCAAAGTTCCGGGCTCGGCGGGTTGCGCAGGATGCGATCCTTCCATCGCGGTTTCGCTGACGTTCTCGTTAGACGTGCTTGCAGGCATATGACGACGCTGTCTTTTACTGAGAGATTTTGCGATCGTGTTGCAATCACTGGGTAGATTTGCAAGCGCGTGAAACACTTGCCGCTTGCGTATTATAGTGTAGACTAAATTACTGTTCCCATCGAATTGATACTGAAAATTCGAAAGCAAGGTCTAACACGTATAGAACTCTAAGACATATTATCTCTTTTTTTAATATTTTATATTCCGTATAATAAAAATATATATAATAAAACAAAATATAATTTTAAAAAAATATTTTTGCAAATATTAAAATTATAACCAGCGTGTTGAAAGGAGAAGTAAATTGCAAACTTAATAAAAGGATAGTTTGTTTTAAATTTTACGTTATTGATATTTTACAATTTTTTCGAAATTTTACTATTATTTTGAAATTTGTATATGTGATTGAACAATATAGATTGTACATGTTTAGAAGAGCATTATGTACATGAAGATGCTACCTGAATAATATTATTAAAGATCTCAAGCAGGAAGAACACCAAGTGGTGATTGGTAACTGCTGAGAAAAGGAACCACGGCGTACTAAATGCCTCCAAGAGATGCAACAGTTTCGTACTGGCCACCATGGATAAGGTTTTAAGATACGGCGAGACATTGACTAGAATTGTCAGTAGACAGTCAAATAACGGTTGCAGTCTCTGATGACCAGTCGTAATAATTTTATGGAATACAGTAACTAAGAGGTCGGCGTGCGTTCCTGAAACAAACAGAATGAATAGCATTCTTTGATACATTAACTATTTAAATATGCTAAAATATGTTTACAAAATTGTAGATAGAAATTATATGAAAAAAACTTATAACAGATTTTTAAATTTATGTATTCTTGTACACATTGTATACACAACTATACATAAAATATTTTTAAAAACTAAAAATTCAATTTAGTGATAAAGAATTTAAATCTAGAAAAACGAATTTCTAATGATTGACTTTACAATTGAAAACACTATTGTGCTTTTTACACTAAAAAATCTGATTATTTCTTAAAATTATTTAATGTAATATGTACAAATGATATCTATTATCACACCTGTGAAAACCGGAATGTCCATAGGCACTGTAGCTGTGTATGGTTTATTCAACCTTACTCCAAAATTGCGTTCTCCGCTCAAAAGAAGTAAGATAAATACACCGATGTGCATCAAACCAACTCGTGCTGAAAAATTAAGAAAATTGAAAATTAGTCAACTTAATTTTTAAAAAACTAAAGTGATATAATTCACATTAATATATCGCTGCTTCAATTCAATCCTCTAAAATATAAAAATATTTTTTCTGAACAAACATCAGTTAATGTTTTATATTATTCTATAATTAAAATATATAATTTTAAAAAATAATCGAATTAATATCATGTCTTTGTATTATGTTTTTTCGAAAAAAAAGATATTGTTTATATTAGATTATCTCTACAGAAAAAATATTATTTCCTACAACATATTTTATATAAAATTTTTTTTAAATCTTGATGTTGAATTGAATCACCGATGTAAATAATTGAATAAAGAAACAGGGAATAAAATTTTACATTGATCGGCACGAGAATCGTTTAAATGATAAAGAATCGGCACGAGGACCTCAAGGACATCTGAACTCTTTAATACATAATATAAGAACTTCTTGTTGTAATCACACATCTTCCAAAAGAAAACCAGTAATTCCTGGTGAAAATGCACTTTCTTGGTCGAGTTTGGCAGATACGTTTGCATCAATGGATTATTCAACAATCTGGTGATACCCTTTAGGACAAATTGGAAATCTGCAAGAGAAAAAAGTAATGTCTTTTTTTTCTATATAATACAACCAAATCTCTTTACATCTTTTTAAACTTGTACCAACTAATTCTCCATTTAAAAATTGATTTTTTTATGAATATTTTATGGTATTTTTTTAATTATCAAAATTTTAATAAATCTTTAGGATGTAAGAAATCAAAATCTTGCTTCTTGTTTAATTTAAAGTATATTAATTCAATGTCTATACAAATATATTTGAAAAACTGAATGTTAAAAGTGTTGCACAAAAATAATTATGCATAAAAATTGGTAAATCGAATAAAGAAGTTATAAATAAAAAAAAAAGAAATCTGGAATAACTGAAATATATAAAATGTCATAAAATAGATTCACCTTCATCACGATGAATTCGACTGAGATAATTGATGAACAAATTGTCTCCGACTGCCCCTTCTTCCAATGGCGCCCCACCAGTAGTATCATGGTCTAATGTTACAATCAGGATTTGCAAGGCGACATCGACTAGCGGTTCCAAAGAATCGGTGAACAATAAATGATTATACGGTACTCCATAACCAACGGGATCATACGCACATACTGTATTTAATAGCGAGGTAAACATTGGCAATGCATGTCTGTGAATAATAGGTAGATTATTAATTATTAACAAAAATAGAATAATATCAACTATGTTGTAAATATAAATATATAGTAAGGTAATTATATAAATACATATATTTTATATGACTAATATAATAATTAAAATAAGAGGGATAAATTACCTATTTTCGCTGCTAGTTAAATGTTGAATCCATTTATTCGGCGTAATTGACGGGTCCATTGGCGGATTGTACATGGTTTCGCTGAAGCATGTTAACAAGAGTTTCAACAATTCCGTGCGATTCGAATCCAGAATAGGATACCTCGGTGGCGAGTATGCGAAACCTACTCCTGCTTCCCAGATATATTCGCAACTATCTATCGATTGCAATTCATCGACTTTGTCCTACAACGATAATTATATATAACAATGCATTTCCTTCTTCCTCCTTATGAAAAAATTCTAGCTAATAAAACCTACAGGGCCTGATTTCCTATTTGCTGCTACTGTAAAATCAGGACAGAACAATAAATCCTAAAACAGAAACAGACATTGTTTAGTATAGATTTTCATGTACTGTATAAAATATATGTGTAAAAAAGTGTTAACTAAATTTGTCATTAATTAAAAATAATATATATGTATAATTTATCATTTATAATTTATTTTAAAATTTCTTTTATATATATAATTTATATATAAACATTTTTTTATATATATATTTTTATGAAATACAATTATCTACTTTAAATAATAATTAATTATTATTTAAAATAGAAAATTTATTATATTTTATGATATGTATTTTATGATTTTATCATACTTTAGATACATTTTATTATATCTTGTTTATTATATTTAAATAATTTCTTACAGAAATTGCATTCAACAGAGAATGCGCCAGTGGCAAGCTCTCCTCGTCATCTTTGCCAGGTAAACTGGACCAGAAGAAACCTTTCCAATCAGGATCCTCAAATATGTAAGGTAATAGACGTGTTAACAAGCGGCAACAATTCAAGACAGTTTGATGCTCCCGTTGAGTTCTACAGCTACTGTCCACTGCCTTAACTAATTTCTCAACCGCTTTGTAACATAATGTGGCCAAATTAGAAGGCGCCTCTTCTCTTAATATACGAATCTCTGGAGCTGGGATCAGAGTGAAGATATCTTGAACATTGGTCACATTCTCAGACCAAAACTGATCCCAGAAAGAATCGTCTGATGCATCAATCACCTATTTTTATACATTATATATAAATATTGATATATATTGATAACTTTCAAATAAAAAAATTATATAACATAATATATAATAATTGAAATATTTTAAGAGAGAGACAGCTTTTCTTACAATCTTCTTCATAAAAATTTATTAATTCTAATGTTATATAGCTCTCTATTAATGGTAAAGTGAAAATTAATATAGTTAATATATCTTACATATACTAATTCTTATTATTACATATTACAATTTTTATAATTTTCTTTTAGTATTACGCTCATTGTTTAATGAGCTTCAGAAAAGGACAATAATATTTCTATAAACTTTGCACTAACAGTATTACTCTTTTGATACATCTTCACATATATAATGCTACATATCCTGAAAAATATTCTATCTTGAATGACTTGAATGCCTTGAAATTTTTTTGTTTCTTGTAGCAGAAGATAATATATTTTTCTCATTTGTAATATTTAATCAATGTAAGTTTAATCATAAACTGAATAAACATAATGATTAAAGATACAGATGCTTTTATCCGATTTCATAATAGATTGTTTCTTCGATCGACAATTTTGTTAAGAATATTTTGCTCTCTTATCGATCTGTCAACCGATCATATGTTATCCGATCGGACGGGTAAACAAGAGACTATTTTTTTGTTTACCTGAGTCTTTGACGTCAATTGCACCACGGCCTTCCGGAAATTCAACTTGGTGTCGGCATTGCCCATGATGCACCTCCGTTATCACTGATAATAATGCAATTTCGTCGTAGCAAAAGGGGAGTAAAAACGTCGCTGCTCTTTAAACGGGCATCATTGTCGCCATGTTTGTATTATGACAGTGATGACTGATAACAGATAGGATAGACAGAGCTGCCAACATCGCGTTATCTCGCGCGAAAATAAGAGGTGGAAAGAAATAGAGGCGGCGCGTCAAGAAACGTCATCGATCTCGACAAAGCTGAGAATACAAAAGAAAAGCCTGTTTCCTTCACCTCTGCATCATGTGTCATTTTTTTCAAATGACATCGAAGTATATAAATATTTGCTCAAGCGAGAGAAACGCGTTTTTTCTTCTCATCGAGAAAACAAATTCTCATGCAAGATCGAATGCGCACATCGTATAATCATCGAAAGAATCTAGGAGATTAAAGAAGATAATCATCGTGACGCATTTCGATAAAAGTCGCCATCTTGTTGATATTCGAGTAGCTGATTCGCTGGATCCGAACCAATGAAACGCGAGAGCAGCGTGTATTTTGTTAGAAAAAATAGTGTACGCAGACGATCTAGTATTTTTGTAGTTTATGTTCGTCTGTTCGCGCTCCATAATAAGATTTTTGTGTTCTCCTTATCGTTATCAATTAAATCTATTTTTAACTTTCTCTTCAGTCTCTCTACAGTTCACTTTTCAGATTCATAATTCGTGACAAAATTCGGGATAGAATTGTAATTATATTTGTATTTTTATTTGTATTTGTAATTTTATGTGTTTCGTGTAAAAAAGGTAAAAAATTCAAAAGTAAAATATATATAAGAATATTTATATACATTAGAATATCCGAAAAGATTATAAATAGAACCGCATTTTATACAATCATATAAAATGCACTGAAAAATACAGAATAATTAAAATCATTTAATTAAAATACTTAATTTATAAATAAATAATTAATTAAAATAATTAAATATTATTAATATATTTGTTTCGGTTTTTTTTTCGACAGTATTCATAAAATTAAAAAATGCATCATTTTGAATGCTTCTGCAGCAAGTCACTATATTTTATATATAAAAATATTAACATTATATTAATAATAGTTTATGTGCTAAAAAATATGTTGCCCTTTTCAAATATAAGAAGACTTAAGAATTAAGGAATATATATAAAGTTTATACTTTTCAACATATATATGGAAGAACATGATTTCAGAAAAAATTAATAAAAAAGATACAGAAGAGATAACGTAATAAGAGAGAATTATTTAAAATATAATGATTTCTTTCTGTAAAATATAATATATATATATATTAAAATGTAATATAAATAATATATTTTTTCTCCTTTTACAGCGTTCGAGTTTAAATACTTGTAAAAAAATATAATAAAGATATCTTTATTATATTTTTTATTCCCACCTCGTCAATAGAAGCCTATATATCATTTCGAACAAATTCAGGCTCCTCAAACGCTACAAAAAGAGAAAAAAAATATCAGAGAAAAACTTACATATCTCATATTTTTTTCTTCTTTTCTTTTATTATCTCTTTTTTATTAATTCTTTCTCAAAATCTTTTCTAAAGATCCGAACACTCATGTTTGCGCTTTTGTTATTCTCGTTCGCGCACATGTGTGAGTTAGAAATTAAATCACAAATATTTATTATGTGTTTTGTTCCATGTTTCCATTTCGTCAATAGAGGCCCATATATCATTCGCAAGTAATTCAGGCTCTTCGAATGCTGCAAAATGACCACCTCGAGGCATTTTAGTAGCGCGTAAAAGATTCACGAATCGTGTCCTAAGCACACGCGGAGAGTGCTCCATAACTTCATAAGGAAACTGCGCACAAGCGGTGGGAACTTTTACCAATGTTCTGTAAAAATATACATATTTTAATATTTACAACTCATTACGAGGATCATCGTACAATAGGATTATTGTGGTTCGGGATGATCATTGTATACGTACGCATTTATGAGATCTCCCAGCGCTACATTCTCCTTGGTAAACATCTCGGCGTATATTCTAACGGCTGTAGTAATACTATTGGATGCCCAATATATCATTAAATTATCGATCAACTCGTCGTATGTATATTTTTCCAAAAATCCACCATCTTCCATAGATTTATAGGAAGGATTCGTACCAGTCGAAAATTTTTCTATGAGATATGCCGCTAGACCAGCAGGTGAGTCAGTTAGCCCCACTCCTGAAACATGATGATGATGATGATGATGATGATACATTATTGATAATCTTGATATCAGTCGTAGAACTTCAGAAAAATTTATTAAATTCTTCAATTTTTACTTAACGTAGTATCTTAATTCCTTTTTTTTCTATGTATAATATTATATTACATCAGTAATACGTACCAATCGTATCCGGCTTTGTAGCTTGAATATGAAAATATCCAGTCTCTAATAGGAGCATTTTGATTGAAAACATTCGTGTCATGTCAGTCTTTTTTGTCCAAGGTAAAAAAGAAGATAAATACTCGCACAGTCCTTGTTTGATTAGAATCGATCTCTTCAGTATTATACACATGTTGGAATGCATACCCAGCACGCTATAATTTATACAATACGTTTGTAATTTTTACACATCGATGCTGGGAAGCTTAAGTGATACATTTAGAGAATATGTATTTAGTGATATATTTAGAGGAAAATAATATTACTGTTGTGGAAACAGAGTCGACATGGCGTTGACGATGCCTGAGCCCCAATCCCCGCCTTGTACGTAAAACTGATTATAACCGAGCCTCAACATGAGATTTTTTAGGACCACGCTCATCTGAATATACGAGAGGCCAGGTATCGTAGCTGCAGTGGAGAAACCGAATCCGGGCAAGGAAGGAGCTATCACTTCAAATACGAAATCGTGCTCTGGTCTTGGTGTCGTCAATAAAGGTATGATTTTGTAAAATTCCATTATGGAGCCGGGCCATCCGTGTAAAATTAACAGTGGTAAGATCCGTTTTTTCTCCGCATTACTTGGTTTTATGCGAATAAAGTGTATATCCAATCCTGAATTAAATGTAGAATATACAGGGTGTTTTATTTTAATTTCCCCAGGTAAATATTTCGGAAAATAATGAAAATTCGAAAAAAATGTTTCAGACAAAAGTTGTATGGTTGTATTCACTTTTTTCCGAAATATTTGTCTGGGGAAATTAAAATAAAACACCCTGTATAGTCATTTATATAGAGTGCTCACAACCTCCGTACAATACTTTAATAGTTTACAATACTTTAATACTTTTCTAGAAATAAAATGGAGTAAAAAAATCTAATGTAAAAATGTTGAGGCTGCAATAATTTTTGAATTATTGATTTTTTTTAAATCAATAATAAATGATTTTTAAATCAATAATAAATGATTTTTTTAAATCAATAATAAATGATTTTTACTACACAATTGATTTTATTTTATTGTTTCTTAAGTGCGTACATCGTAGATTAATTAATATTAAAAAATTATAAATGATATGCGAAAAACATTAATTTTTTTTTAAAAATAGTTAATTATTACAAGAAATTATAATAATACATTCATTTCTACAAATATTTCTTTGATTAAAAAAATGTATCTCGTTTTTTAAATATGTGAACACATTAGATTTTATAATTATATTTAAATATGATAATTAATTAGCATTTAAATTTTTATTTTAAAAAGAATTCAATGGTTTCCGTACATTATTTATAATTTATTAATATTAATTAATTGTCATGAAAGATGTATGATGTACATAATACATACACATGTAAGAAACAACTAAATAAAATAGGCTATAAAAGTTAACATTAACTGATAGAAAAAACAGATAATAATAACAAATGAGTATAGATACGAACATAAATGTGCAAATTTTATGCGATATCATTAACAAACTTTGATCTTACTTATAATACAAAAACTTAAATCATCAACACTTTCGCATAAGAATTTTTAATTTTAGTTCTTTGTAATACATTATTAAAATATTATAAGGCAATTGTTAAATATTTTGTATAGCATTTAATGTAAAATGTTAAAAAATAATGATAACATGAGGAAAATAGATAGATGCAAGCACAGCAATTTATGAAATCTGCATATTTATCATCTTTATCATTAAATTTTTGGTCAGTAGATACACATATGAAAGATTTAAATTTCGTGATTCATAATAATTTCTGTATGGTTTTATTCATAATGAATTGAAAAGCAAAGCCAACCAATGAATAACTCAAAATTAAATGTATAAATGTATGCCTAAATGCATGTATGTATTTATGTCGTTACTTATAAATTATTTACTTTATAAATTTGATTTGCTAATGATTGAACGATATTTATTTTTAATTATTTCTAACTTTGAGAATATTTTGTGTTAGAATTTTTCCGCTAGAATTAATTTCCATTTAAGAGTGCTCAATTAAAATACTTTTAAGTTAGATGGAGTCAAAGTCTACTTTATTGAATGTCTTTTTAAATAGTATGATTATGTTTACGACAATGCAATTTAAAAAAATTAAATTGCTCTATTGCAAAAATATATATTTTATATTACATATTATTCAATGAAATATAATTAATCAAGTTTTAGATTAAATATTATATTATTATTTTCTCATTTTTCGGCATTTTTCGGAAACATTACAAATTTTGTAGTAAAAACTTAAAAGTATTCATTCTAGGAAGAGAGCCATAAATACTTTATTTGGCTTTGTAGCTATCTGTTAGTAAACATGAAGTGATATTTATAATATAGCTATTGAGAACGACTTTCCATTAGCATAAAAACAATAAACATCGATGAAAGGCAATAGATACAATTTCGTTTTCGAGTTTTCTTTTAAATTAAGTGGCCAAATACTTTTGAGCGGTAGTGTATATATTCTTTACCTTGGATATTAGTCTTAAAATGTGGATATTGATTTATGAATTTCAGACGTTCCTGGAAATTATAGTTGTCTACCCAGTAATTTAAAAGTTTACGTAGGGCGTCCGTGTTAGTGCCATAATTCCAGGCAACATTTTTCAACGGCGGTGTCAGAGATCTGGTATGCTTTAATCGATACTTTAAATCACTCACAAGCTAGAAATAATAATTTTTTCTTATAATCGCTTAATTAAATCGAGCTTTTCTATTAAATCCTTTAAAGCCTTTAATTATATGTCAAATTTTGTTGATTACCTCTTCGGAGAAAACGACTTCGTATGGTCTGATATCGTTGTTAACAGAATTTTCGGTACCGGGCGTCCACCAAGTCTGAGATAACTCTGGCAATTTAGTCTTTTTAGAATAATATCTTATTAAAACATAGACAATTGAACAACAACCAATAGAAATCACAGTTGCTAGAGGATAATCCATTTTGTTCGCGAATCGTATTTAATTTTGATTTCGATCGCTGAAAAATTATCCGAGATGATGCTTGTATGATATCTCAATGTATACTGATACTCACTGAAGTCTATCTCGCATATACTATGTGCGAAATGACCTGATAATCGAGTCTCCGTATTCTCGATAACTTTTTTCTTAACAATCCATATTCTTAATTTTCTTAAATTTTCTTTCACTCTTAACTTTCACTTTATTATTTTTTTTACTGAACTCTTTTTGAAATGTAAATCTTATATATAGAAAAAAAACAGGGGAGGAGCATTTTAAAATGACGAGGAGCATTTTAAAATGACGAGGAGCATTTAAAAAAATATTTTTGTGTTTTTTTAAGTGCATAATAAAAATACTAATAATTGTCGCCAAAAGAGTATGTCATTAACAGTTATTTATAACATTTATTTATGAAGCATTCGAGCATTTGAGCATTTCTTTCTTTATAAGGCAGTCGTATTGAAAAAGAAAGCGGGAGAGAGAGAGAGAAAAAAAGTAAATTGCAATAACTGAAATTCCTTCTCTGAAGCTTTCTCTTAACTGTATACATGTGAACAAGTATAATAAAGTAGTATAATCAAGTACATGTTGGTAGTAAAATACGTATAGAGCTCAGTATTTGTGAGAATATTCCAGCTTATCTTGTGATCATGTATAAATAAAATAATTAAGCAAATGAGATTGTTTTTCACCTGTGCTTTTTACGTACATTGTAATTTTGTAAGTTGGCGATAATATCTTTCTTCTTTCCTCACACAGAGATTTTATTTTATATATTTTATCTTATATAACAATTTTATATAATCAATTTTATATAACAATTTTATATAATCAATTTTTATAAAAATATATCAAAGTTGAATTTACATGAATATAATCAATTTTTTTATAAAGATATATCAAAGATGAATTTAGATATTGAATAAAGAAACTTTAATATTGTAGTTTGAATAAAATAAAAGAATAATTTGAAGAGAGAGAGAAATATATATACATATTATTATAGATCTTTTAATTTTTACTTATAAGATCATTTTGTAAATAATTATATATCCCTAAAAATGTTAACAAAGTAAGTAATCATTCAAGGTTTTCAAAAAAAATTTAGGAAATGACGATTACGTGTAACAACCTGTAATTCGGCGAAACATCAGCTTTGTATACAATAACAATAGGCAACATAGAGGGCCCAGAGTTTAGGTCAGGTATCGCTCGAAGTATTGGTTGAAAAAAATTTAGGGGCAAATCCGTTGGCTCCAATAGATTGTCATACGACAAGCGGAAATGCACTTGTTGTTGGATCCAAACTGAAAAAAATCCGGCAGGTGAAACCGAATCTCTGTATAATTTCAAGATTCATGGCAAGGTAAAGAATACAAGTAGATCAAATTCAACACAAGCACGTGTCCAAGAACAGGTAATTTCGCTTTAATAGAGTTAGTGGAGTCTATGCCGATTTAAAATCAAGGATTTTTCACATTTTTACAAGCGTATATTCATTATTGTTCTTTCATTGTATTCTATCATTATGTCGAAGGACTTAGAGACAAACCTTTGACTTGATAAAATGTACAATCACGTCTCGCTGGATAATATCTTATTATATTAATTATGCCACATATTTGCTTTAGTGCTCCGCTTTTAGTGCCGTTCCATGGAAAATTGGAGCAAATAACGCCGTTTGCGTTGTTTGCTCCAATTTTCCATGTGATAAGAACAGCTGACACGTGGTCATAATTCGATCAGGATGCAATGGAACAGATGTTCTTTTCTGTCAGGACCGAAATCGATAGTTATCACTAATTATATAAGTGTTATTATTTTATATTTCATTTGATACTTAATAGGTTTGTTAAAAAAAAGAAATATTTCATTATAATTTTATGTAATTTGATAAAATTGATAATTGAAAATTGAATATTTTTAAAAAGTATAATTATTGGAATTATTGCAATATTAATTGAAAATTACATATTTAACCAGTGAATATTGATAAAACTTAATTTCATACATAGTAATTATTATTATTATTGTATTTACATTTGATTATTGATTTATGACATGCACATAGACTATGCTATTGTATGAAGTTTTTGATTTTTATTGAACATTCCGATGATTTTAATGTTTCGAAATTGAATTCTTGTTTCATATTTACAATATTTAATGAATCAACCTTTTGATAAATATTTTAATTAGTGATACATATTTATTAAATATTATAAATACATATCATAATTTACAACAGTTAACTCTTATTATTTACAATTTGAAATAAATAAAAACATTTAAAAGATTTACAAAACATAAAATAGAAATTAAAGTTTTCTGTTAATAAAATTTAAAAAAGTGACGTGTAAAAATTTGTGTGCATTATTATTTATATCCGAACGATTTATATATATGAATTATTATATGAATATTTTTTTAAAATATTTTGCCATTCAACATGTATGTTTTTTCTAATCAGACATTTACTTTATCAAATATTAATTTAAATCTAAATTTCATTATATTTTATTTTATTATAAATATATGCATAGTCTCTCAATTTATTTTTCGGGAAAAAAATGTGTGAGCTGTAAAACTGCTATTTCACAATTTCAACATTTAAAATGATTATGTCTTTAATTTCAGACAATTGATACAAAATTGCAATTCTGATAATAATTTAATTTAAAAGAGTGCAAAATTAGTTTCTAATTAAATTTTTTTAAAGAAAGATCCAAGCCATTATGAAAAAATGGTGGATCTTATATCGAATTTTCACAATTTTCATGTTTGGTAAGATGATATTTCATATTATTTAAAATATAATTTGCTAATTAACAAAATTAATTTACAACAAATCTTTGTGTATGAAAAATTACTCTACAGATAATAATTTTTTATTTATTAATAAATTTATTTTGTTATTGGTATTCTTAATTTATATCAATAATATATATTTATTTATAATAGATTAATTTATAAAAAATTAATGATGGATGTATATTGACTTATCAATTATCTTTTTATAAATTTTGTAATTATTTTTTGTAGACACTGTAAAGAAAGCAACGAGTAATGAAGATGATGATATAGAAAACAATACAACGTTAAGTATGGTAGACAAAATGGAATTAAATGCGGTAGACAATGCAAAAAATATTACAGAATTAAATACCGTACAAAATGTGATATTAAATAATACAAATATAGAATATAATTTCACTGACTATGATGAAATGAAAGAATTAGTCATGAAAGAATTACATAAGAGAAACAGACAACGTTTCTTTATAACGCAAATTATAATACAGATTGTAGTAATAGCAATTATACTAGTGATTGTGATCATTGCGATTATCAAGAATAAATATATCAAGTAAGTAAACTTTTTGTGCATATATATATATATATATATATATATATATATATATAATATGTATACTTATACATTTTCTAATCATGTAATTACGTAAGATTAATTAGTAAATCATTAAAATTATTAAAAAATTAAGACAAAAATGAAATATGTAAAAGGATGGTTATGGGAACTTATTTCGTATGTCTTGCAAAATACACTATACAAACACATTCGTTTTTGAACACACTGACACACTTAACATTTTGTTCTTTTTTGTCGATCTTATCTTATCTCTTCTGCTTCTTCTGAATTGCTTAATTTATCAACGTGCCTCATGATATCACATTCGGCTTTGGAATCCATCAAAAAGTTTATTCTTGTGATTTATCACGCAATCAATCGATTATTTCGATCTATTTGCACTACGACATGAAAATTTAAATATTTTGTCTATTTATTTTATATCTAATTCAGATTCATCTCAGATCAAACTGAATTTGCAACTAAATCATCTTTTTTATAGATCTGAATCATTTGCAACTGAATCATCTATTTTATAGATCATAAGTGGTTTGAGATTCTTATCATGATGTATCTGATTTTCCTCTGGAATGCTTAATACATTGTAATTATATTGTAATTATTAAAATTACGCACAGTTTTTCAATCTGAATAGTTTGTTCTATCAAAGTTATCGCTTCGCTATCAACGTATTTTTGTACATTTTTGTATCGATCAAAGTTTCGCAAGCTATATATAGAAATTCTATTGTAATAAATTTATTCAAATTTCTTTGTCTTTGATCTCTATTTTTTCTTATATTATTAATTTAGCAAGCACTAATTTCAAAATAAGAATTTACTCACGACTTATTTGCTTAACTTCTGGTGCTTTATGTAATTTTTGGTACTTTATGATAATGATATGTTTATCTTCTGATATAGTATCTTCTTTCACACAGTAATCTTTAAATTTCGCTTATATAAATGCTGCGCACATCTTATTAAATAATAACTTGCATTAACTTTTCAAAAGTAACATGCATTGATTTTTCAAAAGTTTGCTGCTACTGTATTTCGATTTATCGATAATTTCGATAGTTCTAATTGTTTAGCTAACTGTTTATTCAGTTCAATATATTCAAGTAAATTTGGAAAACATATCGATAATTGCAGATATATATAAAATACTTGTACATTCTACTCATCATAATCATCGATGAGTAAACCAAATTATCTTAAACGATTCACAAAACCGGTGTGTACACAACCGGACATCTCGCTTTGGAATTGGCACAAGGTAAGGACGAAAATGCAATCAAAGCGAAAACCTTGTCCACTTTTAGATAATTTCGACAGTGAAATTAAGTAATCCTCCTGCAATTACAGATGAATTTACAGAGATATTTTGTTGGAGAAAAAAAACTCCAAACTTGATATATTATTTATTCTTATCACATCAAAAATTTTTCACTAATTTCACTTCAAATGAAGACGAATGTTCTTAACCATCTTTTACTAGATGCTTTGAAAATTTTATTTTTTCTATTTTTTATCTTTTCTAATTAATCCTAAAAAACATTTTAATAGCTGTGTTACATTGACAATCTTTTTATCATTATTATATATATTTTATTTTATATATATTTTATATATATTTCATATATATTTTATTATATATATAATATTTTTTTTATTCTTTCAGTATTGCGCTTACATCCACACAAAATTACTTTACATTTATATTAAAATTTCGTTAAAATTTTCTGTCAATTTTAGACTCAATTCATTCCATCATGTCGCACGAGAATACTTTCAGAAGATGCGTTCTCGTTCATATATAATTACTATAAACAATATTGAAGCAGGAAGTATTTGGGACACTCGGCAGACGTACAATAACATGCTTGCAAAGCGCAGAGAACGGGAAGCATTAAGATCGATATTTTATTACGTGAGTAAAATGATTACACGAGTAAAAGATTTGCGAATAAATATATATGTATAAATTTATTAAATTCACAACTTTTAAATTATTTGTTCAATAGAGTGCACAACAAGAATTTCATGATGATAGTATGGAGTTTGTTCGAATCGAACCTCAACGTCAAACAGTATGACCATATGATAATATTATCCTTTTTATTGTTTGACAAATTGTCTATCAATTACTTTTTATATAATATTCATATTTATTATATTAGATTTATATTATTAATCACTTTATGTATCACTTTTAATAATTAAATAATTTCATAGAGAATTATGTATCACTTTTAATAATTAAATAATTTCATAGAGAATTTGTTAAATATATTCTTAATTAAATACTTTTTTTCTTATTTTCTTATTTAGTTTTAAACTATAAGGGTTATTATTATTAATGATTTAGTGTTTTATAGTTACTGTATTTATCATCCATTGAGATTTATATTAAAATCATGATATTGTTATTATGACAAATTGATATAACTGTCTCTGTTAATCTGTAATATTGCTGAAGTTATAAACGTGAAAATCTACAGCTACAGGCTACAGTTAATAGTTGTCTACAGCTAAAGCACATTTTATATGCACTAAAAATATAATAAATTTAATTTGCATCTTTAAACTACACATATATTAACAACGCAATCTGTTTATAAGATAAAGTACTTTTCTAACAAATTTTTATTGTGTAACAACGATAAGAAAAGTTGGTATTTAAAATTATTCATTTAAAGTAAATTTAAAACTAATTAATTAATATAATAAAAATAATTATTAATCAGCAAAATTTTAATCAGCATAAAATGATATAACTAATTATTTCATTGATTCAAATTAATTAGAATTTCAAATTTATAATTAATTAGTTTTAAGTAACATTTAAAAAAATGTAAATATATGACTTTTATGTTACAAAATATATGTCTAATAAAAGGAATTATATTAACAAATTTAAGATCTTTAAATTAAATCTAAGATTTTATTAAATGTACCAAATTATTTAATATTCACGATATTAAATAATTTGTTTAAAAGAAAATCTAAGATTTTAAAAATAAATCTTAGATTCTTTTAATTTATTTTGTACGCGCATCATTGTATGTATTATTATAACAATTTCAGAATAATGAAAAATATTAACGATTTTCAAATCTGTCATTCTCTTTCTACACAAATATGATATTTAAATATATTAAATATATCATTTTATATTTATATAAGTGTTCATTTTAACACAAATATAAATAAAATAATATATTTGTGTATTTACTATGTCGGTTAGATTGTTAAAATTTGATCGTCATATCATATTTTTAATAAACAAATTGTACATTAATATTGATGATTATTTATGTGTTACATTTTTATCATTATTTGTTATAACTTTATTTGCTGTAACTTTAATTTCAACAGTTAATTCCAGTTATTTTCTTTATAACAAATTGTATAATGTATATGTAATAATAAAATAATAAGTGTGAATATATATATATATATATATATACATATATGTATATATATATATATATATTCACACTTATTATTACGAACGCTAATTACGAATTTGTGCAAAATTTTCTTAAGACTCAATTATTGAAAAATATGCAGAATGTAAAATTCAGTTCAGTGTTACTTTGCAAATTTAGCGCATTTTGTTGTCTGTTTAATAAAAATCATTAAATTTAACGCAGCTCTTAGAGAATTTAATATATAATTTCTTGATTTCTGATTTTTTGCAAATTTTTTTTTACAGATGACAATATCATAATCAAAATTAAATCTGATAAAGTCCAACACACCTTTAACACCAACGTAAGCTAAATATGTAAAAAACTCTAATATAAAAAGCAATGTAAAAAGCTTTAATACAATATTAAATATACATTATAAATACAATCTTTAATTTAATTATTGATAGATATGTATGGCCATTGAAACTTGAAAAACATATAATATATAACATATAAAAACATATAATATTTATTATACAATAAAATATACAATAAATATACAATAAATGTTAAACCGGATCTACATTGGTCGTATCATAACGTCGCAAGTCGTAAGTCGTAGGCAAATTGACTAATTATGATTGATTATTTTTGAAATAATCAACTATGGTTGGTCAATTTGCCTACGACTTATGACTTGCGGCGTTACGATACGATCAATGTAGATCCGGCTTTAAAATAATACGATATAATATAAACAATAAAATAATATTAATATAAATGTTGAAAAATAAAATAAATGACAGTATACATAATTATTTAATTTATTTTATTCTTGTGATTAAAAATATTAAAAACTTGCTAATATTTAAAAAAAATATTTGATTAAATTGAATCTGTACTAATAAATAATGTTCTGTCACGATCTGTTTAAAACACGAATCTGTGAAGCTAGTCACGTGTTCGATGACATATGTCACGCATGCGCACGGAAGTTCGTTCCATACCGACAATGGACAGATAACAGCGAAGCAATTGCGCGTTATGCGTACCGGCTGCATTTGACATTTCCAGCTCAATCAGGTACAGACAAGAGTGCGAAGAATGGATTCTTGCGAAAATTTCATACAAACACTTCAACAGGCTATCTCTGGCAGAGATTACGTTGCTTTGACGAGCATTTTGAAGAGTGGTCAGGGATTCCTTGCGATTATTTCGATTGAACGTCGTGGTGAGCGTAATAATTATATATAAACGATACACATATATTTTATAATATTTCATTATTTTATTTTTATGTACACACATTAAAATGTATAAAATATTTCTCTTTCTTTGACCGGATTATATCCTACTAAGAGATTCTATTCAATGATTTTGCACTCGATTTTATCTCAATCAGAAAAGATCTCAATGTATGTAAATATTTTATATTTTCAAGTACTTTTAAGATTCTGCAAATCTTTGAAGCATTAAACTTTAAATTACAATTCTATTAAGATATGGGTTATATCATCAACGCTCCTTTTCGATACTGTGATTCAAAGTGCATTTTATAAAAAGTTATAAATATGATGATTGACTTTTATCCTGTGTATGCTTATTATTTTAAAATTTTAGAGCTATAATATTGTAATATTGTAATAATTTATATAAATATGTATTTGTTTTTTAGAACCAGTTGTATACGCAGTATTTGATGGAGGAAGTAGCTTGTTGTGTTTCCTCAATAATGAATTTGGAAACCTTAAAAGAAATAGGACTGTTGATAATGCATTCACAGAAGCATTTAATTTCCTTAAATTTTTTATTGAAAATTTTTATACGACTGAGTGTTTTGCAAAATACATCTTTCAAATTAAGGTATACAAAATATTGACAAATTATTATAAATCATATAAAAAACATTAATAGAAGTTAAAAATAAATCTGACATATAGAATCTTTCTTAGAATTTCTGAGGTGTGTGCGTGGACTTATTTTTTAGTTTTTGCTGATAATGCAAGAATACATATTTCTACACTTCTCTCTGTCATGATTTTTCAAAGGTACATTTCTTCCATATCGTGTTACATCTTTACAAAAACGTGATGATGTAATAAAGACGCGGATTTCTTATCTTAACTGTCAAGTTTCGTATTACCAAATGCTCATGTGAAACTTGCTTAGATTACCCTATGAAACATGTATAGATTATCTTACTTGTTTTTAGATATAGATAATGAAATAGTTCTACTTGTATAAATCACACATACGCACACCTCCTCTCTATTGTTAATATAACTTTTATGCAAGAATTTAACATTGTCACTTTTTTATTTAGACAAATAGTACTTTGAAACAATTTAGTATTATATTTTTATACATATTTTATATGATTTAATTATAATAATGATTCTCTTTATATACATATATAATATGTTGTAGAAAGTGTGTCAGTCAGCGATAATTAAAAAATGTTCCTATTATACCCAGAACTCTGCTTGTAATGCTTTTACAAAATTGATAGAATTATTTAGAGATCATGAGGAACTCACTAATACATTAACAGACTTTGTTAAGCCAGACAACTTGGTAGCATTTAAAGCATACGAAATTAAAGGTAAATATGTAATAATTTCATTTAAATTTACATATAAAAAATAATGATTTCATGCCATTCTATTATAGAACAAAATTTTGTTATAGAAAGAAGATTGATATTCCGAATCTTTGGTAAAATAATTAAGTACAAAGGAAATGTATGTCCATCACGGATATATTTGAAGTCTATTTTTCAACAACTGCTTTCTGATGTTGAAGTGGTAAAGCTAATAGTAATAAGTATAGTATTTATTTATTTATTAATATTGTATTATAATTCTTTGTACACAGCATCAATTAAATGATTTGCCCAATGATTTCCATACATACTTCGATGTTTTCGCGGATATATTAGAGAGTGTTGAACCGCCGGAGGAAATCAAAAATAGACATTTCTGCAAATTTTATGAATGGATTAAGAATATCAGTCATTTGGATAGAGAACAACCCATTGTATTGAGATCGGCAATCAATCTCTTGAGCCGTCATATGAAATTGTTTCAAGATTATTTGTATCCCGATTGCCAATATTGGCATAATTTTCTTCGGCACTTATCGCGCAAGACAACCACTTCTGGTACCTGTGGACAGAATGCATTGAAAACATTTTATCAAATTATTGGACACATTCTTTCAGAAAGAAATAACACAGATACGCAAAAGTTACTAGTGGTAAATAAGATTTTGTGCAAGAGAAGCAAGAAATTTTAAATAAAATATACTTTCTTCTTTTTTAACTTAGAATAAAATTCTGCAATTTTCACTCGTATAATCTATAATGTACTTGTGGTTTTAGTATTTCCTTTCACTCGTGTAATCTATAATATACTTGTGGTTTTAGTATTTCCTTGAAGACTTTCAAAAAGAATTCAAAAATATTGACTTAGAGCTGACTACCTTGCAATTAGTTATTTATGGATTCAGTAAAATGGCTGCGCCGGTCAAATTGCATATGGATCAATTCGATATCAAACAGATGTATTCGATTATAACCAGTTATGCACTTCCTCTTTGCTCTAGGTAAAAATGGAGATATTTGAGATATATTCCAATAATATAATAATATATAATAATTATATTAACATTAATATTATATTGGAATTTTTTTCAACATTAGTGAAATAATAATTTTTTGTATTTCTTTTTCAAGTGAACAGAGTAATTCAACACACATAGAAAGCATTTGCTGTTATCAAGAAGCGCTTTCGGAAATACTGTGTCACATGACTGATGTTACGTTTGAAAAGATTAATGTTCTTATAAAACTCAGTACCTATATAATCAAGAGGTTTCCCGACTTAATAATATCTAAAAATGCGGTCGCCGTTTCAGCTTTAATTAAAACTATGAAAAAACTTGGAACCATCAATAAAAGCTTGTTACAGCAATATCTTGATAATATAAGTAAGTAGATTAATTATATAGATTAATCCTCATAATTTATATATATGATATTTTAATCGAAATTAGAAGATCGATTTCCTAAAAATCAGTTTATGTTTCAGTTGAACGTATTTAATAGATTTTTTCTAAAAGTTTTATATTTTTTTATATTATATTTTATATATTACATTATATATGTGTGCATATGCATAAAATATTTTTAAAAAATCTAAATTTCCTATCTAAAAAAAATTATTAGTTTACGACGGCATCGCTTGGAGCTGTTCGCACACGTTGGCGCTCGACGCAGTATTACAACAGGAACAGAACAACTTAGAGCAGTCGCTGATATGCTACAAGAATTATCTGCCATTATGGACAGAGCTGCTGAATGTCAAGAGAGATCTCATTCGTGGATGCGAGCAAATGGCGCAACATGTGGCAAATACCCTGATGAACGTATGTATCATCCTAATTGACCGATTGGATATACGCATAAAACGAAAAAACGAGAACACCGTGTACTCAGACGTGGCTCTTACTCAGAGTGCTTTGAACCAGGCAGATTTTCGTGTATTTATAAATCTCGTGGATCTTTATGTCGATGTGATCGATGTGTCGGAACCATCGCTATTCAACATCAATACCGTGTGCAAATTTCTCTATGAAATTATTAGACTATCATATAGGTATCCGTTGATATCTGGGTTTTACAAGCTTGTTCGAACCGGTATGAGGATCTTTGTCACTTACGCATCAGAAGAAGAAGAAGAAGAGGATATTGGAGAATCGCAACAGATGAAAGAACTTTTATCCAATTATCTAATACGTACTCTTGATTTAATTCCCACGTTTTCTAATGAACTGCTAATCACGTGTCTTTACTTGATCTTGGATACGCCTCACACGTATTTCAAGGATGCACTACCATGCACGCTGCCGGTATTTAAAATTGCGTTTACTGTCGGTCTGAGCAATCTGGAGCTCGCATACAACACGCTTACTACCCTGGAAACGTGGACTGAGCAAGAACGAAAGCAGGAGCGAACAAACGAATTACTGCGCGAAGTTGTAGCTTACTTGGAGCCATATTTGCGCAGCACGGAGAGTTCCGTCGAAGTCTCTCAGGATTTGACGGTAACGAGAACGAGAAGTCGTGTAAAACGCGTCGAGGTTATTGATACTGAATGTATGCTACGAAACTTCCAACGACGAGTTCTACTGTTCCTCGGATCGCTCGACCACGACTTGCTGTCAAGTTTCGTACACGATCGCGCTTCCCGGAGCACTGGGGCGTCCTGGGATCGCAAGAATCTGATCAAATACACTTTACCGCTGCCGGATGCGCGACCGGACATCCATTTCGATCGAATGTTGCCACGGATAATCGCGTTGGCACGCGAATCCAGCGATCGACGCACCAAGATCGCGGCCTGTGAAGTTTTGCATTCGATAGTGACACTCATCATCGGTTCCACTGCGCGATATCTGTCTGATTCGGAGAATCGTCTCACCGCTCTCTATGGCACTCTATGTCCGGTCATGCTTGTGCTTGGCTGCGATTCCGACGAAGTCGTTTGCGGTCTCTTTCAGCCATTGACATTGCAACTGATGCGCTGGCTTAGCTCTAAGTTCGTGCTATCGTCGTCCGTGATCTCGCCCATTCTCGATTCGCTATTCGACAGCTTAACCGATGATTCGAATTCTGCATTGCGAGAGTTCTCCGGCATGTGTCTGGCGGAATTCACACATTGGTCGCTCAAGTATGTTGGACTTTTAATACTTCTTGTTGTCCATAAAATGGACAATTTATTTCTTTTATAATATGTTTATCATTATTCTTGTTTTGTTATATTTTTATTGTAACTATACAGGGTGTTTCAGACCACACATACCACCCATTTAAAAACTAGAGAAGTGTTATTTCAAAAAAGTAAAAACATTTTCTTTAAAAATCGGGTGCGCTCTATCGAATGGTGATATTTTCAACTTCTGGTTCTGCCGGAAATAGGCGATTCAGACTGGAAGTGCATTTTTTTAAATGGAACCTCCTATTTTTCATTACATATTCTTGTGGCTTATCTCGAGAGCTTTCCAAAACACTATGATAAATTATTTTTCCATGAAGTACTTTTCGAGTTATGAGGCTTGAAATCATTTCTTAATTTTACGTAAATCATAAAATAATTTGCAATTAACAATTCCATATTTTTTCTTAAAAACAACTGTGTTTTCTTTACATCAATTGATTCCTCTCATTATTTTGTACATAAAAGTATTAAGATAAGATAATCGAAAAATGAATATTTTACTAGATATTTTATATAAAATTAAGATATTATTTCAGGCCTCATAACTCGAAAAGTACTTCACGGAAAAATAATTTATTATAGTGTTTTGGAAAGCTCTCGAGGTAAGCTAAAAGAATATGCAATGAAAAATAGGGGGTTCCATTTTAAAAAATGCACTTCCGGTCTGAATCGCCTATTTCCGGCCGGAACCAGAAGTTGAAAATATCACCATTCGATAGAGCGCACCCGATTTATAAAGAAAATGTTTTTACTTTTTTGAAATAACACTTCTCTAGGTTTTAAATGGATGGTACGGGTGGTCTGAAACAGCCTGTATATTTGTGTATTCAAAAAAAGCTTATCGCAGGGAACATAACACATTTATTTATTTATTAGCCAACCAGATGAAACACAAGAGAAGTTCCAGAACATGTACCGGATCATTCGAAGGATCAACGAGTTTGCACTGCATCCATCGAAGCGTAAACGCGTAGCCGCGGCCGTGGCCTTCAATCATCTCTACGCGATCCTGCGCGAGGACAACGATACTATTTCGATCTATTGGCTAGAAATATTCTACTGTTTCGTTTGCAGTTTAAATGACGAATGCGATGACCCATCGATCGCGAATGCGCTAGCTCACGTTGAAAAAGTGATGAGGTTGAGGGCGAAACTTCTAAACACAGCTGATCCACTCAATAGGAGGAAGCCGCACGAATTTGAGAGCGCGACCTTGACTCATGCTCTTTACTGGTTGCTGTCGCGGTGTGGAACACTGGACGAACGTTGCCGAGCGAAATGCATGGAATTGTATGTTAACATATCGCAATATGTTGATAGTTATCCGCAGGAAACGATACAGAAGTTTGTCGAGACTCACGGGATGAATCGATTAAACGATATCGTTCTGAGAGGCTTGGAGTCGGGTCTAAAAGACATTTCTATCATCGATAATGTGATGCCGCTCTTGAAGGCTCTAGATTGCTACATTTGGTTGATGGAAAACCAATTGCTGTCGATAGAAACTCTCTTTCCTGCTACTGATGATGCACGAGAACACACAATCTTCTCCTGCATTCGCAGTTTTACTCGTCAGTTCTGGCGAATAACGACCGAGGATTTTGTGGCAGAGACGTTTGCGATAAACTCCAGGGAGCACGAACAGCTGCAGACATTACAATGCAAAACTTTGATGGCTATGTTGAATTTTATACAAATGCTGCTGAATATTAACGTGAGTCATGTTTCTTGCCAGCTTATTACCTAGTTGGATAATCAAGCTAATTTATCAGGATTGGCAAAAAACTTGTTTTTTTTATTTTAAACAAAAACATTGTTTTTTTTAGAACAATGTTTTTTGTTTTATTTGTGTTTTTAAATAAAGTAAAAAAAACATGTTTTAAACAAAAAAAGCATGTTTTAAACAAGCAACACTTAATAGCTTTGATCTGTATAAATATTTAAATTTTTCACTAGCGTTAAACTATAAATAACGTTGCCAAAATTGACAACGCTATTAAAAATAAAAATGATAAGATGGGTATTATTTTAGCAGAATATTTATTTTTGGATATTAAATAACAATTAATACAATAAAGATTATTTAGAAGCTATTGACTGACTTTACATTTTACATTTATCATTTTAAATTAATAGTACATAACTCATAGCAGGTCAGTAGTTCTAAAAAAAAGTTCTAGTTAATAATATTTAATATATAATACTTTGGTTCCTTTCCTATTCTTATTAAGCAACCTCATGCTTAATTCTCAACATAAATTATAAGTAAAAGAAAAATAAAAAACTTCAATTCTTCTTTTTAAAAGAAGAACTTTTTTTTAGAACTATTGACCTGCTATGAGTTATGTACTATTAATTTAAAATGTTAAAATGTAAAATGTAAAGTCAGTCAATATTTTCTAAGAAATCTTTATTGTATTGATTGTTATTTAATATCCAAAAATAAATATTCTGCTAAAATAACACCCATCTTATCATTTTTATTTTATTATTTATATTTTTATATCTATATGTTACATAAATATAGATAAAAAACTAAAAACACTAAAACAAAAACTTTTTTGCAACATACACATCTATTAGTTTTTGTATGTTTTTGATTTTTTTTTACAATTTCTTTTCCAAATAATCATATATTTTATTTGCGATATTTGAAACGGTTCTAAACAATAGTTTAAAACAGTTTAAAATAAAAATGTTTGAAACAGTGGACATTGTTTTAAACAAGTTTTAATCAAACAATTTTAAACACATTGTTTAAAACATGCCAATCCTGTAATTTATTGAATCAAAGATTAGCGAATAATGAAATTAATTAGAGTAAGCTATAGTTATTAACCACGAATTATTAATCGGATTGTTTTAATGATTGTTTCGATAAATTAATACATGTAACTTTGCTGAACAACTGTGATAAAACTCTGTAATTATCATTTTTCAGGTTAATGTATTACCGGAATCTTTGTGGGACGAATCCTTGTCTGCGTTAACGATCAAGTGCATAATGTTTCCGCGAGCGGTCGGCTTCAACGTCAGAAACATCGAAATGGCAGACAAGATGCCAGATGTCCTGGAAATTCTATTGAACACTATGAAATCGCGGTTTACCTATGGTTTACCAAACACCTTTAAGAATTGTCTCTTAAATTTCAGCCGAAATTACGTCGCGAGACTTTTAAATTTGAACGACGTCGCGCAAAACAATCTCAGCGACGATCTGGTTCAACATATTAAAGGTCTGATTCTCCTCCAACGATGCAACATGCTCGACCCAATGATCCTAGAAAGAAGCGCCTTTGCAAATGGCGAAAGAACGGTCGAGTGTATCTTCAAGTTTCTGGTGAACGAACGCATCGGAGAATGGATTTGCAGCAACTTGAACGCACGGATGGTCGAGTATTTGAGAACTCTGATGGAATTTCAATTCTCGCTGTTTTCATTGACAATTGAGGCACCGATAATGGTGATACCCAACGATGTTCGCTCGATAACTGAGACGCTGGTGAAATTCATATCTAACGATACCCTGATCATCGGCGCAGATTCCGCGCAGATCACTCATGGCGAGTACTTTCTGAATATGTTTAAGAACGTGATTTTCAGATTCATGTTGACGCACGTTGGCGCAATCACGCTCGTTTTTGATGAGATGTCGCGCAACAATCCATCCTTTTTGCTCAAGTGGCTCGAGGATCTGGTGTTGTACCTGAAACAGCACAAACGCGAATTGCAGGCTCACGTAGATGCGACAGTGGACGCGATGCTGCGGCACTTCTTGTGTCTGAAGACCGCCTCCTGTAACGATAACAGTGGTAGAGAGAGACTGATGAATATTTACGGTATCGTGGTGCGTCTCAGTTCGGAGCCCGTAAAGATCACACAAGATTCCCCGTTTTCCGAGCTCCATGCGTGGATTATGAACCAGTTGAATGGTTGTGATCTCGAGTATAAAATACAGATTCTGCAAAAGTTTTTCATTTGCCTGACGGACGCGACGATTGATTACGGCGATAACGAACATTCTGAATTGCAAAGGATCCTGGATTCTCTCAACGCAGAAAAAAAAATATTTTGTCCGAATTTGTCCGAAACAAGCGTGAACGCCATGAAGGTAATCAACTGTTTTGAAATACTGCTGATGCTGGTTTCAACAACGAGGTCAAAAATCATGCTGAAGTGCGTGATACACTTCGCAGCCGGTACCAGCGATCATCTATTCCAGAATGAGAAGATAGAAGAACATCTGCGCGAATGTTATCGCGAAGCGTCCAGCGAACATGCCCTACGATTATTAAAGATGACGTACGAAGTGTTTATGGATCGCTACAAAAATCTCTCAGAAACTGAGAGACTCGACGTGTTGCGCGGATTTCTCTTGCCAACATTCCAAGTTTGCAAAACGATCGCGATCGAGCGTTTCTTCGAGCAAAACATTCCCGAGTTGTACGATCTTGCTTATCCGCGCCCTATTGACGACAAACGGAACATCGTGTCCAAGATCGGATGCTTTGAAATAATAACGACCATGATTGCCACAGTAGATATGAGCAAAATAGTCGGTGAAAATGCACCAATCGCGCTGAACGTTCTGCTTCAACTCAACACCGGCAAGGAATTCATTCAAAAATTGCACAAACGCGCCAATAAAACGCGGGCTTTGAAGATTGCTCCATGCGATGCAGAATGCAAAGAGCTCATGCGTTTATTACACTGCTCCGCGTACAACTGCGAACTGGCCATCGTCAGCTTGAACGAAGACGAATATTATTACAAGTTCGCTTTCGGCGAGAATCACTTCCCCAATCTCCTCATCTGGGAAAATATCATAGATCGCTCCAAGTGTTACAACCTCCGTCAGACCTTCAAGAAATACCCAAAGACCCGCGAGGTCGCCGTTAATATGAAATCCACGGCTTTCAATACAGACGGACTACAACACAGATACATGTATAGCTACGATCTGTCAGCCTCCACGTTATGTGAGGACATCAACGCTTATGATTTTAATAGATCGGTCCTGCTGCCATTGAATCGTGATCGGTCTGTTTCGGCGAGAACTCTAAGCGTCGTCCTGGAAAGCGACGATTTTAACAAACACGAATGCATGCCATATATATGTGTCTTATTACGACGTATCAGGGAAATCTGCGTGTCGACCAAGGAGCTTCCCGAGTGGCTGCGACTTTTCCTCAATGCTCTCAGATATAATCAGCCAAATATCACGTTGTTTGTGCTGAGGATCATCTGGAACATGGTCGATGTGTTTAAGCCTTACGCCAAGTTTATGCTGACACCGATCGTCGAAGCTGTCGTCGGGTACCTGGGACTGCATAATAATAAATTGAATTATATCATTACGGATATTTTGGAAATGCTTATGGATTGGCACGATGTGGCCGTGCCGAGTGACGAGAACGACAGAAAGCAAGCTCAGGAACTTTTCGAGGAGTTCCTCAAGAAAGCATTGGAACATTGGAGCATGATGGAAACACCTAACGAACAACGAACATCTCATGAACGACAAATATCCGAATATAATTTCGGTCTAATGAGGATCATGGTGGACAAGTGGGGTAGCTATCTACGAGTACCGAATTCCTTTTTACTGGCCATAATGACATCCGCGCCGAAGGCCGCGGTACATCTTATCCTAGTGCTCCTCGAAAATGAAAACATAACAGAAGAGATGATTGCGAGGGACGACATTGTCGAATTTTTGCTGGAACCGTTGCGCAATTGGAACACACCCGAAACGGACAAAACGCCTTTGCAATGTAGCAGAGGTCTTGGACTATATCTGCAGTCTCTGAATAAGCGCGTCGAGATCGAGAGAAAAATCAAATACGATGAAGTAAGTAATAAAATCATTGCTATTTTACGTTCCACGCAGCCGAATATAATCAAACAGGTAAAGCGCGTCGTTGCTCTCTGTCAAACTTACCCCGAGGTTGCCGACGATTATACCTCTGTGATGCTTAATGCAATAGCTAAGAATGCAGAAACAGCCTCCTGTCTGGAAATCTTCGCATCGTCCATGTCGAAACTTAGCGCCTCGGATGACAAATTAGCGAAATTTCTGAATAATCTGCGTCACATGGATCTCGAGAAAGTATTGAAGAATCAACAGGTATCTTGCGTGAAGCCAGCACTGGGAATCGTCGGCAATTTAGTAACGATCATCTCACCCTCGGATCTGTTGCCTTATGTAAAATCGACGATCCCGTACATCAAAGATACAAGTACGGAACATCGAGAATTAGCCTATGATATACTTATGAAGGTTTACGGAAAATATTCGGTAGAGACTACGGTGGCGATCCTCAATGACGAGGCGATTCGTCTGTTGTTATCTATCAGCGTGGAAAATCTGCTGACTGGTTTGTTGGATCCGTCACATGAGCTACAGGACAGAATACTGCGATTCTGGACGGAAGAGACGAGGCTCAGCACGGAGAGATCGAAAAATCGATTGCTGGGACTTCTCACTATGCACTCGATGCTTCAGGTAACAACGTCAACATCTGAGGAGGATGCGTTCGCGCCTTTCATGGCGCTGCTGATGTTGCAACTGGTCACCAAATCGATGGATTACAACAAGAACATATTCGACGCGCCGTTAAATAATAACTGCAGCTTCGAGAATTATAAAGTAGCCGTTTCTTGGCGCAGACGCAACCTAAGCTGCATGACCCCAATGTTCGTCGATTCGCTCGCCTCGCAGATGAGCTACGGCACCTTTTCTCAAATAAGCGGCGGTGCCGATTTACATGGCACTCGAGTAGATTCCTATTCGCATCTTCTACGATACTCAGGTATCCCTCCGAGACTTCGTGCGACGCAGGATTTGCAATTCGAGCCGACTCTTGACAACTCTGAAGCTGCGGATGCGACCTTTGATGTCGAATTCGATCAAGCATCTACAATAGCATCTTCATCGAGACAGTCGTTGCAAGATACAACGATGCGCAGAAGACCTTTTAGGATTGTAGAGAGCTCATCGGATGTCGCAAATGACATTCGTCGGAGGCAAATCCAGAAGAACGTGCAATGGAGAGAAAAGATGAAGCAGGAAAGTATCAGACAAAGAAGCAGCGTGAGATTGTACAGGTAAAATTAAATTTTGGGCCTTTAATATTTCAATTATACAGGTTTTAGACTACCGCATCACCCATTTAAAAATTAGAGAAGTGGTTATTTTAAAAAAGTAAAAACATTTTCTTTATAAATCGGGTGCGCTCTATCGAATGGTGATATTTTCAACTTTTGGTTCCGGCCGGAAATAGGCGATTCAGGCCAGAAATGCATTTTTTTAAATAGAACCCCCTATTTTTCACTGCATATTCTTGTAGCTTACCTCGAGAGCTTTCCAAAACACTATAATAAATTATTTTTCCATGAAGTACTTTTCGAGTTATGAGGCTTGAAATCATTTCTTAATTTTATATAAACCATAAAATATCTAGCAAAATATTCATTTTTCGATTATCTTACCTTAATACTTTTATATACAAAATAATTTCCATTTAAAAAAATGTATTTCCGGTCTGAATCGCCTATTTCCGGCCGGAATCAGAAATTGAAAATATCACCATTCGATAGAGCGCACTCGATTTATAAAGAAAATGTTTTTACTTCTTTGAAATAACCACTTCTCTGGTTTTTAAATAGGTGGTACATGTGGTCTGAAACACTCTGTATATCCCAAATAAATGTTAATGTTTGTTCTTCCGCTTTTATTCACAGGGATTACAGAATCGGAGAGGTCCCCGATATTGAAATACCTCATTCAAGTTTGATTGTACCGCTTCAACAATTGATAAAACTAGATCGGGTGATCTGTAAAGACATGATTGTATCGTTATTTTGTTCGTTGATCGAAGAAATAACCGAGAGAGAGAAATCTGATGACTTCCGTCAGGCCATCGTGGACAATTTAAAAAGAATTTTGCATAATTCAAGCGAGAAAGATAGTTCCTTTAACGCCGTTATTCTCGAGACATTGCTACAATTAAATGTCACCGATGGCGACCCGCGAGATATAGCAAAGATTTCCAAGACAAGCCGCTTGGATGTTCTCGGTGCTCTTCTCCTGGAACGTAGTTTGCTGCCTGACCCGAGAAATGACTCACCCACGTCGAGCAAAAGAATGCGAAGATGCGATAATGAAGAGACCGACAAGTGGGTGCAATTGGTGTCTCTCTATAAATCGCTAAATGACGTCGATGTTGTTTTGAGTATCTTCCGAAGACAGCAATTCTTTGGCGATGACATGCAGGTAATTTTCGATAGTATTTGATTAACACAAAAATATAGATTCCTTTTATAAATGAATACGAAATGGAATCAAAATAGTTTCTATTTTCAAGTTTCTTTTATACCTCTTTTTATCTAGAAGAAAGATTCTTTAATTCTCTCTTTAAAAAAATTCTTTTTTTTTTTAGAAAGCGGCTTTTGCGGAAATAAATGGCGATTGGATTCAAGCAAGAGACGCCTACGCAAGCGCTTACGAACAAATCGAGAATCGATCAATAAAAGAGCACTGTTTCCAAGGATTATTCGAGGCTGTCCAGAATTTGTGCGATTGGTCGGCTATCGATCAACTTGTGAAAAGCCGCACGAACGATGGAAAGCTGAGTAGTATCTGGGATGACACATGGAAGGATTGGATGCTTCCGTATGCTTTCACTGCTTACGTACACATGTTGGAAAAAAACTGGAGATCAATGGATGATGATCTGGAAGTCATTGAATCATGGATAAACGATCGAGATAAATCGAAGCATCTTAAGCATTTGGTAGGCAAAGATCTGATCATATTTCTATTGACGGTAGAGCGACAGGCCGCTGATCTATTGATGAATGAACTTCTGGACAAAACGGGAGAACAATGGATTGGTTTGAATCCCCTCTGCATCGAACGGGGAATACGCGAATCACTAAAATTGCAAGCCATGAACGATCTTAACGCTTCGCTCAATGTCCTTCGATACACGAGCGAAGCGATCTTTCTAGATCGGTTGGTCGCGTTGTTGAACTTCTGGTCGTCGAAAGTACCCGCCATTCAAGACAACCTCGTGCAGTGGAATAAATTAGCCGCTTATCGAATGCATTTCTCAATGTTATTTAAAAACATCTTCAACAATATGACAGAAGATGACGACGAGGATAGGAAACGCGCTATCATAGAACGGATGCATAGAAGCGGTCTTCAGCTTCGACTGGCCATCGCCAACGCAGCGTTGCATCAGAAACACCAATACATCGCCGAGAAGCATTTGAGTTACATGAACGAACGTTTAAGGAATAACCATCAGCACTTGGAGCTTTCGTGGCTCGAGGCTAGGATCAAATGTTTGTGTGCCGACATCGAAACAGACGCGTGCACAAAGATGTCGGATTATACCGCTTCCTGGGAATATTCGCATCGACTGTTGAACGAGTGCAACGAGCTCGACACCGACACAAATACTGCCGTCAGGCAGCACGTCGGTATCCTCGCTTCGAAGATCGAATCTTCAAGCAGGGAGAACGCAGAATTCGCAAATGCGTTGGCGAATAACTCCGCGATCCTGCAGAAGATAGGAATCGCGGAATCGACGATCGTCGACTTGAACAACATCCGAGAGCATTTGTTGCGGTACAGCTTGAACAATCTGCGAGCCTGCTGCGAGGATGCGACGAGCACTAATGTCGGCGAACACTATTGCGCCCTGGCCAGGCACTGTTACAATAGACTGATGTCCACCGACATGGACAGCGACGAACTTTTCCACGAATTCCTGTTATCCACCTTGAGATCCATGCGTTACGATTATCTCGAGGCGGCGCACTACTTCCCCTGTTTGCTGAGACCTGAACGGTTACAGGACGAGGAGACGCGTATCACATTTGTTCGGGAGTGCGCCGAGTTGCAGCCGTGGTTGTTCCTGCGTTGGCGGGATCTGTTGTTCTCCCATCTGGACACGCCGTCGATTGCAAACGCGGTTGTACCGATCGTCGAGAGACTCGCCGAGGCCTATCCCGATGCGGTAGCCTACACGTATCACCTGGTGATCGAGAGAAACCCTGGTATTCTTCAGGATGGAAACATTCAGAGGATACATTCACTCTTGCGCGACAAAGTAGAAAAGTATGAGCAGTTCCTGCGGGCGATAGAGTACGTGGCGCAACCGGAACTGTTTCTCCAGCACTATCTCAACGGAGCGATGAGGGATCTGTCGCGAGGAAAAGGAGCATCAGCCATCGAATCGCTGCTGCGAAAGGTCTATCCAAGCACACAGACAGCAGGAGTGAATAATCCTCGTCCGGGCAATATTTACCAGAAGATAGCAAAATATGAAAGCGAGATAAGAGCCTTGAATCCTGACAATCTCGACGCCACGCGAGATGGAATACAAAGACTCAAGAAATCTATCTTGGAGGAGTCTCTCTTGAAACCTCCAGCAAAAACACAACAGGCCAGCAAATACTCAAGTCTCAAGAATTATAGCCCGTTCTTGCACGAGTGGCACATGGGCGGAGGAATCGAGGTACCTGGCCAATACACCGGTGATAGGAAACCCATATTGCGTTATCACACGAGGATCGCGCGTTTCGAGCCACGCGTGGCGGTCATGAAATCACTGCGCAAACCAATTCGCATCTGCATGGTAGGTGACAACGGCAAGGAGTACAAGTTCCTGGTGAAATTCGGTGAGGATCTGACGATCGATCGCGGCCTGCAGCAGCTGTACACCACCATGAACAGGACATTACGCAATGATGCTAGCTGCAGACAAAGACGCTTGTCTATAGACACATACGAGGTATACATTTTTCGTACATAAATAAAATATGTATGTGTATAGTATTATTATTTATTATTATTTGTCATTTATTATTATTTATTATTATTTGTTTATTAACATTTAGCAGTTTTTAATTTAAATACTATGCACACATACATTTCTTCATTTTATCTTATAAAATTTAATCCTTTAAATTTATTTATTAAATCTATTTATTAAATCTATTTATTTATTTAATCTTCTCAACTTGTAGGTGATTCCGTTGTCGAGGTCATTCGGTCTCATACAGTGGATCGATAATACGAAATCCCTGGATGATCTGATACGCTTCACCCTGTCCAAGAAAGAGAGCGATCGATGCGAGAGCATTTTAAAGAGATACTTGGAGTGGATAGCTAGCGCCTCGAAGCAGCCTTCTTGGATCGTCAACCCCAATCAGTACAAGGAGGCCGTGGCCAGGTTCAGCTGTCGAACTGTCACGGAACAGATGGAGCGCTTCATCAGCGAGACCAGGCGCACGGCTCTTCGCGACGCTTTCGTCGCCGTTAGTCCGTCGCCGGAGTGCTTCATGACCTTGCGACGTAACTTCGTCGCGAGTTACGCGACCATGTGTGTGGCACATTGGCTCGCGGGCGTTGGCGATCGTCATCTGCAGAACACCCTGGTGCGTGTCACCACCGGACGATGCCTGGGCATCGATTTCGGCCACGCTTTCGGGGGCGGCTTGCGAGCAGCTGTACCGGAACTCGTGCCGTTTCGCCTGACGCCGCAGATACTGGAGCTACTGCGACCTTTCACCGAGCGCGACCTCCTGGCGACGATCATGACCCACGCGATGCGTGCCTTGCGTGACGACTGTGGCCCGATTCTCGCTTGCATGGATATCTTCGTTCACAAGCCCGTCAATCGATCGTCGTTGGACGATGAAATGATGAGGAGTGATGATCAAAAAGATGATGCAGGTAATATACAAAATGAAAATGTTGAATTTTACAAGGGGTTTTGTTTACTGGAATATCGTCAACGAATCCCGATGGGAAGTTTTCGTTACATGCTTACTAATATAAGTAATATTGTAGAATTTATACATATACTTATTTGCATCTGTAGAGATAAGTATAAAAAATTTGTTGAGTATTTTAATGTTATTCTAATTTCCTTTTCTAATCTTTTATTATTCTAATGTAAATATTGTAAAAGCATATGTATTAATGTCTATTTGTTATATGAATTTATTAGATTTATATAATATATATTCTATGAATTTTTTAATATAAATTTATGATTATTTAAAGAGAATATATTATATTCTAAATATATATTTATATTCTCATATATTATAATTTATATTATATTGATACTTATGAATATAAATTCATAGAATATATAAATATATTGGATATTGATGATACATAAAATCATATAATTTGCAGACTTAACGTGGTCGTCCAAGAGAAATATTGAGATAGTTGCAAAGAAATTAAATGGAATCCATCCAGCAATCATTACATTGAAGCAATTAAAAGAAGCGCACAATGATGAATACTTTACAAGATATCATGCCATTGTCATGGGCGTTGACGGGATCAAACAAGCACGAGCAGATACAAGGAATGATTGTTTAACACCTGCTGAACAGGTAATTTTGATTCAGTATAAAGTTAAAAGCGATACATATTGCTTTTTTTCTTGAATATAGATATTTAAACAGATATTTTTAGATAAATTTTTCTTCATTTCTAATATTATAACTCGAGATATTTAAATCTCTCTAAAGCAGAACTTTTGAATTTTTTCTATACCTATTAATGAATATTAATATTTCAGGTGGATTGTTTGTTAGATCAAGCAAAAGACTTTAATATTTTGGGTCGCATGTATGCGAATTGGCAATCATGGCTGTAACTCTTCTATTTGAGTATTATAAAACGTTATAGAAGTAATAAACGATTTTAAAAAGGCACAAGAATCATGAAATATAGAAATTTTATATATTTATATCAAATAAGGAACTTTATTTTAACATGAATTAAGAGAGCAAAATCATGGGTAAAATTACATACAATAAAGATATGTAATATATTTTATTACAATTTTATTACATATCTCTTCTTGTACTATAATACAATTGATTTGATAGGCAAAGTTTATTAGAGTTTATAAATATTAATTATATTTTATATGTTTTTAAAATCGATCTATAATTAGACATATCATTTAAGAAAGGAAATTCGTAATTATACCAAGTTTATATGTATGTATATGTAAAAAAGATTTTTTTAGAAATGGAAACTAACCCTATATTTTTTATAATTGTTTTGCAAGTTATTGTAAATTTAGAAATTAAAATATATTGAAATTCTTTGATTTTTTATATATTCCCTAGTTTTTAATATTTCCTTTGCCTAACATCTACCGGATATATATTTATTGCATTTGAATCTACGAATGATTTACTATTTTCAAATTATATCTATCACATGTATTACTGGAAATACCAAAATCTTATTATTTATATCCGATGTTTAAATCCTCCCCTCCCCCCCGCCCTCTCCAAGCAGTATATTAATTATATATATACGACCGATAATATTGACTACTGCCTACTTTTATATATAAATATATAATTATGTACAAGTGTAACACCAGACGAAAAATGTGAATTAACTCTTAATATCATTCATTAGATTAAATACTAAACTACTTGTCTAGTGATATTTTTTTTTATAATTTTTTATGCTAAAATGTCGCGAAATTAATTTAGTCTAAAATAAAAATCTATAATGCCATTTAATAATAAAAAAATATATATATATATATATCTAGTATAAAATATTTACTATTTTCTAGTTATTTTATACAATGAAATGATTATGAGCTGTTTTACAATGTAATAATTTCTCTGCAAATAAAAAATAAAGATCTGTACAGGAGATAAGTAACAGTAAAGTGAATTTCCTTATGTATCACTTTTCCACAGTTTAATGGTTTTGTCGTTTTCAAGAGCGGCCGAAGCTATGATATTATCCGTTGGATGACATGTTGTGCAAAGTACCACGTCTGAAAGTATAAAAAAGTTTATGTTTTTGAGAACATATATATCATATAAAAGATTCTGGGACATTAATTCATTTTTTCACAGAGTATTTTCTTACTATTCTTAAATTCACATATATTTACCTGTATGTCCCTGTAACTTTTGTACAATTTCCTTTGTCTGTAGATTCCAAATATATACCATGTGATCTTCAGATCCTGATACAATCCACTATATAAGAATAACAAATTGTTAAAACACAATGCCCCTGTATTGATATATTTGAAATGTATAATACAAACCTTTCCACCTGTTACAGAAAAATTTGCGAAGATACAATACTTCTCGTTCTTATGGCCTGTATATGTTTTTAAGCATTTCCCTTTACTATAATCCCATAATTTCAATGTATTATCCAGCGTAGCTGCCAAAATATATTTTCCATTTGGTGAGAATTTGACAAATGACACCGGAGGATTGTCATCATCTATCAATGTTTTCAAGCATTGCCCCGAGGCAGTGTCCCAAATTCGACTGTAACATATCATATAATATAAGTATTAATATAAGTTGTCAATATTACAATTTTAAATACACTAAATCAATATTTAGAAAACATAGTACATATATTTTTCTTTTTATAAAGTATTTCAATCGCGAAATTTAACTTACCATAATCCATCATAGCTACTTGAGACAATTAGAGAGCCATCCCTATTAAAATGCACTGCGCTTACAGGATCTGAATGTGCTGGCAAAGTTTTGAGACATTTTCCAGTTCTAACATCCCAAATACGTACACTTTCGTCAAACTACAAATACATAACTTATATTTTAATTTAATAATACACAATAATCCATGTATAAATTTAAATATCTCATGCAGAATTTATTTACATTTAAAGAATAAATTATATTTAATCTTGAGAATCTCTGCATGTAAGAGATAGAAAGCAGAATATTTCAAAATTGCAAATAAAAACTCATGTAACTCAATTAAAACAAAAAAATAAATAAATAAAAACTAATGTTTGGAAAAAATTCTAAAACATTTAAAATAAAAGGATTATTCTATGTACATAATTAACATATAAATATAGATAAGTGATACTTACAGAACCAGAAACTATGAGATTGGATTGTGGATTAAAATTACAACAGAAAACATAATTACTGTGGCCCTTTAATGTTTTTAAACATTTACCCTAAAAGAGAAGATTTCAAGATTAATATACCAAAAAATAATACAAACTTATGATTTATTTGCTAAACTATATAACAATAAAACTGGCAAAACTTCAATTTCAAGTTTTATGTTGGATACTTAATGCTAATTTAAATTAATATTTAATATTAAAATTAAAATGTTTTTGGCAATTCATTCACAACATATAGCTTAAAGATTATTAGGATGTTTACCCTTTTTATTAAAATAAAATTGATTTTAAATTTTAAACATTATACTATCTGTATCCATTTTTATAAAACCGATTTATATATACATATAAACATCTTATAAAATGGATTACTTACCGAACTTAATTCCCATATTTTTAAAGTCTTATCATCAGAAGCTGATACTAGTAATCTACTATCACTGGACCACGCTACATCCGAAATACCAAGTTTATGACCTGATATAGTCTTTTCAAACTTTCCATCATAAGATCCCCAGATTTTAATAAGCTTATCAGCAGCTGAAAATTAGATACTCGTTGTATTTCACAGTAAGATTTGCAACTAGATTTCTAGAAATCCTTAGTTACCGGAGCTTGCCAACCATTCTCCATTGGGACTAAATTTAACAGATGAAACTGCCTTAGTATGACCAGCCAAAGTATATTTTAATGTATAATTGGGTTTCTGTAAAGAAAGAAAAGCAAAGATACAAATACTATTCTTGCATTCGCATTATTTGATTCCATTGTGAAATAATTACTAGTTGAGTACAAACATAATACACATAAAGATTTTAAAATTTGACTATAAGTCTATTGTTGTATTCGAATATATATATATATATATATATATATATATATATATATATAAAGAGAAAGAGAGAAAAAGAGAGAGATTATTTAAAGAAATTATTATAATTGTGATATTGATAATTCGAATTTTAATCGAGAGAATGGGAGGCATACCTGTAAGTTAAGCTGCAAGTGGCAAGCCGGTTTAATCGAGTAAATCTAAATATCTTATAATATTATAATAGGGATAATATGAGAATCTTATAAATATTATAATAGGGATAATATGAGAAGAATATCAGTTACATTAATTATGTCTTTACAAAAGAACCATGTACAAGCTGCTAAGAAACACATGACGAGTTTAAAAACGAATTTATTCATTTGAATGCAAATTCAATCAACATCCTGAGATTTCGCGTCTTTCGTAAAGACATAATTGATCATTTCTTCTCATATTATCCCGATATTTTACAGATTTATCTGATCAAACCGGCTTGCCACTTGCTGGCACAGTTTAACCTACACGTGTCTCTCCCGTTCTCTCGTCGAATAAAATTTAAATTACTAGTATCGCGTTGCTTTTTGTCCCGCTAGCGGCCGTAGTGGAAGAATTGTTGACGGAGGTTTGATGCCCAGGTGATGGGCCGAGAGGTACCATTTTTTTTCCTTATCGTTTATCGATGAAAACTTGCACCGCGCAAACGAAACATTTGCACCAGACTCTGAACGTGAAATCCGAAACAAATTTTCTATGTGTATGTGCGAAGACCGGATGTGTGTGTGGATCGAGTCTGCGCAATTCGCTGCTGCGCAAATCGTAAAGGCTATTGCATTTACAAAAGTTAAGGCGTCTTTTCATGTCGACGCTTACGATCATGGACGTAAGAAATACTGGACAGAGCATAAAGAACTCTTTTAGACGAGGGGAATGAAATCTGAGGGGTAAGGGGTTTATTGTCGCGACCATCTTAAATGCATCAAATTTAGCGTCTATTTGCACGTCGCACGGACGTAAATCGAATAAAATATGAGAGATTCCGTGAAATCATCTATCATCTGAAATTGCTGTGTTATTCCGAATCATTTTTGAATATTAAGAAATTCAAAAATATCACACTCCGTGAAATTAATATCCGTCGCCATCTTACATGCCTCATATTCCGTTGCAGTAGACATTTCTTTCCCCTCACCCTTTGAGCTTCACTCACGCAGCAATACACTCTGTCCAGTATTTCTTACGTCCATGTTTCTCATTAAAATGTGTAAAACTGTACATCGCACATTTAATACGATTAATATACTACGTAATAAAATGTAATACACTAATGAAATAATTAAATATTATTTTTGAAAGCATAATAAAATCCAGGGTTAGATCGAAAAAATTTAACAGTTGGCAGCCCTACGAGATAGGCTGTGCAGCACTGCGCGTATATAAAATAAATTTGAAATCGCTTCTAGCCTAACCATCTTCACGCGATCGACTTTATTTGAATTGCACGGCATCGCATCGAATTATGATGCGGCGCCGATTTGTTCGAACGTAATTCAGGACATCGCGATACTGTATAAGCGTCGAATGAGCACGAATTGTCACGCAAATATGATAAATCACATTTACTCACCGTTCACCGGCTGTTCCACAGGCCGCACCACTCGCTCGCCTCGGGACGTCCCATTCCGATCTTGATGCACACAAACTCATACGATATCATCAACGCGAACGTGCGACACTTTATTCGGCACTCCCGATATTCGCTCGCATCCAATAATCATCATCAAGGGCGCAAATAACGCGACGCGACTTCGTTCTATCTTCGCGATCGCGCTATCACTGAACTGTGAAAAATAGCTGTCGCGCACTTTCACCGACATATTATGAAAGTCGCGCGATCATCCTTGGACACTTTCGACGCTCTTTCACTCGCGATATTTGTTTAAAAACGGTTAAAAGACGCGAAAAATGCGGACGTACGACGATCCGTGTAACTGCGTATGACTCCGATTCACGTATGACGCGTATGACGTAGCTATGACGCGTATGACGTACAGTCACGCGCCAACATGGCGGCCGAACCAGTGCGCAGAAACGAATGGTTCGGCCGCCATGTTAGCGCGTGACTGCTACGTCATACGCGTCATACGTGAATCGGAGTCATACGCAGTTACACGGATCGTCGTACGTCCGCATTTTTCGCGTCTTTTAACCGTTTTTAAACGAATATCGCGAGTGAAAGAGCGTCGAAAGTGTCCAAGGATGATCGCGCGACTTTCATAATATGTCGGTGAAAGTGCGCGACAGCTATTTTTCACAGTTCAGTGATAGCGCGATCGCGAAGATGGAGTGAAGTCGCGTCGCGTTATTTGCGCCCTTGATGATGATTATCGGATGCGAGCAAATATCGGGAGTGCCAAATAAAGTGTCGCGCGTTCGCGTTGATGATATCGTGTGCATTAAGATCGGAATGGGACGTCCCGAGGCGAGCGAGTGGAGCGGCCTGTGGAACAGCCGGTGAACGGTGAGTAGATGTGATTTATCATATTTGCGTGACAATTCGTGCTCATTCGACGCTTATACAGTATCGCGATGTCCCGAATTACGTTCGAACAAATCGGCGCCGCATCATAATTCGATGCAATGCCGTGCAATTCAAATAAAGTCGATCGCGTGAAGATGGTTAGGCTAGAAGCGATTTCAAATTTATTTTATATACGCGCAGTGCTGCACAGCCTATCTCGTAGGGCTGCCAACTGTTAAGGTGCAATTTCATTGACGCTAAAAAGTAGCGTCAATGAAAAGGCCGCTTTAAGATGCGGCCTCATTGACGCTAAAAAGTAGCGTCAACCATTGGTTGAACAATGAAGCAACTATACTTACCTCCTTGTTCAACCAATGGTTGACGCTACTTTTTAGCGTCAATGAGGCCGCACCTTTACACACTGAAAAAGTTGAAACTGTTGAACTTTATTTTATTGACGCCAAATCTAGAGAAAGTCTATTTTAATTTGCCGCTGGTTTCTAGCGTCAATGAAATTGCACCTTAAAGGTGCGGCCTCATTGACGCTAAAAAGTAGCGTCAACCATTGGTTGAACAAAGAGGTAAGTATAGTTGCTTCATTGTTCAACCAATGGTTGACGCTACTTTTTAGCGTCAATGAGGCCGCATCTTAATTGATCAATTGCAACGTCAAATGGGACGCTCCCGATGCTGCCATATAAAGGTACCTTTAATGCCTCCAGCCAATCATCTCTCGCTATTTTATTTTGGCCGAAGCAGGAAATTGATTGGCCACCACGTGAGTCGTATATACGAAAAATTCGTAAAGTATATACGCATGGAAAAATCAATCAATAATTCGTCTAGTACAAATAATATGGTCGCATTCGAAGGACTCAACCGCTGATGTGATTAATTAATATTTTTTTGTATATGTATTTTGAATCTATATAAATCATGGACGTAAGAAATACTGGACAGAGCATAAAGTACTCTTTTAGACGAGGGGAGTGAAATCTGAGGGGTAAGGGGTTTATTGTCGCGACCATCTTAAATGCATCAAATTTAGCGTCTATTTTCACGTCGCACGGACGTAAATCGAATAAAATATGAGAGATTCCGTGAAATCATCTATCATCTGAAATTGCTGTGTTATTCCGAATCATTTTTGAATATTAAGAAATTCAAAAATATCACACTCCGTGAAATTAATATCCGTCGCCATCTTACATGCCTCATATTCCGTTGCAGTAGACATTTCTTTCCCCTCACCCTTTGAGCTTCACTCACGCAGCAATACACTCTGTCCAGTATTTCTTACGTCCATGCTCACGATCATTTTTAGCGTCATCAAAAGATACCACGTGAGTAAAAATAAAATCCACGTATTGTGAACCAGGGATTAAGAAAATTATATTTAAAAGATTCTCTCTCTCTCTCTGTCTTCCTGTCTATTTATTATATATATAAAATAAGTAGAATTAAAAAAAGAAAAATGCAATAATATATATATTTATGTTAGCTCATTTTTCTTGTTTTAATTCGATTTCTTCTTGTTTATATTTTTGTTTGTCTATGGAGACAAAGGAAGAATCATCAAAAGAATTGCTTTATATTTACATAAAAATAATAGATATTTTAATAATAAATACCCCATTCCATATATTGCTGTTTAAGGTAAAAATTATACAGAAAAATAGTTATAATATATTTTTAAACAAAACGCTGGAAAAAATGAATAAAGAAAAAAAAAACGCTAAAATTTTATAAAACATAATAAAGTATAATAAAACATGATATTTTATAAAACATAATATATTTGTAAGTTGTATAATTACAATTTATAATACAGTTTATAATCATTATACCATTTTTTTTTTATTCTATCTGATAAAAAGATTCTTTTCCCTTATTCTATTATTCATTAAGAAATTAGCAAAAGATGAGTTGTCAAGAAATTATTTATTTTATGTTTAATATAAAATATATAACAGATTGTTTTTTTTTCATAATTTTGAAGATTAAATTGATCACTGATAAATAAGTCTAATTTCTTCATTTTATATGTATTGTATCTCCATCCTTTTCCTGCAATTACATTATATTTCTTCTTCAATAAATCACATATCTCAAAAGTTTAAATAAAATCGAAATTTATAATTAATCAGCAATGGATAAAATAATCACTATCATTCAGAAACACGGACCATTAATAACATCATGATTAAAGTTTAGTTGCAGAAAGTAAAAACTTATAAATAATATTATTTATAAACTAGTATAATTTCTTACAAAAGTATTTACAAACCTATGCATTTATGTTGATGAAATTGTTCTTTTTCATAGCATTAAAGATTAAATTGATTGCTGATGAATGGATCTAATTTCTTCATCTTATGTTATCATTATTTTCCTGCAATCACATTATTTTTTTTTACTAAACCATATATTGTTAAAATTGAAATAAAATCGGGATTTATAATTAATCAGTAATGGTTAAAATAATCACTGTCATTCAGAAACACGGACCATTAATAACATCATAACTAAAAAAAATGGCTTAATCATAGGGAATAAAAATGTATATAATCATTATTTAAAAAATAAGTTTAATTAATAATATAATTGTTCATAAGTATTTACAAACCTGTTCAGATTTGATATTGAGCATTTTGAGCTGCGAACTTTATTTCTCCATGAAATAGAACTTTATGCCAAATTTCATAGAGAATGTCTATTCAAAAACCAATCTCATTCAAGTCATGACAAGTGTCATGTAATTGTAAATCCAATTGTAAGTCCAGACAACTGATAGTCAGTCTCAATATTCATTTTACTAACAATAATGCTCCCAAGTGCTCTACAAATAATAACCTAAGAAACAAGGGATATATATTAATAACATTACAATTGTTCAGTTACGAATCTGTTATATGTCAAAAAACAATTATAATCATTAAATCAGCAAAAGAGATCAATTAATTTTCCATATTTAAACAAAAGTTTTGCATACACATGGGATGGAAAATAACCATTTGTTAAGAGTCCAGAAAAATTTATTAAGATCCCATTTCAAAATTAATCTCTCGTCATAAAAATAATAAAATGAGATAATATATCAAGAAGTGATTATATTTATATTAATTTGAAATACGTCGTACGGTATAATTAAAATAAGAAACACGTGGTCGGGAACGCGGCCGGCAAATTAATTTCTGCGACAAATAAATAATCACAAATAGCCCGGTAAAATCAATGGAAGAGAAAATCATGGATATTTCGAATAAGATATAGACGTAGAGGAACCAAAAATTCCTTACCATCTTGCGTTCTTCCTTTCTTTTTGTGCAGGAGAAATCAATCGACATGTTTCCACGTTGAACGACGCCCAGAAAATAGGATATCAATGCAAACGGAAAGCGGAAACAAGCTTCCTTCTATTCAAGCATCTCAAAATGCGTTCAAAAATCTCATCTAAAAATCTGTGGTCCTTTTGTTCTGATTGGTCAATTAAATTGTACCCTACTGATAGAATTTTCGAACGCATCCATGATTTTGATATGTACGCATGCGTGTGACAGATTCTTGTTTAGAATGAGCGGGAAACTTTTAAGGGCTACAACAAAGTTTGTTCTTTATTATTCATACTGTTATTAAAACTATTTTTTTTTATATTAATATTTGTAAAATAAAATTGTTTTTATATAATTTTTCTCTTATAAAATATGTAATGTTAATTTATTTTACTATATTGTCATTTTTATCTTATCCATATGTTCTTTTTTCTTTATTTAAGTTACTTGATATTATTTATATTAATATAATACTTAATTTAATAATTATAATCTGGTATTTGATGGATTTGTCACTATTACTTTTTATAAATTATTATTTATTAATTATCATACATTACTGTACTTTTGCAACAGCCTTATTGGGGTGATATTTAATGTAATAAAGTAGCCTTAATATAGCTGAAGGTGTCACACCTGAGATTTTATTCGCTGCAGCAATCTGCAAAATAAATCTTGTTAATGTAGATCACATAGAATTATTAAACAGATACATATGACTATTAAAAACACGATAAGTGAGTATATATATGTATTTTTTTAATAATGATGTAGTGATTTAGAAAAAAAGTAAAGTCAAATTTACGAAAAAATAGCAGTAGTAAGATATTTACCGTGCTTGGGAGATTCTTTGTGAGTTTCTCTCTATCTTCAATGGATAAATTTAATTCAGAACTATAGCAAAGATGAAACAAACAGTTAATAATTTCGTCGACATATATTATTTTCAGACGTAAAGATTTAAAGGAATATTATTTTTATCTATTTTATTAAATAGTGACTCATATAAAATAAGTGTTTGAGGTGCGTCATATTTTTTACCTATTATAATTAATATCATCAGGTATAATCAGTTGCTCGTTCCTCCTGATATCTTCTACTTGATCCTGCTGATCTGCAACTACATGAGCATATTTTGCTTCTATCTGAAAACCAAATCACATTATTAATACTTATTGATGAAGATATTCTTGTTTTATTTTATTACGTTTTTAATTAAAATTTTAGAAATTTTAATAAAAAAAAGTAACGTTCTTTTTTTCAAAAAGTACAATTTATTACACAAATTCACAAACCTCTATTCTTTCTGCCAGAGTGGGATCTCTAGCCAAGTGGCCTAGCAAATTCGGTAAGCAGTTCGCCAATTGTTCAAATGTAATTTTCTTCTCCGTTATTGAAAGCATCTCAAAGGCCGACTTACTTTTATTAGTTTTAGCGCTCTTAAGCTTTAATAATTCCCGCCACTTGAAACTTAATCGAATTTCGTTCTTAAGTATTTCTATAGCTTCTTGTATTTTGCTAAGAGTTTCTATCGTCTTGTCGAGCCTTTTGCGAGAAACGCAGCCCACTGCATAGCCTTTTTCTGTTAATCTCTGGTCGGCGTTATCAGGACGTAGACTCAATCGAAATTCCGATCTGCTAGTGAACATTCTATATGGCTCCGTGGTACCCTCTGTTGTTAGATCATCGATGAGAACGCCAATATAACCCTCGGTTCGGCTTATCAGAAGCGGTGATTTCTTAAATACCTAGATATATATATATATATATATATATATATATATATATATATATAAACCAGATTTTGCTTAAAGTATATTTAAAAGCATATCTACATATTAGATATTCTCAATCGACAACATCGGGAAATAATAAAATACGAAAATCTTTTATAGATATAAGAAATTGTAAATTACTTCTCTCTCGCAGTTCAAATTTTTTTAAGGATTTACAACAATTAACTTAAAAAATACAATAATCTATGCCAAACTTTTTCTCTACATGGGAAAATTTTCTGGTTAATGTGTCAATCACCTTAGCGGCTGCGTTAACACCCGCGACGATACCTTGTGCGGCAGCCTCTTCATAACCGGTGGTGCCGTTTATTTGTCCAGCAAAAAATAGGCCCGAAATCTTTCTAGTCTCCAACTGGGAAGTCAATTCTCTAGGATCTACATAATCGTACTCGACACCATAACCGGGTTTCGCTATAAATGTAAATGCAAATAATATAAGCATGATTGCATAGATATATATAAGTGATAATAATTATTTAAAATAATGTAAACATTAATTAATAAAAATGTTGAATATGACAAATAAACACTAAATATCCATTTTTTTGGATTCTTTTCAGAATAATCATTAAAATGAGATTTATATATGAATAAACGAATTTTGCATAGTCTTCAAACTACTGAAAATTTAAGATATATAAATTTAAAATTAAGAAGATTGAATATACCTAGACGAGCATTTTCTAATCCTGGAATACAATTAACGAGTTCCACTTGTTTCTCTTCTGGCAAGGTACACGACAATCCACTTGGATAAATTAACGGCGAGTCCAGACCTTCTGGCTCCAGCCAAATTTGATGTCTAGGCGTTTGGAATCGCAAAATCTTACTCTCTATGCTCGGGCAATATCGTGGACCGGTTATCTCCTCCGTAACGTGTAAATTACAGTGCATATTGTCCTTTATAATTTTCGCGACACCCTCATTTGTATATGTCAGGTATGTTGGTATTTGTTTCTCGGGCGGTAACCACACATTATCACTCATAAATGAGAACGGCATCGAAGAATCATCCGGCAGATATTTTATACACTTGGTAAAATCAATGCTATCTTTCTCCAACCTTGGCGGTGTCCCTAATAATATGTGTAACCTAATTAATATATTATTATAATGTGTAACCTAACTAATATATATTATTATAAATGTGTAACCTAATTAATATATTATTATAATTAAATGTTACATTATAATGTTATAATAACTTTAATATATGAATATATATTTTAATATAAATTAGAACACAAAATAAGAAATATGTCTATAGAATTGTACATTGCATCAATTAATAAAAGAAGATGTATGCACAGAATATAACTTTCTCTCTTACCAGTTTTCAATCTTCCTATCTGAAATCCAAGCCTATCAAGTGTATTTGCTAAACCAATACTGGGCTCATCATTTAATCTACCCGCAGGTCTCTTCTCCAATCCAATATTTATTTGGCCTTTTAAAAAAGTTCCTGTAGTTATAACTACTGCGTCACCAAATATTTTTGTTCCATCTCCTATGAAATAATATATTTCAGGATAATATATAATACTAATAATACTAATAATATTAATTGATATTAATAATAAAAATATATACATTTTTAAATTGACATAATACTTTTAGAAAAACAGATTGATATACAATGTTCGAATATGTTAAACTCAGTACTAAATAAATACAATAAAATCAAATTACTTTAAAATTGAATTTAATTAAAATTAATTAAAATACTATTATTCTTTATATTGTCTTTCCTGCTATTTTATTCTATTATAAAGTTTGAAACGTACTGAGAATTACTCCACAGCAGGACAAAGGATTATTGGCTAAAATTAAATCTTCCACAGAGGATTCATAGATGTGTAAACCATGCATATTGAAAAGTTCCGCCTGAAGATGTTTCTTATATAGTGTTCTGTCGATTTGAGCTCTGAGACCCCACACCGCCGGTCCTTTACATTTGTTTAAAACTTTGTAGTGTATTCCTGAAATATCACATATTCGACAACATACTCCATCTAAAGCATCCACCTCTCTCATCAAATGGCCTTTTCCGATTCCACCGAAAGACGGATTGCATGACATTTCTCCTATAAATATAATTAAATTCAAATATATATAGTAATGTACTCTAAAGACAGAAAAGATTAATAAAAACATGTTCTTAGTTTGTTTTTATCCTAGTTATTTTAATATTAATGTACAACATTTATTAATATCTTTTTTGTTTTATAATTCTAAGTAGAAAATTTTAACTATAAATTGTTTCTATATAATGTCATATCTATTGTTAAAACTATAGTATTATTAATTATGTTACATAAACTTTTTGACTTGTTATGTTTCCATACAATTTATGTTTCTACAAAAAAATTATTTCTTTCTTTAAAAAAACATTCTGTGAAACCTGTAAAACATACTTTTACAAAATAATCACATCACTTTAATACAATGTACGAATCTCAATCTACTTGAAAATTTAATAATCACTGCTAAATAAAATATAATTTTAGGTATACATACCTATAGTATTTTTTTTCTGAGTGACTAATAATGTCTTTGCACCCATTCTGACAGCAGCGGCAGATGCTTCAGTTCCAGCATGACCACCACCAACTACGATCACATCAAATTTCTTTCCACTATCGTTTGTGATTAGTCTTCTCAATAATCGTAATCGCTTCTGTTTGGAACATGCGTTAAATAAAGGTGTTTTAATTTTTGTAGAAATCATTTTTTCTTGCTGGTTGCTTTTTATCCGTATTCTAATTTCTGCAAAAATATTTAATACCTATTAATTCAGAGAAGAAAGATAATAAAATCAAATATTAGAATATATTAAATTATTTGTTTAACTCGCTACATAAAAGTTGCATTGTATAAAGATCTGATCAATTTTAGATGTTTTTCCTTGGACATTCTTCTTTGGGCAATGACGGAAGCACACGATGCCCGGATTATCATTCATGTCGAGGCGGAAATGTCAAAGTTGAATTTAAGTAGATCGTCATATTTGACCGCGTGTTATTTTCTCCTCCACTTTTGATACGATATTCGCCAAATTTGTACAACTTTTATACGCGACTTGCAGAATTTTTATGTGTTTATATTAAAACTCTCTAACCTAACCTAACCTAAGTGAATTATTATTATTTAAAGAACGCAAGAATCGACGTCGTATCCCGCGATGACGTTCACACAGACTCTCGTACTTGTTTCTTACTACAATTGAGGATATATCTGCATTAACCTCGTTTTACGAAAGAATCGAAGTGAATGAAAACACATGTCACTTAACCTCGCTTAACCTTACATTGCCAAATTGCATACTTACACGATGAATGCATGCGATTTGTGTCGTATCTTGTAACGAATTAGAAGATCGATGTCAAATATGCGTTACACGTGTCACGAGTTACAGCACATCAGTTACAAGGCTTCTCATTTATCACTGATGTCGAATTCTAGTCGCACATAAACAGACAACACGTGACGGAACATCAGCTGTTGAGTAAGAGAGGGTGGGGGAAGATTACGATCGATATGTCAGGCATTTTGATTACCGTCTCTGCCATTTAACTTTGAAAAGAACTTGACATCAAGTTTGTTTCACTCTATTTGCATTCTTTTTTTTCTGCATTCCTGGCATTAAAATAAATTTTTATTTATATTTGCTCTCAAAAAAAAGGCAAATGTAAAGAATGTAAATAAATCGAACGAGTTTTACAAAGAAACAGAAAATATTAATGCAAATATAACTGCAAACTTAATTCAAATACTAGAATAAATGAAAAATGCGACTAGACTCTTGTGATATTAATATGATTTTATCTTTCTTTTGTTCTTTCTTGTTTTGTTGAAACTTGTTTTGTTGTATTATTATAATTTCTTATTCTCCTTTTTATAAATTTTAAATGAAATTTTATATACTGAATTATAACTTTATAATTTTATATGTTGAATTGCAAGAAATTTTTAATGTATTATAAACATTATTAATAACACATATATGATATGGAAAAATGTAATTATTAATGTATTTTAGGTACAAATATATAAAAATATCATATTCTATTGGTGACAGAAATAATTTCAATGATAAACAAAAGTTATCATCACATTATGCAATACATACAATGTGAAAATAAAATTACATTATAAGACTTATTCAAAATTGGAAAAAAAGTGAATATATAGATAACCACGATTTTTTTCCTGAAATATCTCCAAAAAGATGATTAATTATCATCAATGTTAATGTTTAAAGTATTAACAATGTTAATATTTTAAAGCATTATTTAACAATTTTTGAAGTATAAATCATTTAAGTATTAATGTTTACAAGCATTAACAATTTTTGAAATATAAATCGTACAAATCATTTAAACTACAATTTTTCTATTTTTCTTGCAAATAAAATTTCAGAGAATCATAACAAATTATTATTTGTTCCTTAATTTGAAATATCTGGACTTTAATAAAATTTTAATTGGAAGTTGAATTATCAAGCTAACAATAAGTCATGAAGTTGAAAAGTTTCAAATCTTTTAATAACCTGTCTTTGCTAAAGAAAAAATGATTCCAAGTTTTACATGAAGCACATAATATATCCAATTCTTTTCGCCAGTTACAAGATATATTTACAAGCTTTCTTTCTTATACAACATTGTTTAAAAATTATTTTATTCAAATTAAATTTATTCAAATTATAATATTGTTTTATTCAATACTAATACATACAAGATGTCCGGTAACAATCGTATCATCTCTCGTGTACAAGTGGGATCTCTCGTATTAAATTGAATAAAAAAGTCTTATCATTTTGCCATTTTTGATTATTATTATTTGATATCCTATATATATATATATATATATATATATATATATATATATATATGATAATACACATACATATATATCATATATTTGATTATATATATATATATATATACTATATCTATACCATATATCATATATATACAGGGTGTCCTAGACAACCCGTACACCCCTTTTTTCAAAAACTAAGCATTGTAGAGAAAAACGTTTTCAACAAAAATTATATGGTGTTGAGGGGAAACATAAGATGGTATCATTGGTTTGACCTTGGATGGCATCGTTAAGGTCAGGTCAAGGACACCTTTAATTTCTTAAATGGAACCAGATACTTTTATTGCATATTCTTATAGCTTATGTCGAAAACTTTCCAAAACACTATAATAAAGTATTTTTTCATTGAGTACTTTTCGAGTTATGAGGCTTGAAATAATTTTTCAATTTTACATAAACCATAAAATATCTAGTAAAACATTCATTTTTTTATTATCTTACCTTAATACTTTTATGTACAAAATAATGAGAGGAATCAATTGGTGTAAAGAAAACACACAGTTGTTTTTAAGACAAAATATGTAATTGTTAATTGCAAATTACATATTTTTTCTTTGGAACAATTATGTGTTTTTTTACACCAATTGATTCCTCTCATTATTTTGTACATAAAAGTATTGATTCCTCTCATTTTGTACATAAAAGGTAAGATAATCGAAAAATAAATATTTTACTAGATATTTTATAGTTTATGTAAAATTAAGATATTATTTTAAGCCTCATAAATCGAAAAGTACTCAATGAAAAAATACTTTATTATAGTGTTTTGGAAAGCTCTCGACATAAGCTATAAGAATATGCAATAAAAAATAGGTGGTTCCATTTAAGAAATTAAAGGTGTTCTTGACTTGACCTTAACGATGCCATCCAAAGTCAAACCAATGACATCATCTTATGTTTCCCCTCAAAACCATACAATTTTTGAAACCGTTGAAAACGTTTTTCTCTAAAATGCTTAGTTTTTGAAAGAAAAGGGATGTACTGGTGGTCTAGGACACCCTGTATTTAGCATATATGTAATCGAATATATACAATTATGTACAATTGTTTTGTCATAAAATAGCGTTGATAGTCAATTAGAAACATCTGTTATTGATACCTACTTATTTGATTAGACACGCAGGTACAAATAACATTTTACAGTTGACTTCTGTTTTCGACGGGAACAATAAGAGTGCATTAGCACCTTGATAATTAGGTAGTTTATCACTGGTGAAATTTTTGCTGCTGAAAGCTCTCGCGAAATTTTCCCACTCATTCCATTCTAAAGTCGCCCATACCGCTCTAGGACGCGTATGTAAGGTATACTGCTGGTGTATCTACAATACGATTTATAATAACATTATAATAACAATACGCGCACATATCTCCCTTCATTTCAAATTTCGAATCTTACGCGAGTTGGAATTTTGCGAGGCATCTCGAACATACAGTGCAATCCATTCAAAATAGGTAAAAGAAACAGATGCGCGGAAATGAAAACAGACACCGGATTTTTCGGTAGACATACAAAATACTTCATTTCGTCATCAACTATGCAGGTTGCAAACGTCGTCGATTTTCCTGGCTTCAAGAATATCTTTCCTGAAAGAATATACGCATACAGGATGTGCCAAAATTCGAGGATAATAAAATTGCAGCAAAGTTTGAAAAATTAAATTTGATATTTTTTGTTCCAAGAAATAGTTTTTGAATCATAAAGATAAATTTAAAACTTAATTAATTTTAATTAGATTAATTTTTTATATCTTAAAAATTGTTGTGTGGAATGAAAGTGATAGATATTTTTATTATTTATGTTTTTATAAATTCTCATACTCTAATTTTATTATTCTTGAAATTTTTGGGACACTTTTTACGCATAATTTTTGAATAAATATCTATTTATATTTTTTGTTACTGTAATATATATTTAGTTTAGAGATAAAAGTACCAAAATGTATAGTGGCGCGAAAGTTATTTCTTAAAATGGGCTTTAACACATCATCATCGTTCGAACAGCCTATTGTCACAAGTACGTCCACTTGCTTTAAAGCGTTTTCGATTTTCATCTTTATAGATTGTGTACTGCGAAAATATCAACTATTAATTCTTTATTGTTAAATTGTTAATTATAAAGTAATAAAAGTATTAATCATTTGTACATTGAATGAAATATAATAAGAATGGCGAGAATTATGTAATAAATGCACTCACTCTTCTGTCACAATTCCGAAGTCCACTATCGAATTAAAATCTTTATCTTTTAATAGCGCGATTAAGCTTATTCTGTTGCTGTCGTAAACGTAACCCGGTCTTAAAGACTTTCTAGGTTCCTCTAAAAAATCTCCAATTGACAATATACCTATGGATACAGGTTTAACGACTCGAACATCTTTACGACCCGTAACTGTCAAAAGTCCTAATTCCGCTGGACCAATACGTGTGAACGGGGGTATAATCGGGTTCCCTTTCGATATATCACTACCGATATTTCTTTAAAATATATAAATATATGCGTTCCGATGAAAAATGGGTATTTTAAAAAGATTTAAAAATATAACATTTAAAAGTTAACATAAAAGATAATATTAAAAAATAAGAAATATAAAGAAATATAAAGAAATAAAGAAATATAAAGAAATATAAAGAAATATAAAGAAATAAAGAAATATAAAGAAATATAAAGAAAATATAAGAAATTTGAAAAGATGATATTTCGAAAAGATTACATATAGAAAAATATCGAATTTTTCATACTTAATATTCCGCCCGAATTCTGGTTTAATCTTTATCAGAATTAAATTCCTTGCGGTATCATTTACTATTCGCCTTACATCCTTAATTCGCACAACCGCTGTTGCTTCTGGAATCAGGTACAAAAATAATAGTTAATTATTCTTTATTATTAAAAATAGAGAAAAGCATTAATCGAGTTAATTAGCGTTAATGATTTGTAATTAAATTTGTAATTAAATCTCACCGTCAGGAACACGCTCTCCGTTCTTCACATACAAGCATGTCCCAGGTTTGAGAGATACTGAGTCGGACTGCAAAAAATTTTTATTTAAGTCCTAAAAATTTTTATTTAAATTTTTATTCTAGCCCGTTGTTGTATATAAGCTTTTAACATCACAACTTACTGTAGTTTTATGCAGTACTATCCTCACGCCTTCACCATCACTTGCCAATACCGCGTATCCATGTTTAGTGGCAACTCTAAATGCTGGCAAATCGCATTGGGAAAAAACGGCTTCGGCCAATATTCTGCCGTGAGCATTATATGTATTTATCACTTCGTATGTTCTTTTTTGTGCACCGTCATTTACTATTTGTTTTATTTTCAACAATGCATCTTTTACAGTAATCATGAGATAGTGTTCACCAATCGTGCCATTCAGTGAAGAAAGTTCCTGTAAAGAAATTTAATTGTGTATACATACAATCTTACATAAAATTTCTTTTATCGCCTTTAATATAACAAATAGTTTACCTTGTTTGTAATTTTGGACGAAGAAGATTTACTGTCACTGATTTCTTGACTCGCGATGCTTAACTGTAAAGAGATTTATAATTTCATGTATAATTTCATAAAGTCTCTTATTATTTTTAATATAGAAAATATAATTTACCTCTTCCATTGTTATGTTAGCCGACAAGGGTTTCTTGATATCGTATGCATTCGCGATCATTAATTGTAAAAAAATTTAATTGTATAATAAATTTAATTGTATAATAAAATTTAATTGTATAATAACTATATAATCTCATAAAATTTTTCTTATCTTTTTTAATATAGAAAATAGGAAATAGCTTACCTGAGTTTTAATTGTCTCAAACGAAGAAGACTCCGCGCTAATAGTGCCTCCACTCGTAACATCTAACTGTGAAGTGATTTAATTATAATGAGATTATATATGTATTTATTTATATTTGTGTATATGTGTGTTTATTATATATTAAATAATTATAATAATTAAATTTTATTAATTTAGAAAACATCGTATAGATTAAATATACTTCTTAAATTATAACTTTATTCATAAAATATAAATGTATTAATTGAGAAAATAATTTTAATATATTAGAAAAGTATAAAATATATAAAAAGTATTTTTATGCAATATACAATTATAATAACAATCATAGATATTGGATAAGATGCATGGCTACATTTTATTTGCATTTAATAAATGCAGCATACAGATAATTAAAATATTTTATACGTAACGTATCTTCTTAACTGTAAAGGGATTTAATCATAATTGTAAGCTTAATTGTATATATATATATATATATATATATATATATATATATATATACAATCTTATAAAATTTCTTTCTTCCTCTTATTTCCTTGTAATATAAAAAATATCTTACCTTTTCTAGAGACAAACGAGAAAATTTTTCGCGATATTTGGGGGTTTGATTATCGTCTACCTAAAAAAATTTAATATAATTAAAATTTAATATAATTTTATAAAATATCTTATTCTCTCTTATTTGTATTATTTCTAACACAGAAAATAGCTCTTCTGTAAATTACACAATTGTATATATATATACAATTTTAAAATCTCTTTCTCTCTTTCGTTATTTCTTTATATCTAATATAGAAGATACATTACCTTTTCAATAGATTTGTCAGAAGAAAGAAATGATTGGGATTTCTTTTTATTCACGTCGTTTCCCTATAAAAAGATTGACTTGTATATGATCTTATAAAATTTTTCTTTTTCTCTCTCTTTTCTTCTGTCATTACTTTATTATTTTTGATATAAAAGATACTTTACTTTTGCTAAAGATGAAAGTAAAAGAAGCAAAAGAAGAAAAAGAAGCAAATTCATATGTGACATTCGGCATAATATTTTCCTGAATTAAAGAGACATAATTGCACGTTTAATCTCACATACAATTTTTCCCTCCTTCTTACTTTATTTTAATATATAAATCTTACCTTCTCTGTATATGGACTAAGCATAGCTTTTTTATAGAATTTGATTTTATTTTCATCTATCTGTAAAAATATTTAATTGCACGTACAAAATTATTACATTGTTTTTAAAACATAAAAAATATATTACCTGATCTGTATTATTATTTGAAGAAGATGTAATATCTTGCTTTATTTTTCCCTGATGTGTTAATTTTATTTTATGCTCTATTGCTATTACAATTTCATCGATGCATGTTACTGCTTCTTTGTAGGAGCGGCCAAATAAATTAATGATTAAGGTTTCATTTAGCATTCTACACATAATTCTGAGAAAATGCAGTTAAATTGTTACATAATTTAAAAAAAGATATAAAAAGATATAAAATTTATAAAAATAAAACTTTACTGATGAAACTTGGATTCTAATCTCGTCGTTACTTCTACTATATTTGTGTATTTTTTAATCATTGGTCTAGTGGTAATTTTTTCAATCACTTTAGTTACATCAATATTATTTTGATATTTATCAGAAAAATATGGATAACCAATAATAAAAATAGTATCAACATATTTATCTCCGTCGCACCAAGAACATATTTTTTCCTATATATCGCACATATATAAAATAAAATATAATAAATTGAAACAATATAAAAAATTAATAATATAAAAAAATATTTAAAATATCTACAGTTACCATTATGGCTACTTCATGAAGTGGTATTATTTTATGAGTTACTTCTGCATTTAATTTTTGCATTAATATGACTTTAAAATAATCTATTAAATTGATTAGCTCCGTAGTATATACAATTTGTTCGTCTATACTTTCCCATAAGGCTTTTGGATTTTCGATATATACTGTATAATTATAATAAAATTACTAAAACTTTATATATATATATATATATATATATTATATTTGTGTGTATGTGTGTGTGTGTGTGTGTGTATGTGTGTTTATTATACATTAAGTAATTATAATAATTAAATTTTATTAATTTAGAAAACAGTCTATAGATTAGATATATTTCTTAAATTATAATTATTCAAATACAAGTGTATTAATTGAGAAAGTAATTTTATTATATTAGAAAATATTTTTATGCAATATAAGATTATAATAACAATCATAGATATTGGATGAAATGCATGGCTACATTTAATCATTGCATATAATAAATACAACATACAAATAATTAAAATATTTTATACGTAACGTATCTTTTCAAATGGGTTTTATAATATTTGAACACATATTTTTTCCTACATGTATATAGAATATTTTATATCGAAAATATACTCGTTATAAACATACCGGCTAGAATTCCGTATTTTATTGAATCTGATGCCTTTTCAGCCATTTTCAATATCTCTTTCAGTATCTCTTTATGATACTTGCTAATATGATCGCTGCAGAATTTTTATTGTTCCAATTGTATATAAATTTATTCTCAACCACTAAATTCATCGACTAATTTGACTTTGCTTAGCCATGAGAATAGTATATCAATAGAAACTGCTTCGATGAAGAAAACTGTTTACATTTTTTCTTCCATGCGTTCTTAAAACACACGTCAAATAAATGCGATCATCTCGATTCTCGATTCCTAGTTTATATCATATGAATATTAAATCTATCTGTTATAAAACGTAAATTATTTGAGCGCCAGTTTCTATTGAATGCGATAATGTAAGTAGAGAACGAATGTCATTAAATAATTAATTCGTTTCTCTCGGTAATATAGATTGCGTAACGTATTTTAAAAATGGCGAAATGTTCAGATTTTAACGATAATATTGAGCGATAAACTATTTTTAAAATTGTGTTGCTTTCGTGAGTAAAAAAGAAAAAAAGAATAAGAAAATACACGAAAATCTTTTATTTAAAATTTTAAATTATTTCTCTCTTTCAATAAGTTTAAGTTTTTTTAAGAATTCACAATAATTAACTTAAAAAATATGATAATCTACGCCAAACATTTCTCTAGATGGAAAAATTTTCTGGTTAATGTGCCACTCACCTGAGCGGCTGCATTAACACTCTCAACGATTGTGCGGCAACCTCTTCATAACCGTAAGTACCGTTTATTTATCCAGCAAAAAATAGGCCCGAAGTCTTCAACTGTGAGGTCAATTCTCTAAAATCTACATAATTGTACCCGACATCACAATCAGGTTTCTATAAATGTAAATGCAAATAGTCTAAGTATCATTACATAGATGTATATGAGTAATAACAATTATTTAAAATAATATTTAAAATAATGTAAAAATTAATTAATAAGAACGTCAAATGTGACAAATAAACGCTAAATATCTAGTTTAGATCTTTTCCAAAATCACGGAAAAATCAAAATGAGATTTATGCACGAATAATAGAAATGAATTTTGCATAGTCTTCAAACTACTCAACATGTAAGATATATAAACTCAAAATTAAGAGAATTAAATGTACTTGGATAAGCGTTTTCTAATCTTGAAATACAGTTAACGAGTTCCATTTGTTTCTTTCTTGAGAAGATGCAAAACAATCCATTTGGATAAATTAACAGCAAATCCTTCTGACTTCAGCCGAATTTGATGCCTAGTTTAGAATCGCAGAATCTTACTCTCTATGTTCAGCAATATCGTGGACTCGATATCTCCTCCACAACGTGTAAATTACATGCGTATTGTCTTTTATCATTTTCGCTACATCCTCAGGAGGAAAAATGCAAAGAATATGTATATAAACGAATTAGTTTTGTGAAGAAAGAAAAAATATTAATGCAAACACATAACTCGAATACTAGAATAAATTAAAAATGCGTCTAAAATCTTCATTTTAAATCTTGATAATATTATTTCATCTTTCTACTTCTCTTTCTAGTTCTATTGAAAGAATATTTTTATAATTTGTTATCTTCCTTTTTACAAATTTTAGATGACATTTTATATGTTGAATTATAACATCGCACAAAATTGAAGTATTTTTAATGTGTTATAAACATTATTAATAACACATATATGGTATGGTAAAATGTAATTAAATGCATTTTAGACACAAATATATAAAAACATCATATTTTATTGCTAACAGAAATAATTTCAATGATAAAATGATAAACAAAGGTATCATCACATTACGCAATACATACGTACAATGTGAAATTAAAATTACGTTTTAAGACTTATGTTCCAAATTGGAAGAAAGTAAATATACATAAACAACAACACATATTATTTTTTTCAAAGCAACGTAATATATCCCATTCTTTCCGTTTTACGAGATATATTTACAAGCTTTCTTTCTTATGCAACATTGTTTAAAAATGGATTGATTCAAATTATAATATAATTGTTTTATTTATTATTAACATATACAAAATGTCCGGTAATAACCATATCACCTCGCATGTACAGGTAGGGCGTATTAAATTGAATGAAAAAGTCCTGTATCGTTTTCGATAGTTATCATCGGACATCCTGTATATATATATATATATATATATATATATATATATATATATATGTATATGTAATCGAATATATATAGTTATGTACACAATTGTTTTGTCATAAAATGCTGATGAGAGACAATTAGAACCATCTGTTATTAATGCCTAATTATTTGATTGGACTTGCACATAGATATGTATTCGACATCTTGTCACTCCATGCTCGCGACGGGAACAATACGAGCGCATTAGCACCTTGACAACTAGATAGCTTATCACTGTCGAGATTTTCCCTGCTAGAAGCTCTCGCGAAATTTTCCCACTCATTCCATTCTAAAGTCGCCCATGCCGCTCTAGGACGTGAATGCAAAAGATACTCCTCCTTTACCTACAATATAATTTATAAAGTTATAACAATATGCGCAATATTTCCGTTCATTTCAAATTTCGAATCTTACGTAAGCTGGAATTATGCAGGGCTTCTGGAACATATTGCATAATCCCTTCAAAAGAGTTAAGAGAAATATATGCGCGACAACGAGAACGGTTACCGGATTTCTCGATAGACATAAAAGATATTTCTGTTTTCCCTCTAACTCGCATGTCGCAAACACTGTCGATTTTCCCGGTTTAATAAATATGTTTTCTAAAATATATGTTTATATTACACAAGGTGTGCCAAAATTCAAAGATAATAAAATTGCAGGATAAAAGTTTAAAAATTATATTTGATATTTTTTATTCCAAGAAATAGTTTTTAAATCACAAAAATGAATTTAAAGCTAAATTGTCACCTATATTCGTGAGTTTAAATTTTTATATCTTAAAAGTTGCTGTCGAATAAAAGTGATAAATACTTTTATTATTTATTTCTTTATAAACTTTTATACTTTAATTTTATTATCCTTGAAATTTTTGAGACATTTTTTATAATTCTCTCTATAGACGCGTCTCTTTATATTTTTTGTTACTGCAATGTGTATTTGGTTCAGAGATAAGAATACCGAAATGTATAGTGGCCTCAAAGTTATTCACTAAAATGGGCTTCAACAAATCATAATCGTTCGAACAGCCTATTGTCACAAGTACGTCCACTTGCTTTAAAGCGTCTTCGATTTTCATCTTTATAAGTTGTATACTGTGAAAATATCAACTATTAATTTTTCATTGTTAAATTGTTAATCATAAAGTAATAAAAGTATTAATCATTTGTACATTGAATGAAATATAATAAGAATGGCGAGAATTACGTAATAAATATCCATGCACTCACTCTTCTGTCACAATTCCGAAGTCCACTATCGAATTAAAACCTTTATCTTTCAATAGCGCGGTTAAGCTTATTTTGGCGCTGTCGTAAACTTGTCCCGGACTTAAAGGCTCTCCAGGTTTCACTAAGAACTCTCCAATTGAAAATATACCTACGGATACAGGTTTGACGACTGGAACTTCTTTACGACCCGTAGCTGCCAAAAGTATCAATTCCGCTGCCCCAATACGTGTGAATTGGGGTACAATTTGTTTCTCTTTCGATAAATCACTACCGATGTCTCTTTAAAATATATAAATATAAATATTAATAAAAAAAGAATATATAAAATAAAAAAAAGAACAAACGATAAAAAAAGAACAATTGAAAATGATTTAAAAAAATAAATATTTGAAAAGGTAGCATTTAAAAGTTAACATTTCAAAAAATAATATTAAAAAATAATATAAGAAACTTAAAAGGATAGTATTTTGAAAAGAATATATATATTTTTTTAAATATATAACTATATCGAATTTTTCATACTTAATATTCTGTCCGATTTCCGGATTAATCTTTATTAAAATTATATTTCTATAGGGAATTAGTCGCTCTACATCCTTCATTTGCACAACAGCTGTTGCTTCTGCAATCGGATACAGAAACAATAGTTAATCCTTTACTGCAAATAGAGAGAAGCCTTAATTTATAATTAAGTTAATTTGTAATTAAATTTCACCGTCAGGAACACGTTGTCCACTCTTCATATACATGCATGTCCCAGATAGAAGAGATACCGGATCAGACTACAAAAAGCTTTTGTTTAACTATAGCCCGTTGCTATATGTATATAAGCTTATCACAACTTACAGAACTTGTCTTTATTATTCTCCTTCTGCTTTCACCATCACGTGCCAATACTGCGTATCCATGTTTAGTAGCAACTCTAACTGCTGGCAAATCGCAATTGGAAGTTTGCGCTTCAGCCAATATTCTACCATAAGCATCATCTATCTTTATAACTTCAGATGTTGTCCTATCTGGTCTGTTATTTATTATTTCTTCTAATTTTGACAATGCTTGTGCTACAGTAACCAGGTTATATTGTGCACGAAGCCATTCTTCCAGTTCCTATGAAGAAATTTAATTGTATATGCAACCTCATATAATATTCCTTTTATTATCTTTAATGTAACAAATAGCTTACTTCGGCCGTGGCCGTGGTCGTGGATTCAGACGAAGGAGAGCTATTGTCTCCAACGTCTTGTCTTAACTGTGAAGTAATTTAAAATATCATATACAATTTCATAAAATCTCTTATTATGTTTAATATAGAAAATATAGTTTACCTCCTCCATTATTATGTCAGACGACGAGGGTTCTTGACAATAGCATATTCGAGATCATTAAAAAAATTTAATTGTATATATAGTTATATATAATCTCATAAAGTTTTTCTTATCATAGAAAATAGAACACCATCTAACATAGAAAATAGAACACCATCTACCTGAGTTTAAATTGTGTCAGACGAAAAAAATTCCGCTCCAATAGTGACTTCACTCGCAACATCCAACTGTGAAGTGATTTAATTATAATGATATTGTATATGTATATTTATTTATTTATTTACATATATTTGTGTGTGTTTGTTATACACACATTAAATAATTATAATAATTAAATTTTATTAATTTAGATAACATAGTCTATAGATTAGATATATTTCTTAAATTATAATGTTATTCAAATACAAGTGTATTAATTGAGAATGTAATTTTAATATATTAGAACATATTTTTAAGCAATATAAAATTCTAATAACAATCATAGATATTGGATAAGATGCATGGTTACATTTAATCATTGCATTTAATAAATGCAGCATACAAATAATTAAAATATTTTATATGTAACGTATCTTTTCAAATGGGTTTTATAACATTTGAACACATATTTCTTTCTATATGTATATAGTATATTTTATACGGAAAATTTGCTCGTTATATACATACCGGCTTCCATATTTCCTCCGAATTCCATATTTTATTGATTTTGATGCTACTTCAGTCTTTTTTAATATCACTTTATGATGCTTGCTAATATGATTGTCGCAGGATTTTCATCATTCGGATCGTACATGTACTTCTCAACCGTCAAACTCATCGACTGACTTGACTTTGCTTATGAGAATAGTATATCGACAGAAACTGCTTCGATGAAGAAAACTGTTTACATTTTTTCTTCCAAGCGTTCTTAATACACATGTTATACAAATAAACGCGAACATCATCTCCTCTCTCGATTCCGAGTTCATATCATGCGAATATTAAATCTGTCTGTCATAACGTAAATTATGCGAGCGCCAGTTTCTATTGAATGTGACAATATAAATAGAAAGAACTAATGTCATTTTCAAAATCGCGAAATGTTCAGATTTTAACGATGACATTAAACGACTAACTATTTTTAAAATTGTGTGACTTCCGTAAAAAAGAAAAGAAGAATAAGAAAACACATGAAAATTGTTTACAAAAAATTGTAAATTACTTCTCTCTATCTCAATAAGTTCAAATCTTTTTAAGAATTCACAACAATTAACTTAAAAAATATGATAATCTATGCCAAAGTTTTTCTCTACACGGGAAAATTTTCCAGTCAAAATTGTGCCAATTACCTTAGGTTAATACCTGTGACGATATCTTGTGCAGCAGCCTCTTTATAACCGGTAGTACCATTTATTTGTCCAGCAAAAATTAAGCCTGAAATCTTTCTAGTCTTCAATTAGGAAGTCAATTCTTTAGAATCTATATATAATCGTACTCGACACCATAACCAGGTTTCGCTATAAATATAAATGTAAAGCTTGAACATGATTGCTTACATAGATATATAATAATAGTTATTTAAAATAAAATAAAAATTAATTAACAAAATCGTTATGATAAATAAACGACAAATATCCAGTTTAGATCTTTTCCAAAATCACGGAAAAATCAAAATGAAATTTATGCACGAATAACAGAAATGAATATTGTATAGTCTTCAAACTACTCAACATATAAGATATATTAACTCAAAATTAAGAGAATTAAATGTACTTGGATAAGCGTTTTCTAATCTTGGAGTACAATTAACGAGTTCCTTTTGTTTCTTTCTTGATAAGATGTAAAACAATCCATTTGGATAAATTAACAGCAAATCCTTCTGACTTCAGCCAAATTTGATGCCTAGTTTAGAATCGCAGAATCTTACTCTCCATGTTCAGCAATATCGTGGACTCGATATCTCCTCCACAACGTGTAAATTACATGCGTATTGTCTTTTATCATTTTCGCTACATCCTCAGGAGGAAAAATGCAAAGAATATGTATATAAACGAATTACTTTTGTGAAGAAGGAAAAAAATATTAATGCAAACACATAACTCGAATACTAGAATAAATTAAAAATGCGTCTAAAATCTTGATTTTAAATCTTGATAATATGATTTCATCTTTCTACTTCTATTGAAACAGTATTTTTATAATTTGTTATCTTCCTTTTTACAAATTTTAGATAACATTTTATATGTTGAATTATAACATCGCACAAAATTGAAACATTTTTAATGTGTTATAAACATTATTAATAACCCATTTATGGTATGGTAAAATGTAATTATTAATACATTTTAGACACAAATATATAAAAACATCATATTTTATTGCTAACAAAAATAATTTCAATGATAAAATGATAAACAAAAGTTATCATCACATTACGCAATACATACGTACAATGTGAAATTAAAATTACGTTTTAGAACTTATATTCCAAATTGGAAGAAAGTAAATATATATAAACAGCAACACATATTATTTTTTTTCAAAGCAACGTAATATATCCAATTCTTTTCGTTTTACGAGATATATTTACAAGCTTTCTTTCTTATGCAACATTGTTTAAAAATGGATTGATTCAAATTATAATATAATTGTTTTATTTAATATCAACATATACAAAATGTCCGGTAATAACCATATCGCCTCGCAAGTACAGGTAGGGCGTATTAAATTGAATGAAAAAGTCCTGTATCGTTTTCGATGGTTATCATCGGACATCCTGTATATATATATATATATATATATATATATATATATATATATATATATACATACATATATATATGTATATGGTATATGTAATCGAATATATATAGTTATGTACACAATTGTTTCGTCATAAAATGCTAATGAGAGCCAATTAGAATCATCTGTTATTCACGTTTAATTATTGATAAGATATGCAGTTGCATATAACGTATACGATTCTTTTTGATCCTTTGTTTGCTGCGGGAACAGTAAGAGCGCATTAGCGCCTTGACAGCTAAATATCTGATCACCGATGAGATTTTCCCTGCTGACAGCTTGCGCGTAAACGTCCATGTCATTCCATTTTAAAATCGCCCATGCTGCTCTAGGACGTGGATGTAAAAAATACTTCTTCTCTACCTACAATATGACTTATAATGTTATAACAATACGCGCAAATATTTGCTTTCATTTCAAATTTCTTACGCGAACTTGAAATGTGCAGGGATTCCGGTAGATGCAGCTCAACCCTTCCAAAATGGGTAACAGAAATAGATGTGTGGAAACGAGTGCGGACATCGGATTTTTCGGTAGACATACAATATATTTCTTCAGTTTTTTATTAACCTTATATGTTGCAAATATTGTCGACTTTCCCGGTTTCAGTAATACGTTTCCTGAAAAGATATACATATACAGTATGCCCCGAAATTCGAGAATAATAAAATTACGACATGAGAGTGAAAAATTAAATTTGATATTTTTTACGCCAAGAAATAATTTTTGAAGCATAAAGATAAATTTAAAGTTAAATTATCACATATATTCGTGAGTTTAAATTTTTATGTCTTAAAAATTGCTGCTTGTGTGGAATAAAAAGTGGTAAATATTTTTATTATTTATTTTTTTATACACTTTCATACTCTAATTTTATTATTCTTGAAATTTTTGAGACACTTTTTATGCATAATTCTTAAGTAAATAGCTATTTATATTTTTTGTATAATATATATTTAGTTCAGAGATAAAGGTACCAAAATGTATAGTAGCGCGAAATTTATTTCTTAAAATGGGCTTCAACAAATCATTATCGTTCGAACAACCTATTGTCACAAGTACGTCCACTTGCTTTAAAACGTTTTCGATTTTCATCTTTATAGATTGTGTACTGTGAAAATATTAATTATTAATTCTTTATTGTTACATTGTTAATCATAAAGTAATAAAAATATTAATCATTTGTACATCGAATAAAATAAAATAACGTGGCAAAAATTATATAATAAATATCGATGCACTCACTCGTCTTTCACTATTCCGAAATCCATTATCGAATTAAAATCATTATGTTTTAATAGCGCGATTAGACTTATTCTGGCGCTGTCGTAAACTTGTCCCGGATTTAAAGGCTCTCCAGGTTCCACTAAGAACTCTCCAATCGAAAATATACCTACGGACACATGTTTGACGACTGGAACTGCTTTACAACCCATAGCTGCCAAAATTCCTAATTCCGCTGGACCAATACGTGTGAATTGGGGTAAAATTTGTTTCTCTTTCGATATATCACTACCGATGTTTCTTTAAAATATATAAATATAGGCATTCCGATGAAAAAAGGACAATTTAAAAAGATTTAAAAAGATAATATTAAAAAATAATATAAAAAACTCAAAAAGATAATATTTTGAAAAAAATATATATATATATATATAGAAAAATGTCGAATTTTTCATACTTAATATTCTGTCCGAATTCCGGGTTAATATTTATCTGAACTGAATGAGAATTATTTCCTGTTACATTTTTAAGTGGCACAACAGCAGTTGCTTCTGCAAAATAGGGTACAGAAATAGTTAATTCTTTACTGCAAATAGTGAAAAGCGTTAATTTATAAGCGTTAGTTTGTAATTAAATTTCACCTTCAGGAACACGCTCTCCGCTCTTCACATACGTGCATGTCCCAGGTGTGAGAGATACTGGGGCGGACTGCAAAAAATTTTTATTTTAATTTTAGCCCGTTGCTGTAAGCTTTTAACATCACAACTTACTGTAGTTCTGTGCAATACTATCCTTTCGCATTCACCATCACTTGCCAATACTGCGTATCCATGTTTAGTGGAAACTTTAAATGCTGGCAAATCGCATTGGGAATTTATCACATTGAACGTTATTCTACCGTGAAGATGATTTATATTTATCAATTCACATTTTTTTACATTGGAATTTACTACTTCTTGTATTTTCAACAATGCATCTTCTAAAGTCATCATGCCATATCGAAAAGGACTCATATCTTCCACTTCCTATAAAGAAATTTATTTGTCTATGCAATCTCATATAAAATTTCTTTTATCGCACTTAATGTAACAAATAGTTTACCTCGTTCGTAACTTCAGTTGAAGAAAATTCTTTGTCACCAACGTTTTAACTTGAGTCTCGACGCTTAATTGTAAAGAGATTTAAAATATCATATATATTTTCATAAAATATCTTATTATTTTTAATATAGAAAATATATAGTCTACCTTCTTCTTTCTTATCTCAGACGAGAAGAGTCCCTTCACAAAAACATATGCATTCGCGATCATTAATCGTAAAAAATTTAAATGTATATAATCTCATAAAATTTTTCTTATCCTTTTCAATATAGAAAATAAAAAACAACACATCTCAGTTTTAATTGCGTAAGACGAAAAAAAATCCGCGCCAATAGCGACTTCACTCGCAACATCCAACTATAAAGTGATTTAATTATAATGATATTGTATATTTATTTATTATATGTATATTTATATGTATGTTTATTTATTTATATTTGTGTGTATGTGTGTGTGTTTGTTATACACATATTAAATAATTAAATTTTATAAATTTAGAAAGTCTATAGATTAGATAAATTTCTTAAATTATAATTTTATTTAAATACAAATGTATTAATTGAGAAAGTAACTTTAATATATTAGAAAAGTAATAAAATATATAAAAAGTATTTTTATGCAATATAAAATTATAATAACAATCATAGATATTGGATAAGATACATGGCTACATTTAATCATTGCATTTAATGCAGCATACAAATAATTAAAATATTTTATACGTAACGTATCTTTTTAAATGGATTTTATAACATTTTAACACATACTTTCCTACGTAAAGTATATTTTAGGAAAAATTTGCTCGTTATATACATACCGGCTAGAATTCCGTATCTTATTGATTCTGATGCTATTTCAGCCTTTTTTAATATCATTTTATGGTGCTTGCTAATATGATCGCCGCAGGATTTTCATCGTTCCGATCGTATATGTACTTCTCAACCACCAAACTCATCGACTGACTCGACTGTGTTTAGCTATAAGAAGATTATATCGACAGAAACTATTTCTCGATGAGAAACTGTTTACATTTTTTCTTTCAAGCGTTCTTAATACATGTCATATAAATAAACGTGATTATTTCGATTCCGAGTTTATGCGAATATTAAATCTGTTATAATGTAAATTATTCGATCATAAGTTTCTATTAAATGCGACAATATAAGTAGAAAGTATGCGAATACCATTAAATTGTTATCACTAATTATCAATAAATATTGATTAAAGAATTAATTCGTTTCTTTCGGTAATATTCTAGACTGCGTAACATATTTTAAAAACCGGGGAATATTCAGATTTTAATGACATTAAGCGACAGTATTATTTTTAGGAGAAACGAATCGACATGATTCCGCGTTGAACGACGTCCAGAAAATAGAACATCAAGGAAAATCAATGATTTCAAATCAATTTTGCTTTTTAGTACTCCAAAATATATGTTCAAAAATTCTATCAAAAAAATCTGTGGTCCTTTTGTTCTGACTGGTCAATTAAACTTTATCCTACTGATAGAATTTAAATGTATCCGATTTTGATATGTACGCATGCGTAAACACGTGCACGTGACAGATCTTACTTAAACGGTATACGGGAAACTTTTGGAGCATATACTGCAGCAAAGTTTTTTTTTATTATTTACGCTATTATTAAAGCTATTTTATATTAATATTTTATTTTTCTCTTATAAAGTATGTATTGTTAATCTTTTTTTTTAAATTATTCAAATTATTAATATTCACTTATTATATATTAATGCTTAATCTAATAATTATAATATGATATATGATGGATTTGTCACTATTATTTTTTATTAATTACTTATTAATTATAATACATTATTATATTTTTGCGACAGCATTATTCGGGTGATATTTAATGTATTAAAATAGTCTTAATATAATTGAAGGTGTCACGTCTGAGATTTTATTTTGTGCAGCAATTTGCAAGTGAAATTATTAAACTGATACGGATAATTATTAAAAACATAAGTAATTACATAAAAGTAGTTGTAAAGTGATTGTTGAAAAGTAATTGTATTTTTTTAATAACAATATTATAGCGACTAAAAGAAGTCCAAAGACGAAAGAGAATAGCAGTAAAAAACTTATCGTACTTCGAGATACTTTATGAGTTTTTTCCTAGTGGATGAGTTTAATTCAGGACTGTAACAAAAATAAAACAAACAGTTAACAATTTCGTTGACATATACTTTTTCCAGACATATGAAATTTTAAATTATTCACCTATTTTTATCTATCTTATCAAACAGTGATTCAATAAATATTTTTAATAAATAAAATAAATGAGACGCATCAAATTTTTTACTTATAATTAATATCATCAGGTAATCATTTGCTCGTTGCGCTTAATGTCTTTTACTTGATTCTGTTGATCCACAATTATATGAGCATATTTTGCTTCTATCTGAAAATAACATTATTAGTATTCAGATGAAAATATACCTGCTTTACTTTATTAAAATTTCTAGAATTTTTATTAAAGTAAAATAACATTTTTTTTCCCGAAAAGTATATTTATTATCACAATAATAATTCACAAACCTCTATTCTTTACGCTAGAGTAGGATCTCCATCCAAGTGATCAAGCAAATTCAATAAAAACTTCGCTAATTATTCAAATATAATTTTCTCCTCATTATTGAAAACATTTCAAAGGCCGTATTTTTATTAGTTTTAGTGCTCTTCATCTTTAATAATTGTCGCCACTTGAGGCTTAATCGCACTTCGTTCTTAAGTATTCGTATAGCTTTCTGTATTTTGCTAAGAGTTTTTTTCGTCTTGTCGAACTTTCCGGCTCAAATCACATTTGATGTCTTGTCATTTGGAATCGCAGAATCTTACTCCTTATGCTCGGACATCGTGGACTCAATATCTTCTCCATAACGTGTAAATTAATGTCTATTGTCCTTCATAATTTTTGCGACATCTTCATTCGTATATGTCAGGTATTTATTTCTCAGGTACTCACACATTATCACTTATAAATGAAAATGGCTTCAGAGAGTCATCCGGTAGATATTCTATATACTCGTTAAGTCAATGCTATCTCTCTCTCTTGGCGGTGTCCCTAATAATATGTGTAACCTAATCAATATATCATTATAATTAAAAATTGTAATGTTAAAACAACTTTAATTAATATATGATTATATAAATTTAATATATAAATATTAGGGTATAAAATAAGAAATATGTCTATAGGATTATATGTGTTACATTAATTAATAAAAAATTATGTATACTGTGCATAAAACATAATTCTCTTTTACCAGTTTTCAATCTTCCTATCTGAAATTCAAGCCTGTCAAGTGTAATTGCCAAACCAATAGGTTCATCATTTAATCTATCTGCAGATCTCTTTTCAATACAATATTTATTTAGTCTCTTAAGAAAGTTTTTGTTATAATTACTGCGTCACCAAATATTTTTGTTTCATTTCCTACGAAATAATATAATATTTCTGGATAATATATAATATTAATACTAATAATAAAAATATATATATAGATTTTTAAATTTATATAATAATTCTAGGAAAATAGATTGATATAATATGTTATTGATGTAATATGTAAAACTCAATATTAAATTAAATGCAATAAAATCATAATATTTTAAAATTAAGTGTAATTAAAATTAGTTAAATTACTTTTATTCTTTATATGTCTTTATGTATCTTTTCTTCTATTTTATTTTATTATAAAGTTTGAAACATACTGAAAATTTCTCTGCAGCAAGACAGAAGATTGTTAGCTAAGTTAAATCTTCCATGAAGGATTCATAAACTGCGTAAACCAAGTAGAGTGAAAAATTTCGCCTAAAGATGTTTCTTGTATAATGTTTTATGGACTTGATTTCTGAGATCCCACTTTGTCGGTCTTTTGCACTTATTCAAAATTTTGTAGTCTATCTCTGAAAAATCAGATATTTGACAACATGTCCCGCCTAAAGCATCTATCTCTCTCATCAAATGGCCTCTTCTAATTCCATCGAAAGACGAAATTTGCATGACATTTCTTCTGCAAACATAATCAAATTCAAATATGTTTAACATACTCAAAGATGGAAAATATAAGGACAGAAAAAAGTTAATAAAAATATATTATAAAAATATATCTCATATCTCTTTATTTTTATATCCTAGTTATTTTAATATTAATCTATAAAATTTATTAATATATATCTTTCTGTTTTATAATTTCAAGTGTAGAAAATTTAAACCACAAATTGTTTCTATGTAATGTTATATCTGTTGTTAAAACTATAATATTATAAATATTATAAATTTTTCAACTTTTCATGTTTCCATACATATTTATATAGTTTCTATATAAATATTCATACATATTTATTCATACATATTCATACATATTTATATAGTTTCTAGAAAAGCATTCTGTGAAAATGGTGAAACATACTTTTATAAAAGAATCACATCACTTTAATGTGATATATGATATCAATATCAATCATTGTATGATATCAATCTATTCGAAAATGTAATCATTGCCAAATAGAATTTAAGCATACATACCAATAATATTTTTTTTCTTAGTAACTAACGTTTTCGCACCCATTTTGATAGCAGCAGCAGATGCTTCAGTATGATCACCGCCAACTATGATTCAAATTTCGTTTTGCTTTCATTTGTGATTAATCTCCTCAATCGTAATCGCTTCTGTTTGGAACATGGATTGAACAAAGTTGTTCTAATTTTTATAGAAATCATTTTTCTCCTTGCTTGCTGCTTCTCTTATCTGTATTCTAATTTCTGCAAAAATATTTAAATACCTATAAATTTAGAGAAAGATAACAAAATCAAATATTTGAATATATTAAATTATTTAACTCCTTATTGCATAAAAATCTAATTAATTTTAGATATGTATTTAATGATAAAATACTATTATAAAAGCTGCATGATATATGAATATTTACATAATATAATCTAAAGTCTATTCTTTTCAAATAAAACTTGTAACATATTAAAGAATTAAATAATTCACTATGTATATTAAATAATATTTTCTTTAACATATTGAAAAAATATATTATCAATATATATATATATATATATATATATATATATATATATATATATAGTGAATCACTTAAATTTCTATGTATGTATGCGATTTGAAATAATTTAGTACAAATATCTCATGAAAATTTTAATGTAGATGAGAATAATCTTCATTTTTAATTTTAAATAGCACATTATATTTCAGTTTCTCTTTCAGATTCATATAATATTCATCTAATATTTTATTGTTTATGATAAAAATTACAAGTTATTCCAAATTAAATAATTTGGTAACTGATACTATATGATGTATAATATAGAGATGTATTTTCAATAAAAATTATGTTCTTTTCAGATAAGATTTGACTATTTTGGAAGAGAAATTTCAGAACTGTTATTTCAATTTCTTTCAATAATCTATACAACAGAGGATTAACAAAAAGAACAAAAATGGAAGCAAACATTTATTGCATAAGTCATAACAAATAGCATTTTATTGAAAATGACAAAATAAAATATATCGCGTATCAAGAATAAGAGAGATGATCCGACAACAAGTACTCCTGATGTTTCAAAGCTCTGTACAATGAAATATATTTGATTGCATTTTGAATTTTCGACAGTATCAATCGTTCGCATAGATCTTCCTTGCTCGCAAACTTAAGATTCGCGTACCCCAGATTATTGAGAAATTCCAAAACGAAGTCGAAGCAATTCATATTGATCTCGTCGTAGTTGACGGATTTCCATCTATCATCTCTTGACATGGATGACAGCGTTTCATCCCATTGAGCGGTCCAGGCAACCGGTACGACGTGGAAGGCGACGCAACCGATCCATCTGTCAACGTCGTTCGCTATCAATCCGTCCTTATCGAATTCGACGATGCCTCCATCGGAATCGATTATTCCCACGTGCAAGTCGTCGCTCGTCACATCGTAGTCGTCCAGGAAGCTACCGCGCGAGGGTCGAATCGCGATGCTGGTCGGATTATGAGCGGCGTTTGCGAAAGGATATGGGACACGAAACGGGTCTACGATGAAATCTTGTATTCGCGATGAGCAAACCGGGCACGTCGTCGGGATACGCCTACAAAACACATTCTTCCTTGGGCAATGACGGAAGCACACGATGCCCGGATTGTCGTTCATGTCGAGGCGGAAATGTCAAAGTTGAATTTAAGTAGATCGTCGTATTTGACCGCGTGTTATTTTCTCCTCCACTTTTGATACGATATTCGCTAAATTTGTACAATTTTTATACGCGACTTGGAGAATTTTTATGTGTGTTTATATTAAAATTATCCTCTACCCTAACCTAATCTAAATAATTATTATTTAAATAACGCAAAAACCGACGTCGCATCCTCCGATGACGCTCGCACAGGCTCTCGTACTTGTTTCTTGCTACAATTGAGGATATATTTGCGTTAACCTCGTTTTACGAAAGAATCGAAATGAATGAAAACACATGTCACTTAACCTCACTTAACCTTACATTGCCAAGCTGCATACTTACATGACGAGTGCATGCGACTTGTGTCGTATCTTGTAACAAATTACGAGGTTGATGTCAAATATGCGTTACATGTGTCACAAGTTACAGCATATCAGTTACGAGGCTTTTCGTTTGTCACTGATATCAAATTCCAATCGCGCATAAACATGCAATATTCCGTTGACAGAACATCAGCTGATCAGCTGTTGAGTAAGAGAGTAGGGGAAGACTTGGAATGCGACCTCCTTCGGCTCCTTCCGGATAGATTCGGTTCGATTATGTGCTCGTGATTGGTTTTCCAAGTCGCGCTGAAATTGCTGGATCGATATGTCAGGTATTATGATTACCATTTCCGCCTTTTAATTTTGGAATGCACTTGAGATTTCTTTGTTTCGCTTCATTTGCATTCTCTTTTCCTGCATTCCCTACTTTAAAGCAAATTTTTATTTATATTTGCTCTCAGAAACGGCAGAAAAGAGGCAAAATGCAAAGAATGTAAATAAAGCGGACGAATTTTATGAAGAAAGAAAAAATATTAATGCACATAACTCAAATACTGGAATAAATTAAAAATGCGACTCTTGTGATATTAATGTGATTTCATTTCTTTTTCTCTTTGTAGTTTTCTTGAAACAGTATTACTATAATTTTTTATCCTCTTCTCTATAAATTTTAGATAACATTTTATATATTAAATTATTGTCAAAAAAATTGAAATACTTTTAATGTATTATAAATTAATGCATATATACAACAAAATGTAATAATATATGATACAGTAAAATGTACTTATTAATATATTTTAGACAAATATATAAAAATACTAACTTTATTGTTCAAATAATTTCAATGATAAAATGATAAATAAAAGTTATCACATTACGCAATACATATAATGTGGAATGAAAATTACATTATGAGACTTATATTCAAAATTGGAAGAAAATGAAGATATATAAATAACATATATTTTTTCCTGAAATATCTCCAAAAGGATGATTAGTTATCATCAATGTTAATGTTTAAAGTATTAACAATGTTAATGTTTTAAAGCATTAACAATTTTTGAAGTATAATTTATATAAATATTAATGTTTACAAGCATTATTTTTTATAAAGCATTTAAACTACGTTTTTCTTACAAATGAAATTTCAGACCATAACGAATTATTATTTGTTCGTCAATTTGAAATATCTTGACTTTAATAGAATTTTAGTTGGAAGTTGAATTACAACAAGCTAACAATATAAGTGAAACAATAAGTCGTGAAGTTTGAGAAGCTTGTAATCTTTCAGTTACCTGTCTTCGTTAAAGAGAAAATAATTCCAAGTTTTACATAAAGCAAAGTAATATATCAATGTTATATATACCTAATTGTTTTTTCCAATTATGAGATATATTGAAGTCTCCTTTCTCATACAACATTATTTACAAATTGTTTTAAATTATAATTCAATTTATAAAATAATTGTTTTATTTAATATTAATATATACAAGGTGTCCAATAATAACCGTATCATCTCTGTGTGTACAGGTGGAACGTGTTAAATTGAATAGAAAAGTACCTTTGCCATTACTCCTGTACTATTTAGCAATTTTCGATAGTTATTACCGGACACTTTATATATAAATATAAATATATATACATATATATATATACTAATATATATACATATATATATACATATATATATATACATATATATATATTAAATATACATATAGTATATACGTAATCGAATATATAATCGGTATATATAATTATGTACACAATGGTTTTATCATAAATTGGTATTTATGATAGTCAATTAGAAGCATCTGTTATTAACGCTTAATTATTTGATTAGACATGCAGGTACAAATGACTTATTCAGTACTTCCTGATCCACTGTTTTCTGCGGGAGTAATAAGAGCGCATTAGCGGCTTGACAGCTAACTGGTTTATCGTTGCATAGATTTTTCTTGCTATAAGCCCTCGCGATATTATCCCGCTTTTTCCATTGTAAATTCGCCCATGCCGCTCTAGGACGCTGATGCAAAATATATCGTTGCTGTATCTACAATATAATTTATAACAATATTATTTATAACAATACGCACACATCTCCCTTTATTTCAAATTTCAAATCTTACGCGAGCTGGAATTTTGCAAGGCTTCTCAAACATGTGGTGTATTCCGTTCAAAAAAGGTACAAGAAACAGATGCGCGGAAACGAAAGCAGACACAGGATTTTTCGATAGACATACAAAATATTTCATTTTGTCGTCAATAGTGCATGTTGCAAACGTCGTCGATTTCCCTGGCTTCAAGAATACATTTCCTGAAAAAATATACGTATATAAAATGTACCGAAATTCGAGGATAATAAAATTGCAGCATGAAATTTTGTGAAAAATTAAGCATTTGTTAGGTTTTATTTCAAGAAATAGTTTTTTTCGTAAAGAATAATTTAAAGCTAAATTGTCATATATATTCGTGAGTTTAACTTGTATATCTTATAAATTGCTGCTCGGAAAAAAATGGCAAATAATTTCGTTATTTATTTTTTTATAAACTTTCATACTACAATTTTATTATTTTCGAAATTTATAAGATATTTTTTATAATTTTCTCTATAGGCGCGTCTCTTTATATTTTTTGTTACTGCAATGTGTATTTGGTTCAGAGATAAAAATACCGAAATGTATAGTGGCATCAAAGTTATTTTTTAAGATGGGCTTCAACATATCATTATCGTTCGAACAGCCTATTGTTACAAGTACGTTTACTTGATTTAAAGCTTCTTCGATTTTCATCTTTATAGATTGTGTACTGTAAAAATATCAATTATTATTCTACCATTGTTACACTAATAAAAATATTAGTCGTTTGTATATTAAATAAAATATAATAATGCAGCAAGGATTACGCAACAAATATTGATGCACTCACTCATGTGTCACAATTCCGAAGTCCACTATCGAATTAAAACCTTTATCTTTTAATAGCGCGATTAGGCTTATTCTGTTGCTGTCGTAAACAAATCCCGGTCTTAAAGGCTCTCCCGGTTCCACTAAGAACTCTCCAATTGACAATATACCTATGGGTACAGGTTCCATGACTAGAATTCTTTGACGACCTGTAGCCGTCAAAAGTCCTAATTCCGTTGGACCAATACGTGTGAATGCAGGTATAATTATTTTGTTTTTCCTTATATCGCTACCGATATCTCTTTAAAATATATAAAAAGTGTTTCAGATGAAAAGAAAAACAATATTTAAAAAGATAGTATTTCGAAAAATTCAATATTTTTCTATATATATAGAAAAATATGTATATATATAGAAAAATATTGAATTTTTTTCGTACTTAATATTCTGCCCGAATTTCGGTTTAATTTTTATCAGAATTAAAAGTGGCATGTTATCATTTATTATTTGCTTTACATTCTTAATTGACACAACCGCTGTTGCTTCTGGAATCAGATACAGAAATAATAATTAATTCTTTACTGCAAATAGAAAGAAGCGTTAATTTGTAATTAAGTTAGTTTGTAATTCAATTTCACCGTCAGGAACGCGCTGTCCGCTCATCACATACGTGCATGTCCCAGGTATGAGAGATACTGGGTCGGCCTGCAAACAATTTTGTTTAACCCTAGTTCATTGCTGTATTTAAGCTTTTAACATCAACTTACTGTAATTCTGTCCAGTACTACTCTTTTGTCCACATTATCACTTGCCAATACTGCGTATCCATGTTTAGTGGCAGCTCTAAATGCTGGTACATTGCAATCGGAATACACGCTTTCGGCCAATATTCTGCCATGAGAATCTTCTGTATTTATATATTTATATGATCTTATGAGTTCAACGGACTTTACTATCCGTTGTATTTCCAACAATGCATTTTTTACAGTAATTGTGTCTTCCTCTTTCTGTGAAGAAATTTCATTGTATGTGCAATCTCACATAATATTTCTTTTATCGTTTTTCTATTAACAGAACAAATTGCTTACCTCGTCCATGGATTCAGCTGAAAGAGATTCACTGTCACTATCATCTTGACTCTCAAAGTTTAACTGTGAGGAGATTTAAAATATCATATACAATTTCATAAAATCTTTTATTATGTTTAATATAGAAAATATGATTTTCCTCCATCATTATTATGTCAGACGACGAAGATTTCTTGACAATCGCGATCGTTAATTGTAAAAAAATTTAATTGTATGTAATTGTATATAATCTCATAATATTTTTCTTATTTTTTCGAATATAGAAAATGTAATTAGCCTACCTCAAATTTTATTAACGGAGGAGATTCCGCGGTAATAGTGACTTCACTCTCCGACGCAATATCCGACTGTGAAGTGATTTAATTATAATTATAATAACATATTGTACACAGACAATCTTATGAAATTTTTCTTTTTCTCATTTAAAGTTTTGAATATAAAAAATATTTTACTTGGTTTGTAGTTAAATATGCAGATGTCTCATCATGTTCGGCGACTTGATCAACGTGTACCTAAAAAATTTAATATAATTAAAAATTAAATTAAATTAATGTAATTAAAATTTCAAATCTCTTATTCTCTCTTATTTCTGTTATTTCTAAAAAATACCCTTTCTGAATCCAAAAGCTGAGATTCTCTATAGCATTGTCGTGCATTCTCCTCTATCTATAAAGTGATCAAATTATACATTTTGAAAATCTTGCTCTCTCTCTCTCTCTCGTTACTTCATTATATCTAATATAGAAAATAACTTACCATTTTTGTAAATTTGTTAGATGAAAAAGAAGGTTTAGGTTCCTTTTTCTCTGTGTCGTCTTCCTAGAAAAAGATCTAATTATATATAGATAAAAGATCTAATTATAATCATATATATATATATATATATATATATATATATATATATATATGATCTCATAAAGTTTTTTTTCTTCTATCATTATTTCATTGTTTTGATGTGAAAGATACTTTACTTTCGTTAAAAATGAAGTTGAAGGAGAAGCAGGTTCAAATGTGATATTCGGCCTAATATTTTCCTATAACGAGACATAATTGCATGTTTAACCTCTTAACATACGATCTTTCCCTCCCTTATTACTTCATTTTAATAAATCTTACCTTCTCTATATGTAGATTAAGCATAACTTTTTCATGAGATTGACTTTCGCCTACCTTTAATAATATATTAAACATATCTTCTTCATCAGATTGGATTTGACTTTCGTCTGCTTCCTTTAAAAATATTTTATTGCAAATTTGCATTTTGTACAAAATTATTACATTGTTTCTAGGACATAAAAAATATTTTACCTGATCTGCATTATTATTATTATTATTAGAAGATATACAGCTAGCTGAAGGGACAATTTGCAGTATTTCTTCCTGGGGTATTAATCTTAATTGACATTTGAGTTGTCTTGCTGTTGAGTTGATGAATGTTACTACTTCTTCATTACAGAAGCCAAAAAAATTAAAGATTCGTGTTTTATATCGCTTTCCACAAAAACTTCTGAGGAAATGCATTTAAATTGTTATATAATTTAAAAAATAAAAAGATATAAAATATATAAAAACAAAAATTTACCGTTGAAACGGGCGTTCCAATGTCTCCAGTAATTGTGTATCTTCGTATTTTTTAGTAATTTGTTTAGTGATAATTCTTTCAAGCTCTGGTTTATCAGATGAATCAAAAGTTGTATAACCAATAATAAAAATAATATCAACAGGTTCATTTCCATCGCACCAAAAGCGTATTTTTTCCTATATCATATACAAAAATAAAATATAATAAATTGAAACATAATATAAATTAATAATATAAAAAAAATATTTGAAATATCTAGTTACCGTTATGTCACTTTCCTTAAGTTCTGAGCTTATATCAATTACTTCTGCATTAAAATTTTCCGTAAATGTATTTTTAATAAACGTTATTAATTCGTTCATCTCACAATTATATGCAAGTGTCATATCTGCGTTTTCCCATAGAAAATTTTGGGTATATACTGCGTAATTATAATAAAATTACTAAAACTTTATATATAATACATATATATGTATATATTTGTATGCTTATGTATCTGTTTTTATCATACAATAAATAATTATAATAATTAAATTTTATTAGTTTAGAAAATATATGATAAGCACAGCCTAGATTAGATATATTTTTTAAATTATAATGTTATTCAAATACAAATGTATTAATTGAGAAAATAATTTTAATATATTAGAAAAATATTTTTATGCAATATAAAATTATAATAACTATCACAGATGTTGAATAAGATGCTATATTTAATCATTGTATATATCATTGTATATAATAAATGCAGCATACAAATAATTAAAATATTTTATACGTAACGTATCTTTTCAAATGGGTTTTATAACATTTTAACACGCATATTTTTTCTTACATGTATATTGAATATTTTATATCGAAAATATACTCGTTATAAACATACCACATAGAATTCCGTATTTTATTGATTTTTTAGCCATTTTCAATATCTCTTTATGATACTTGCTAATATGATCGCCGCAGAATTTTTATCGTTCCGATCGTATATGTGTTTGTTCTTAATCACCAAACTTATCGACTGACTTTACTTAGCCATGAGAATAATATATCGACAGAAACTGTTTCGATGAGAAATTGTTTACATTTTTTTCCTCGAAGTGTTCTTAATACATCATACAAAAACGCGGAGATCATCTCGTCTTTCGTTTTGTTTCCGATTTATATCATGAGAATATTAAATTAATTATCTGTCATAATATTAAATTAATTATCTGTCATAATGTGAATTATTTGAGCGTCAGTTTCTATAAAATGCGACAATATAAGTAGAGATAACGTAAATGTCATTAAATAATAGTTACCATCAATTTTTCAGTAAATATTCAAATAATTAATTCGTTTCTCTTGGTAAATCACATTTTAAAAATCGCGAAAAAGCAGATTTTAACGATGACACTGAGCGACAGATTATTTTTAAAATTGTATGGATTCCGCGCGTAAAAAAAGAAAAGGAAAACAAACTTCCTTCTCCCACGTCTTTCTTTCTTTTCATGACATTTTGTTTGAAATATTTAATTGCGAGAATTTCTCCCAACTATCTCCCAACACTCTCATTCGTATATTAATATATCATATGGTTACATTCAATGTATAAACATATATATGTATATATTTAATATAAAATAGCTGATTACGTCATGACAGCCATGTTTGATTCGCCTAAAATGCAAGGAATCTCGGAATCGGACCACAGTGTTCTACCTACGTCCAAAGAGACATCCAGTGTTCTTGGCGCTTGAAGTGTGTTGTGCGCGGTTATTTATAATCGAAAAACTAATTGTGATAATTATATCCACGTGAATACGCGATGGTGCATCGCAGATATCGAAGGAACTCGATCAATTGAAAATCGTGATCGTGCCACGATAATTATCGTTTTTTACGAGACGAGAACAAGAACTTTTTAGCTCGTCGTGTTCCAATTACGATTTTAGTTTTAATAAATATCGCTAAATGAAGTAAGAGTAAGTAATATCGGGAGTGCCGAGAGAAAAGTATCGGGCGTTTTTGCTATTATGCATATCAAATTAATTGGCATTTGATTGAAATATTTTCTTTCGGAATCGCTTCCAAAAATCGAAAATTCGCAAGAGCGCGCGCGCCATCTGTCGGAAGGCGCTATCATCGGAGGTGCCGCGCGGCGCCGCGAGATGGCACGCGACTCGCGGCTGCCACCTCTTCTCCACCCGGCGGCGTGAGGTACGGTCAGTCAGTAACAGCTGATCGAGGGGTGAGGAGCGTTCGGAGTGGTCGCTTCCACCGCGTTCGCGCGTCCGCGTCGTGTTGTTCGCGTGTTTGTGTCGTGCGTCTCACGGTGCCGCGTCGCGAGTGAAGGAAAAAATTGACGTTACGGAGGACGAAGGAATCCGGAGGATCCTCGCATCTTCCTGGCCGAAACGGTGAAAGGCTGTGTGGGACGAATCAAGACGTCGTCGACAAGTCACGACGGAATTGCCACGGTCAACGCAACACCGAGTAAGTAGTGATTGTTGTTTCTGCTCCGAATCAAAGAGAGATTTTTCGCAAGTATTTTGAGAAATGTTTGACGACGAAAATTTTTGTGACTAACTTCGCGCTTATTTTCTGAATAGGATTGTTCTATTTACACACGCTCGCGCGATTTATCGCGAGGTACGATGTTGTTTTTTTTTACGTTACGTTGACAATGTTGACATTGTGCTTGCGACGAAGATGGTGCGTACGTGTGTGCGTGCGACATGCGTGCGTCGCGCACGCGAAATTTGACGTTTTTACGACTCGGGCTGACTGACACCTGATGCGTCGATGACCATGCCGTGAATAGAAACGCGGAATTTCCGTCTATTAAATCGACGACATACATTTCTCGAGAGGTTTCTCGCGTAAAATCCGAGCGTCGTTTGTTTCGTTTCGTAAAAAAAAATCAGCGCTCGTTGACGAGACTCGCGAAAATTGTTATGTCATACGACGAATTCGCCTCTTTTCAAACGGGAAAAGGACTTGAAATTGAGAGCGAGCATCAGATGGCGTGGTGTCCTTGCGCGAAGGTCGATTCGTGCAACGCGCAATTTTCTGAAAACGTAGCGGTGGGTAAAAATAATACACATTCGCGATTAATAACAATTTCAATAATTTCGCTAATGGATTAATGTGTATATATTTTGTGTACACAGAGGAAAATGTATACTGTATTCAAGTAAATATCATTTATTTTAAGTATATCATAAGTTTGTACATCCGCAAATATCATAAATTCACAAGCATTAAATTTAATTGAATATATTCTGAATTATTCTGAATTATAAGTGCAGTATTTTAATCAAGAATATTAAATTAAAACAAAAATTTGCTTACTACAAGAGTTGACGTAAAATAAGTTTGATTTTTCATTGATATAACTTTATAATAGTCTTGAAGAGAAAATAAATTCTTCTTTTGAGTACATGATAATGAGATTTTCTAACACTTGTGATGAGTATATTTTAAGACTATTATCAAGAATATATTTTTTGTTGAAGAAAAATATTACTTAAAAAAAAGAAAAATAAACTGAATAATCGTTTTTCTTGGCAGTAGAATGATATTTTTCTCTGTGTACAATAGCATATTTGTATTTTAAATTTCGAGTGTTTTTCTTTCGACATACCATTGGAAGTCGCGATGCGAATAGATTTTAAATTATGAGGTATATCTTGGGAATGTAACATCTAAGACACAACTTATTAGTAACAGTAACTGTAAAACCATCTTGCATCTTAAGTTTCAAAATAAATTACATGAGAGAAAGAGCGAGCAAATATACTTCTATGTTTAATTATAATATTCACATGTGTGAATTAATTATTGAAATATTAATTTATATAAAATTGATTAAATAGTATTATTTATAAAATTGATTAAAAAATATATAATTCTTAACAATTCATAAAAATATATATAAATATATATTTCTTAACGTATATAAATTTCGCGACAAAATATTTCTTTCATAAACACAAGAATACAAATATACATATTATTTCTTTTTAAACGTTAACTCACGATATCTTCAAATCTAAATCTCTTGATATTAATGTTCTATTTAAATTTGTTCCAAGTTAAACACTGAGAGACTAACATTCCATTTATTTTCGTATTTTATTTTATAAAAATTTTTCTTTTGCTGTAACTATTTTATTAAAAGTTGATTTTAAATTTTACATAGAATAATATTATATTTGCTCATGGCTAGTCTCATTTGTCTATTTTGTCACAATATATTTGCAATGTCGTTTGCGATGTTGATTTTTACTATGCAAAAAGACAAACGCATCGCAAAAATTACAGCTACTAGTAAAGAATCATAGAAACTAAAATTATCTGAGTTCTAATAGCCTTATTTATTTAATTCGTAAAATTTAATATAAAATATACTTTAAAATATATAAATGTTCGAAAATGTAGTTGCGAACTAAACTTGATATTTAGCTGAATTATTAAATATAAACGAAACTTTATTATTCATCTAAATAGACTTTACTTTCTCAAACTTTGTCTTCAATATTTAATTACAACTACATTTAATTTAAATTGTTAATGTTCATATGCGATTGTATGATATAAATGTTCCTCTGAAATTCACCCTCCCAAAAACAGGTTGTAATTTCATTTAAAATTCTACAATATTAAAATTAAATAAATGGGCGGAATTTTCTAGCATACTCTGTATAAACGAAATTGAATTAGTATATTAGAGAAATTTTAGGTATCTCACGATATGATTAATTCCCGGTGAGAAAATAAAGCTATTTCCATTATAATTATATTAATATATTTATAATTATATTAACATTTTATAATTAATATAATTAATATAATTAATTAATAATTTGTTTCAAATATGTCACATATATTTCAGATGCATATAGGTATTGTGTAAGAGCAGGACATACATATTTTAACGTACTATTATGCAGTGCCGTGCTAATCGATTGCATTACAAATCAAATATTTGCGTACGCTCTGTTTGTTAATTACCTGTTGATGTATTGTCGATAACAAGTTTAATTAGTGATTAATTAGTTTCAAAAGCTAGAATTTAAATTTTATTTCAGCGGACAATAATTTGCAATATTTATCGCTTATCAGAATTAATCCTTAAATGGAAATAATATATACATAATTATTTGATTAAAGAGAGACATGTAATTTCCGAGAAAAGTATTTTACATTTTTATTCTTTTAGAAACATAATACAAAAGTATATTCTTATTATTTTATCACTAAAACAATATAAGTATAAATAAACGGATATATATTTTGTTTTTAATTTAAATAAATTATTACGAGTTATTATACAAGACTAATGCTAGAAAAATTCGAGTTAAGTCCATTAGATTGCAAAATTTCGCAACTATGCTTATTCATCAATTACACGTGTTCATTAATTTAACTTATTAGACACTATTGTTAGAAGTAAAGAGATCCTGTCCTGAGAGAAGGTTCAATTAAAAATACGCATACGTCTCTCTTTATCTCACGGAACAAAGTACATTTGTATCTTTCGCGGAAAAATGGCGCAAATTATTCTCAGGGCGCCGCGAAATTAACCAAGCTTCTCGTAGTTAATAATACCGTATGAAAGACGCGGTGAAGCCTGAAAACGACACGCAAAATAAATGTCACGGTGCCGCCAGGGTAAGTCAATATCATAAACGTTATACGAGCTAGCGAAATAATCCAAACGGAAAACCGTCGAATCATTTTCCGCAAGCTTTACCGGAAATTATCGTTTCCTTCTTCATCGCCCTCGCTACATCCTCATTAGAAAAAAAGCATTATTATACAAATATTCCATGTCATTACGGCTAATCTAGTTGCTGCTTATCGGAATATCCGCAGTTTTATGCGAAACGAGCCACATTTTTTTTCGCTCGATGCTGTTGAGTCGCATATATGATTTTACATTGACATTAC